TGTAACACAGACAATTTTCTTCCAAAATTCCAAATGGCTTAGTCGACTGAATTGTAGGATCCGATTTACTCGATGAGGAAGCCATGGGTTATCAGATCGCACTCAAGAAGAGAGAAGAGAAGGGGAAAAGGAAATGCACCGGCGCGGTTGCCGACACGACGACTTGGGCCGTTAGCCAAAAACCCTAGCCACTAGAACTCTCTCACACTCTACTTTCTCATACTACAAAAACATTTGCCAATAAAGTTTGTTACATTTATGTTATGCTACAACTTCAATTTGTACAAATTATGACTGTACCATAAAGAAATTTGTAAAAAAGAGTACAAGTATGACCCGAAATTGTACCATAACGTTAAAGATACAACTTCAAGTTGTTTCATAAAAACAAAAAACTAAAGCACCAATGCTTTAAGACATTGTAAAATTCCTCAAACCTAACTTCACTTCCATAATTGAAAGGAACTCATTCCTCTTACCTGGGGACTAATTATGATTTTCAATTTTTGTAATTATTTGTTTAATAAAATTAATATATTATTTTTATGTCACTTTAGTACTCATTTTTTAAATTTCTTTAAAAGTAAAATACTCTATGTTGGATATATGGTTTAGTGTGTTATTATTTGTATAGTTTTGTTTGTGAGGCACTGTTTTATTATAGATTTGTTCACTATTTTTTATTGGGTAAATCGAGGTAAAAAGTATCAAAATACATAGATATTTTTGAATTTTAAAAAAATACAATTTTTTTCAAACATTTATTTAATTTATTGAGTCTATCTTGAACCATGAAAACGCGCATAAAACCAAGAAAAAACTTGCGTGCAACATGTTATAAAAACATATCTGAAACTACAAATTGTAGTTTCATTGATTTGGGCTATGTTGTTAAAAACTTATAGTCCATTTACTCAACAACCATAAAAAAAAAAAAAACAATGGTGACCACAATTTCTCGTTTGGCAATAGAAAACAAAAGGGTGAATTGCAAGTTTGGTCACTCATATTATCTATTTGTAACACTTTAGCCACCTGAATCACTTTCGCTTCAATTCAGCCATCGATACTACATGTTTATGACATCTTTGGTCACTCACCGTCTAGTTTCGTTTAGTCTATCCTACGTGGCGGCCAACAATTATGTTTGACTGTTAAAATGATGACGTGACAATTAATAATACATAAATAATACATAATTTTTTATACTTTTACAACTCACAAGTCACAACCGGTTGTAGGTGTCGGCGATTCTTCCCCGGACCGTCTAGTTTCGTTTAGTCTATCCTATGTGGCGGTCAACAATTATGTTTGACTGTTAAAATGATGATGTGACAATTAAAAATACATAAATAATAAATAATTTTTTATACTTTTACAACTCACAAGTCACAATCGGTTGTAGGTACGGCAGTTCGGTTACCGGTTACCGGTTAACCGGCCGGTTATCCACTAACCGGTAATCAAAGTAACCGAACTTCGGTCGGTTATCGGAGGCTAGACGAAATGGTTTTTGGTCTTAAAAGTGGGTCGGTTAACCGATAACCGAGATAACCGAGAAACCGAAACTTATTTCGGGCGGTTTTCGGTAAGGGGAGTGGTTATTCCGGTTAATCGAAAACCGATCGATCGGTTATCGGTTATAACCGAAATAACTGAAATGCTACCCCTAACCGGTTGTAGGTGTCGGCGATTCTTCCCTGGACCGGACATCTTTGTGGAGGCGTAGAGGCTCGCCGGCTGGTCGAACAAGACCTTGTCGTTCGCCAGACGGACCTCCACGATGTCCAGACGATCGCCGGTACTTCCCATCTCCGACACCCGTTCTTGGTGTAGTTCCCATCGCAGTCTTGTGGGTCCATTACAGTCACCGTGATTGTCCCAGTTTGGACCTGAATCTCGTCGTCAAATCTCGAATGCGAAGAGCTGAACTGAGAAACAGAGGAGGTTAAGTAATCCTCCCGGGTGGGTTCGGGACGCGGGATACCTTTGGAATTCATCAACCCCTTTCCACCCAGGTCGAGATTCTGGAACTTATTGAGCGCCAATAAACTGCCCAATTCGCACAAAAGCGAGGAATCCGAGACCACCGATCGTGGCGATTACAGGTCCAAAAAGCAAGTGCAGGAGGCGACAGTGCTGCCTTTGATGTCGATAATGACGACAGATGACAGATCTGGAGGAGCCCGGGGTAGAAGTAGGACGGTGGCCTGAAAGGGGATGGTGGTCGTGGCGGGGGCACTCAACCGCCTGGCGGGCGACTTTTGTCCCCAGGTTTGTGTGGTCGCTGCCGGAGGGAACAACAGCGGGAATCTGGCAATGGAAGAGGGAACAAGGTTGCTTTTTAATCGCTACAGGGGGGAACGCCGGCGTGAGATCTGGAGATGGCAGAGGGAACAGTTAGTTTTCTTTCTTTCTTTGGAACCCATCGTTCTCCACTTCCCGACCGGCGGTGGAGGAAGCGGTGGAGGCGTGGGCGCCAGGGGAGGAGGATTGGTGTGATGTAGGGCAACGACGATGGTGCTGGGGCGGTGGTGATTTCTTGGCAGTGGCCAAGACGGCCACAGTGGAGGGAAGATTGAGTTGTCCAAGTATAACAAATATTTATATTTACTAGTTAATTGGTCCACGCTACGCAGCGAGTTTTTACATGCTACATTAATGAACTTATTTGTTTTAATAATTATTAAGAAGTTCCTTAACTAAACTATCAAAATGCAATTTCCCCGGTAATTGTTAAACTCTTCTTAACCCATATCCTGGCCAGGTGGTTCGGGAAAAACATGTGCTACAACTACACAGATATTTACAATTTTTTGAACTTGTTAGGAGACCAAATTACAATACACAACATTAATCACAACAGATGTAAAGTTTGGGTTCTCCATAATGTACTCCCGAAACTCCAACTGACCATAATGCAATATTAGACATGGGTTTGTATAACTGAATTCTGTAGGACTCATTCACCTATGTCAACAAAGATTTGTCGATAAGCTAATTGAAACTGTAAAAATGCTCAAGTCCTTTATAATAAGATGAAACAAAAACAGTGATATCAACATGAAAAATACACTACTTTTATATAAGAAAACAAAAATATATTACATTAATTCCCTATAAAAAACACTACATTCATATATTCATTTTAAATAATCTACACCAGATATTCCACATAATAAGTAAAAACCCTACGCATGAATTATGAAGTTAATTAGGTAGATTGTGTCATTCATGTTTAAGAAGGAATCAGAATATATACGCGGTTCTTTTACATGCATCAAGTACAAATAAATCATATTCTGAATACATAAAAATTATTAGAATCCATGCATTTACCCTTTCGTCCTTAATTAGCAGAAGGCTACAAACTATATAAAATCAAGCATAAAGAGATAATGTGAAGATTTGTATGAATTTATTCACCCGTGCATTTCTTCTTACGGATTGTGTGTCTAACTCATGCATCATCATAAGAGCGAAAGATCCATCAAAATTTGATTAATTACTACGAAGATTATAAAAAAAATTACAATGTGGGGAAGTATAAACATGCTAATGATTGAATCATTCACAGCAAAGCATGAAACAATGCAATGATGGAATAGGAAATATAAAAGAAGGAACACAATAACACATATAGTGGGGGTGGCCAAGTGGCATCCTTCCACAACAACGTGTGACCTATGCATGCATAGACTTTCTCCCCACCACCAAACAAATCAATTGATAGAGGTGAAGAATAAAGAGGAGTGATTTTAATAATAGCCATGCATCCCCTCCCGTTGTGAGCTCTACTGTGAGAGACTTAAGATGCATCATCTTCTCCAATCCTCCAGAATTCTTACTTACTAAACAGAGTGTCTCTCTTCCCTGACATCTCCACTCGCTCTCCAACCCTTACTCCCAATTTCCCACCTTTCATCGACTTTATTCACTCTTTCAGCTCTAATTTGCTACCCAACACCTTTTTAAAAACTTCACAGGGAATGGTGACGGCGGTGGTGAAGAAACGTCGACCATTCAGCTATCCACCTTCGGATCCAGCTACCCATCTGTGGACACAGCTTGGCTAATCCATCTTCCTATAGCCTAGAGAGCTTTAGAGGGTGGTTAATGGAATGGACAATCATCTTGCATGGTCACCAGTCTGATTGGAAAGGAACATGGAGAAAAGAGAATGTTCTAGAACGGAAAAAAAAAAAAAAATAAACAAAGCCATACGGAGAAATCGGATTGCTCTGCGATGGTGCTCCTACCTCCGACCCGTTCAGTTATCCACCTTCTAATCCAACGCGATTCTCTAGCTATCCATCCTTGGCCACACCTTGGCTTGTTGGCCAGCCGCCAGGGGATCAACGGAGGGGGGGAAAAGGTGGGTTGGGCAGAACAGGATAACATCGAACGGAAAATCAAAATGGGAAAGGGGAAGACAGGTGCAAAAAGCTGGGGGATCGAACTGGAGGGCCACTTATCGAAATTGAAAGGGATGAAGCTTGCCCAGCCGCCAGGCGAACGACGGAGGGGAAGAAAAGGTAAATAACGGGGACTGAATACGGGAATTCGAAAGGGAAAGGGCAAACGGAGTGCACCGATCTTATGATAGACCCGTCCGTATATGCCCAAACCTTATTGATTTATTTTTAATTGCAACGTCATCATTTTAACAATCAATCATAACTGTTGACCGCAATGTAGGACAAACTTAACGAAACTAGACGGCGAGTGACCAAACATGTCATAAACGTGTAGTAATGTATTAATGGCTGAATTGAAGCGAAAATAATTTAGGTAACTAAAGTGTTACAAATAGATAATATGAGTGACCAAACTTGCAATTCACCCGAAAACAAAAACATAGTTGTTAAAGTGTATGTAAACGTGCTCTCTCCCTCTCTATATATTTATATTATTTTTTTGGTAATAAACAAAACGTTCTCTATGTTTGAGACCATAAAACACTGAGACCTATAAAACGTGCTCTATGTTAAAGATCCTAAAGAACCCATCTGCGAATTCCTTTTTCCATTTAACCTGCGAATTAACAAAGTGGGAACTGAGAAGTGACTGGCATTGCTTCCGAGTCTCTCTCTCTCTCCCTCTCTTTCTGGCACAACAATGGCGGCGGCGTTTTCCTTCGCCTCCACCTCCCCCAAAAACTCTCCTACTCCCATTTCCTCCCCTCTCTTCCTCCCTCCTTCCTCCCACTCCATATCTCTCCCTCTCCCTCTTCCATCGCCTCTCTCCCTCTCCACCTCCACCGCCGCCGCCACCGTCTCTCTCCGCATCCGCTGCATCGACGCCGCGCAGCCTTTCGACTACGAGTCCCAGCTCCGCTACCAGCACCTCAAATCAAAATCCCTAAAAATCGCCATCCTCGGATTCGGCAATTACGGCCAGTTCCTCGCCAAAGCATTCTCCCGCCAGGGCCACACCGTCATCGCCCACTCTCGCACCGACTACTCCGCTGCCGCCGCCGCCCTCGGCGTCCGCTTCTACTCCAACCCGCACGACCTCTGCGAGAGCCACCCGGAAGTCGTACTGCTCTGCACATCCATCCTCTCCTCCGAGAAGGTACTCCAGTCTTTCCCCTTTCAGAGATTGAAACGCAATACCCTTTTCGTCGATGTGCTCTCCGTGAAAGAATTCGCCAAGACCATAATGCTGAAGTATTTGCCCGTGGAATTCGATGTCCTGTGCACGCACCCAATGTTTGGACCCGAGAGTGGGAAGCATTCTTGGGCCGGGTTGCCGTTTGTGTATGATAAGGTGCGAATTGGGAACAGCGAGGATAGGATCAGTAAATGTGAGAAGTTCTTGGACATTTTTAGCAGAGAAGGGTGCAGGATGGTGGAGATGAGCTGTGCTGAGCACGATCGACATGCCGCGGGGTCGCAGTTCGTGACCCATGCCATGGGGAGGGTGTTGGAGAAGTTTGGGTTGGAGTCTTCTCCGATCAACACCAAAGGGTACGAGACGCTGCTGAATTTGGTGGGCAATACCTCAGGGGACAGCTTCGAGTTGTTCTATGGCTTGTTTCTGTGCAATCCGAATGCTATGGAGCAGTTGGAGAGGCTGGACATGGCTTTTGAAGCGATTAGGAAGGAGTTGTTTGGGAAATTGCATCAGGTTTATAGGAAGCAGTTGTTTGGGGATTTAGAAGGTGGTCAGGTGGAGAGCTTTAGGATTCAGAAAATGCTTGTCAATGGTGCCTCTGGGAAGCTGCCTCCTTCTGAAACTTCGAGCGAAGATGGGTCTTCGGCTTAAGGGTTTTCACATCGTTCATTGGTGGTGTAATAAAGCTCTATTCTCTGTTGCTGCTGCTGCTTTTAAAGAAGAAAGCATGTTGTAGTTTTGCAGTTTAGTGTTCGCCGAGTGAACTGTTGTTCCCCCGACGGCCTAATGCAGCAGTGGAAATGTGTCGTTTTCAAGAAAAACAGAACCTGATTCTTAAATCATCTTTGTGATTTGGGTGAGCTGTGTTCACTGTTGAACTCTCGATTCCATGTATCTATAAGTAATGTTGTTAAGGTTTTACGGTTTTCCCCCCGAAGAGTTCCGCTTCGGTGAGGGAAGAATTCTGCCTCGGTGTCCATGGATATCTAGCACTAGCTTAGCATGAAGAGTGCAAGTTTTTTAACCAAAATAGTGGCTCTGTGTACTGTATGGAGAATGGACACTAGGATGGTTCTCAAGACTTACTATCATAATTCGCGTATTGGAGTTCGTCTCGATTTCCAGCTCGGCAAGGGTTGCTATAACCAGTGTCTAGTACCATGTTGGATTCTCATATGACTCGAGTAGGTAGAGAGGAAAAGAGAGAAAACCTGTGACTGAATTCAATGGAACAGCAGAGCAAGAAAAATTGTGTTTAAACCCTGATGCCTCAACAGAATTAGAACACTTGCTAACATCAGACATCAATTACGAGTGCTCCATTCATCTCAGACAGAATGGGTAACCAAGATCAAATGTACAAAGAGTGTGTGCATCATACTGCTTGAGCGGAGCAGCGAGATCAAATCTCATCAGCCATGAATTATGACTTCTAGATTCATTTCAAACAAAAAATGGATAATCTGTATACCCGATGACAGGATCAGGTGTGTAAAACGTACTTGTATCATACTGGTTGAGAGGAACATTCAGCTCAAATCTCCTTGGTAGATCCGGATTAGCCAAGAACCAACGGCCGTAAGCTACAAGATCTGCACGATTCTCTGCTAGCGCTCTGTTCCCGCCTTCCCTATCAAATCCTCCAGAGGTCAAGAAACTACCATTGAAAGCTTTTCTCATGGGAAGAACGCTTAGAAGTTGTTCTCCACCAGTCTTTTGTCCCGGCTCGACAACGTGGCAGTATGCAATGCCATATCTGTTGAGGGATTCAGCCATGTATAGGCCTAAAGCTTCTGGTTTTGAATCTGAGCATTGGTTATAGGGTGCAAATGGAGATAACCTGATCCCCACTCTGTCTGCTCCTATCTCATTGCTTACAGCTTCAACTATTTCTAAACCAAATCGACAGCGGTTCTCTTGAGAACCTCCGTATTGGTCTGTTCTATCATTCACTTGATCTTTCATGAACTGCTCAATCAAGAAGCCATGAGCCCCATGTATCTCAACCCCATCAAACCCTGCAATGGAGAAAAAAAAAGGAAAGGTCTTCATTTTTTCATCCTGGCCAGATTTGATTTTGGGTAAGCATTTCTGTTCGTACAGAATCAGAGAGGTAATGCCATTTTGACAAAACTTGTATTCCATAGCATAGTACCTGCTTCAATAGCATTCTTGGCAGCAATTCTGAAATCAATGACAATTTGTGGAATTTCTTCCGTTCTTAATCGTCGTGGAGGTGTGAATCTATTGACGTTACCACCATTGGATCGAGGGATCAGTGGTTTGTCCGTACAAGAGATTGGAGCCTGGCCATCGGGCTGGAAACCTGTAGAGACAAAATGATAGGTGTAACTCAAAGGTGCCAGTGCCACCACAAAGAGACATACTGAGCACGCAGCTTGGCTCAATGGATAAGAACTTATGGAAGTGTTCATGAAATAAGGAAGCAATGATTCTTACGGATATGATCTAACGCGTTTCTTTTGCTTCTGAAATATATAGAAATGAAGGATCTTGCGGTAAAGGTTTGAGTTAAAACATTAGGTTTCTACAATCAGGAAAGAAGGAAAAACAAGCTAATGGATTCACCTGCATTCGAAACCCTTCCAACATGCCAAAGTTGACAGAAAAAGATGCCGCCCTTGGCATGAACAGCATCCACAATGGGTTTCCAGGCCTCAACTTGCTCCTCGGTCCAAATCCCCGGAGCATCTTTATACCTTTGCACATGATGAATCATAACATATAGAAAGGAAAATGCATACAGATTATACTTTTGAGCACAAAAGGCAAAACATCAAAGTTACACTCCAAACGATTAGCAGTAATTAAGAACGAGCAGCCAATTTAATTACCCTTGAGCAGTGTCTGAAACAGCAGTGGCTTCAGCTATGAGAAGACCTCCTTTGGTTGTCCTCTGTGAGTAATACAAGATGGCATGTGGCTGTGGTACATATCCATAAGATCTCTGCCTAGTCAAGGGCGCCAGAACAATCCTGACACAGACCCAGCAGCCATTGGACCAACATCATATACACAGTGAACGAAAATGTCGAGCATGAAACTAACTTAAAGCTTCCCTACAGATGATTGCAGCAAAACAGAAGCTACTCAACCAGCCGAAAAGGAGCAGTACCCGGCCAGATTGTTCTCAACGATAAAAACAAGAGTTGCATCCATATCGGATGATTCGGATGAAGGTGTTCGACAGAATGGACAATAAACTACATACCGATGAGAAAGATGGAACTTGCCCATTTGGTACGGGGTGAGCAGAGGAATCGCTGGCGCATCAGCTCCCACAGCAGAGGTAGAGTCCTTCTCCATGTTTCTTCACAAAGAAGTTGTTGCCGTGATGATGTTGTTGTTGTTATACTTATACACGAGTGAGAGAAACAAGAGACCAGCCACAGCTATGGCACACTACTGGGTGGTTGATACTATAATAGCGACGATTGCATGATACAAACTAGAAAGGGTGGCCGGCCGTCGTTTTGTCGTTACGAAATTGACAAATGTGTGCAATAATCATTGCTTCCAGTCTACACATAAAAACAATTAAAAAAAAAAAAACAGTCGCTACAGTTTTAGGTGATTGGTTTTGATTACTATATTATTGATGCACCCAAAAGCATGGTAAAGGAAATCGTACCGGACATCATACCGGATTCCTTTCTGGTATGGTATTTTGTGGTACGATCGTGGTTCAACAGTTTTGTACCGGTAAATACCGTTTTTCACTATTGATAGAGAAATGAAATGCTATAGTATAAAAAATATAATCCATCAAAAAAAGAACCAAATAGAGCATTATACAACCACGGTGACCCATTTTCAACATAGAAAAATAGCAAAATAATATTCTTTTTAATTATTTTCCACATATTGGACGAGAATACGGAGAAATGAAGCTGAATCATAGACCAGAAAACCGGATCGTACCGGCCGGTTCAACCGGTCAAACCGAAAAAACCGGCCGGCACGGTAAAATCAGCACAATCAGGCCACCGTACCGCTTTTGGTCCAATTTTCGGTTGAACCGGCCGGTACGATCCGGTTTCCTGGTCTATGCCCAAAAGTGACTATTGATGGAATTGATGAAGGAAATGGAAATGTGAACTGAAAATACACATGTGCATTGTTATTAAATATGCTATTTTAAAATCTTTATACATCAAACACAATTAAATACAGTATACTATTAAGCAGCGACATCAACCGAAAATAATTCTCGAAATTTTTCCAGAAATAGCACTGTTAAAAAAAATTCCAAAAATAGCACACAACTCCGAAAAATTCCAAAAAATAGCACCATTTCCTAAAAACCGCCACCCGTATCAGCGGTTTAGGCGAAAACCGCCACCCAGGGGCCCATTTTTCGATGAAAACCGCACTGGTCGGAGGCGGTTTTGCAAACCGCATGGGGTCGTAGCGGTTTGGTTGCAAACCGCACCCCACCATGCGGTTTATTTGCAGACCGCACCACTCACCATGCGGTCTGTTTTTTTTTTTCCTGAAAAATCCTAACCTAGGTGGAAACTTCAAACGAAGGTATCTTTGTGTTCGGGTATCCGATCGTCGTGATTTTTTTTATTCCGCATAACTTTTTGAGATCTTGCAAGCCGAAGACTGCCAAAGGTGGTTTGGTCCCGCCTTCATCCCGAAAAAATGTGGTTTGCTACCCCGAACGAGCGTTTTTCCAGATTCGTCAAACTTTGGACAACCATAACTTTGTGCTCCAGAATCCAAACGACATGAATTTTTTTTTTCGCATAAATTTTTAAGGAATACAACTTTTATCATAGACATAATTTCAAAAATCCTGTGTATCCAAAAATAATTCCTGTTTTGAAAATTCATTTTTAGTAAAAATTGTAGTCCTTAAAAATTTATGCGAAATGAAAAAAAAATCATGAAGTTCGGATTTTGGAGCTCAATAACTTTAAACAACCATAACTTTGTGCTCCAAAATCCGAACGTACATTTCGAAAATATTGCGCCCGTTTTTTGGATATACAAAATTTTGAGAATAGCTTACCTTACCTTTTCAGCAATCCACATACATTTCGAAACTATGTCTATGATAAAAGTTGTATTCCTCAAAAATTTATGCAAAATAAAAAAAAAAATTCATGTCGTTTGGATTTTGAAGCACAAAGTTATAGTTGTCCAAAGTTTGACGAATTCGGGAAAAAGCTCGTTTGGGGTAGCAAACGACATTTTTTGGGACGAATGCGGGACCAAACCAAATTATCGCCCTAAATTTGAAGATGGGGTAATTCTTCACCCCATCTTCTCTTCTTCATCTCCCCCGCCTCTCTATTCAAGGCGGAACGCGTCCATCATAGTGAAAACAAAGTGGTCGGAGCCGAGGCATTTCGATTTCTTGGGGGACCTGACGCCAGAGAATTACCTACACTTTTTGAGCTACAGGCTGCAGGACATGCGAGGGGTTAAGAATGGAATCATCAATTTCTCGGTTAGTGTTAGCGGCGACGGCGGCTTAGCATGTAACGGAGCATGCACGTGTGCATTTTACGTGCATGATCATTAGTGATTTTGTACATATTTGTTTTGTTACTTAGTGATTTTGTTATTTTCCAAGACTCATGATCCGAACCCTAGGAGACTAGAGGAAGGGTTTCGGTTTATATATTGCTGCCGCATTGTTGCAGCTGCTGTAAGCAAGAAAACAATAATAAGCACTAATGACGAGGAGCATCGTCTATTTGTACAAGAGGGTGTGGGTGAAATTTCACCCGCGAATCCCTCTTTGTACTCTATGTAACCTAGAAAAACGTACTCGTGATCGCGATGAAAGCATTCGTCTATTTGACTTTCTCATGGGATTGGATGATGTCTTCTCTACCGTTAAGTCTCAAATCCTCTCCATGAAGCCTTCTCCATCGATCACCGAGGCTTATAACATGATCTCCACCGATGAGCAGCATCGGAAAATTGCAGTTAATCGCAAGCCAAAAGTTGAAGTTGTTGCCTTTGCAGCATCCCAGGATCGCGGTAAGCCCGACGAGGATCGCGACCGTGCTGGTGGGGACGGGAAGCCTCATTGCTCCCACTGTCAGAAGCTTGGCCACACCAAAGAGCAGTGTTTTGAACTCATCGGTTATCCCCCTGGGTATCTTGATCGCGGCGGCACCAAAAATAACAATGGGAAGGGTCGGCGCGCCGACGGAAAGGGTCGTTCTGGTCCTAAGGCTGCTGCTGCAAATGCGGATGACAACGTCATCCCTAGGTTGTCCAAGTCTCAAATTGAACAGCTCAAACGTTTCCTAGGGGCTGAATCTCCCATTATTGATGACAATGCTTTCTCAGGTAATGCACTTGGTACTACTACTTGGATTTTAGACTCTGGGTGTAATGCTCATATCATTAATGATGAGCGGCTGTTCTTAACAAGTGTACCTGAATCCCATCTCCAAGTCAGGATTCCGAATGGGACGGCAGTGGCTGTACATCGTGTGGGTTCGGTTCAGCTCGCTCCTGGTTTTGTTTTGCCACGTGTTCTCTTTGTACCGGAATTTAAATGCAACCTACTCTCCATCAGTCAGCTTACTAGGGATTTTTCCTTGGCACTGATATACTTGAACGACTTCTGTGTTCTTCAGGACTCACACTCCAGAAGGATGATTGGGATGGGGAGACAAGTTGATGGCCTTTACCATCTCCAGCTGTTTGATAAGCTTCGGATGGCATTGTCTCATGCGGCACAGGCGGCAGGACGCAGCTCCTCAATTCTGTGGCATTCTCGCCTGGGGAACCCGTCGTCTGAGAAGCTCTCTTTACTGCATTTCGTTTCTGGTTCTCGTTTGGATAATCACAATTGCTCAGCCTGTTTGCGAGCTAAACAAACTAGAACACCGTTTGTGACTAGTTCTATCAAGACTACAGATATTTTTGAGATGATTCATATCGATATTTGGGGAGGTTATCACACTCCCAGTCTTAGTGGAGCGCATTATTTTTTGACAATTGTCGATGACTACAGTCGTGGCACTTGGGTTTATCTCTTGCATTACAAATCAGAAGCTGGTCGTTATCTGCAGTTGTTTTGTCAACAGGTGGTCAGACAGTTTGGGAAACGGGTTCGACGTATTCAGGCTGATAATGGACCTAAATTTCAAACGAATGTCTTAACTGCCTACTATGAACAGGAGGGAATCATTCTGCAAACATCTTGCATTAACACACCTCAGCAAAATGGTGTGGTGGAACGAAAGCACCGGCATTTACTTGATACAGCTCGTGCTCTTCGATTTCACGCCAATTTACCTATAAAATTTTGGGGTGAGTGTCTCCTAACCGCTGTGTATCTGATAAATCGGCTCCCCACCACAGCGACTGAAAATTCTACCCCTTATGAGCGTATTTTCTGCAAACAGCCTGTGTGTCATCATCTCAAAACTTTTGGGTGTCTAGCTTATGCAAAGGACACATCTCAGCATTTGGACAAGTTTGGTGAAAGGGGGAGAGCGTGTGTCTTTCTAGGATATCCTGCCTCTCAAAAGGGTTATCGCGTTATGGATTTGACCACAAGAAAACTCTTTACTTCGCGTGACGTGGTCTTCTGTGAGGACCGGTTCCCTTTTCGTGAGCTATTACCTACTGTTCACCTTCCCCAAACTGTTCCTCGCGGGTCACTTGAAGAAGATGATGATGATGACCTGGTATCTTCGCCTCCTGCGCTTGGACCGCTGCCCGACGACATTGGCGCTTCGCCTGGTCCCTCTTCTCCCGCAGCTGACCCAAGTGATGAGGACGAGCCAATTCCCAGCTTGCCTCATTCGGCCAGTCCAAGTGGCACGCCTGTTGCACCCCCTGCTGCACCTCGGCGTGAACTCCGCACTCGCAATCCACCTCCGTTTTTTGTGGACAATTATGATGTTCAGCTCCCAACATCACATTCAGGTCATGTCTCCTCTGTCCGCTACCCTTTGCATGCTGTAGTTAATTATGCTCATTTGTCTCCTGATCACCGAGCATATCTTGCAGCCATTTCCAGCTCGACAGAGCCTCGTTTTTTTCATGAAGCAGTTCACTACAAGTAATGGCGGGACGCCATGCAGCACAAAGTCACTGCTCTCGAGATCAACGGCACTTGGGAGCTCGTGTTTTTACCACCTGGCAAGCGTCTGATTGATTCGAAATGGGTGTATCGAATCAAGTATAATCCGGACGGTACCATTGAGCGGTATAAAGCACGCCTGGTTGCAAAGGGTTACACTCAAGTCGAAGGAGTGGATTTTCACGATACTTTTGCTCCAGTAGCAAAATTAGTGACTGTTCGATGCGTTCTAGCACTTGCAGCTCAGATGGGGTGGTTTCTCCATCAACTTGACGTCAACAATGCATTTCTGCACGGTGACTTGGAGGAGGAAGTTTATATGCGTGTCCCTCAGGGTTTCTCTCGGCCTGGCGATGAGCGCGTGTGTCGCCTTAGAAAATCGCTCTACGGCCTCAATCAAGCTTCCCGAAATTGGTACACGAAGTTCACTGCAGCCCTGGTTGGTTATGGTTTTACTATGTCCAAGGCTGATCCTTCCCTTTTCACCTTCCGACGTGGTGATGTTTTCTTGGTGGCTCTCATTTATGTCGATGACATAATCCTTGGGGGAACTTCTCTTCCTGATATTCAGCAAGTGAAAGATTTTCTTCATAAGGAGTTCAACAATAAGGATCTCGGTACTCTAAAGTACTTTTTGGGCATTGAGGTCTCTCGTTCTCAAAAGGGCATTGTGCTTACTCAACACAAATATGCCCTTGACATCTTGGCAGACTCCGGTGTGCAGGCCTCTCGGCCTTCCATGTTTCCCATTGAGCAAAACCACCATCTTAGCGTTTTTGATGGGCCTCCAGCTGCCGATCCGTCTTCTTACAGGCGTCTCATTGGTCGCCTGTTGTACTTGACTGTCACTCGGCCTGACATCGTGTACGCTATCAATGTGCTTAGTCAGGCTGTACATGACCCTCGTCAAGTTCATGTTGACGCTGCACATCGAGTTCTTCGATATTTAAAAGGATCTCCCAGGCAAGGTTTGTTTCTCCCTTCTGCTCGTTCCCTGACTCTCACGGCTTTTTGTGATGCAGATTGGGGTGGCTGTCAGCAGACTCGGCGATCCACCACAGGATTTTTTATTCAGTTGGGAAGCAGTCCCATTTCTTGGCGTACCAAGAAGCAGACTGTTGTCGCTCGTTCTTCTGCCGAGGCCGAATACAGGGCTATGGCCAGCACTGTTAGCGAGCTCATTTGGCTCCGCTACCTATTTCGTGAACTTGGTGTGGACATGACTGATCCTACACCTTTACACTGCGACAATCAGGCTGCGTTGCATATTGCTGCTAACCCTGTTTTTCATGAACGCACGAAGCATGTGGAGATGGATTGTCATTTTGTTCGTGAACGTGTGGTGTCCAAGGAGATCTCCCCTACTAATATTTCCACCCACAATCAAGTTGCAGACATATTCACTAAGGGCTTGGGAGCTGACCAGTTCTCGTATTTGTATTCCAAGCTTGGCCTTCATAACATTCATGCCTCCACTTGAGGGGGAGTGTAACGGAGCATGCACGTGTGCATTTTACGTGCATAATCATTATGGACTTGTTTGTCCATATTTGTTTTGTTACTTGGTGATTTTGTTATTTTCCAAGACTCATGATCCGAACCCTAGGAGACTAGAGGAAGGGTTTCGGTTTATATATTGCTGCCGCATTGTTGCAGCTGCTGTAAGCAAGAAAACAATAATAAGAACAAAAGCCTGAGAGCTCTGCTCTCCGTGGAGTAGTCTCGTTCATACTGAACGAGGAAACCACGTAAATCGCGTGTCTTCTTGCATTCGTTCTTTAAGTTTTATCATAGCAGTTAGCGGTCTGGAGCGAAATTCTGCAATTGGTTCTTCACATACATCAAGAGAACCCCTTATGCTGCTGAAGGTGAACGTTAAGATGAACAACAATCTTTCTGCTTCCCTTTCTCCTTCTATTCTTCTATCTTCCGTCGATTCAAATTTGATGCTTTTACGGTCGATTTGAGGGCTGGATATGCGATTACAGCCCAGTAACTGAATCTCGGAGTGGAGAAAACATAAGGATTGAAGAGGAAAGCTTCACCGGAGTCGATGAGAGCTCGAGCAGCGTGGGGATCAAGGAACTGGGTAGCTGCCGGAGATGTCATTTTTCCGCCGACGGACACTCTGAGTCGGCGTCGCTGAAGAATAAAGGAGGATAGGAGGGAGAATTGGGCGGTGCAATGGAGGTAGTCGGATTAGACAAGGCAGAGGCCATGGTAGTGTTTTGAGAGGGCATTGGTCTTCTCAATTAGGGATGGCAACAAAATCCAAACCCACGGGTACCCACCCGACTCAATCCGGTCAACACGGGTAAAATATATGTTAACGGGTTTTGGGCCGGGTTTGGGTTTAAATCCGTTCACTATTCACCGGGTTGGGTTGAGTTTGGGTTTAGGGAAACCCGCCCCATGGAAACCCGCCCACACCCATATAATTAATTTTCTTAGTATATTTAATATTCGAGCTAATACCACTAGGAAACCCGAAGTATTAACTTTGTGTCATTTGTGTCCTAAAGTATTCGATATGACAATTGTGTCTCAAACTATTTTTCCGTTATGGTTGAATGGCGTTGACCGTTGGTTTTAAACAGAAAGTCTAATAAGCGCTCATGTGGCATCTGACGTGGAAATTAAAAGGAAAAAATAACAAATAATGGAGATGAGTGAACCCAGCTCTTTCCGGCGGCGTGGCTCCGATTGTTGATGAAATGCTTCAATGAGGATAGAGACGAGTGAACCCAGCTCTCACCGTGAGTGCCTCCGTGACAACCGATGGGAAAGAGCAGAGTGTGTTTAAGGTTTTCGAGCACTGTCGAAGATCTAGATCTAGGACTCGGGCACCGAAGACAATGACGAACGCTGTCGACAATGATTTACCTTCACACAACTCGCCCTTTGGAACTTTTCTAACTCGCCCAGCTGCCAGGAATTTTAACCAACGGTAATAATTTCCAGAAACAGTAAACAAATTCCAGTTCTGGCAAGCTAATTTACTTCAAAGTTCAAGCCTTTTCAGCGGCTGTCGAAGCTCCGACGAAATTGGGAATCCGGTGGTGAACGGGTCGGGGAATCCGAGCGAAGTTCTGGGCCTCCATCAAATCCCAGACCCGCTTCCGGATTATCCACTTCCAAGCTTTCGGATCCTCCGCCTCCCCGCCGTCGACTTTCATCATCTCCCTCGCCGAAGCTTCGGCCATTGATTGCCGCGCCAACGCGTCCAGCCGCAACCTCTCTGCCTCGTACGCCGACTCGTCCAAAGCTACCCGCTCCTCTCCTCCTCCGCTGGCGGTTCCCGCCACCATTAAACTGGCGCTGGAGTAATTGTGGTAAAGCAGCATCCTATTCGAGTTGATCCAACTGCGGGAGCATAGCAAGGATTGAGAGACCAAATTGGGACGATGCTAATTTTATTTAATTTTTAATAATACTCTATTATTTTTTATTTAATTTTTAATTAAAAATATGAGGTGTCATTGACGTGGCATCTACGTGGCAGCCACGTCTACAAAAGTCAATGTTAATGTTGACTTCCGTTTGGTCAACCGTTATCTATAACGGTCAACAAAATCGTCAGGACATAAATGACACACAACTATCATACGTTGTGGCACAAATGTCATATCGAATACTTTAGGACACAAATGACACAAAGTTAATAGTTCGGGGTTTCCAGTGGTAGTAGGCTAGTAGCCCTTAATATTCTAAACAACTATCTTATTTATGTTTGTGGAGACATGTCTAATTCTTTCTTTCTAATTTTGTAGAATGAAGTTGATATTATCGAGTGGAGAGTGAACAAACTTAATTGAAAAGAAGAAACTTTCAATTAATCATGTTATTTATGGATAATTTATGATTTGCTTTAATTTTCTTGAGTTTTCTAGATTGGTGTTGAACAATTTGTATAGTTAATTTGTGATTTGCTTGAATTTTCTAGAATGTTGTTTCATATATGGATAATTGGTATTGAGAGATTGATATTTGACTTTAATTTTTATAGGAACTTGTTATTGTAAATTTCTTACGAAAAAAATCCGTGGGTACCCATGAACCCGCGGATACCCAGCGGGTTGGGTTTGAGTTTTTCAAACCCAGTGGGTTTTATCTCAGATTTTTTTCACGGATAAACCTATGGGTTTGGGTTTGACAAAACCCGACCCAACCCGATCCATTGTCATCCATATTCTCAATGGTGGGGAGAGGAAGGGAATAAGCACGTGGTGGTCTTCTCTATTTTTTTAGTTTTTAAAATCATAAATAAAAATAAAAAAATTTATTATAATTTGAGCTGACGCTGATGTGTAAGATTAGCTGTAAATCTGTCCAACAAACCGTTAGGATTAACCGACTGTTAGTTATATTTTGAACCGCAACAATAATAATAGCTAATAATTAGTATTTTCATAGTTGTGACTATTATTTCCCGCTGACTAATGGTTTTGACTAATATATTGTATTAAAAAAATTTATCAAATATGTCTTACGTTAGAATGTTTATCCATATATTTTGGATACCTCTTGAAAAAAAAGGGCCCTCCCCTCCCATGTCCCAACAGCAAACCAAAACCAAAACAGCAAACCAAAACCAGCAAACCAAAACGAAAACTAGCAGTAGCAATGGGATACTAATCATAATATGGTTACCATATGCAAAAGGAAAAGAAAAACCAGCCAATTCTGCCGACAGATTCCTGGGCCTCTACAATCTCACCACCAGCAACTCCGCGAGGAACCAGATCCTCCATGTCGAATTCGACACTTTCCCCAACCCAGAGTGGGATCCTCCGTTCCAGCACGTCGGGATCAACAACAACTCCGTCGCCAATTCCACCTTATGGAACGCCACCCTTCACGCCGGAGACACCGCCGACGTCCGGAACGCTTACAACTCCACCACTACTCACATCAGCTTGCGTCGTCGACTCGTCGGGGAGGCGGGAGGGAGATGGCGGAGACTGGCGTCGGGGAGGCGGGAGGGAGATGGCGGCGTCGGCGGCAAGGAGAGAGTGAGGGCAGGAGGCGGCGGCGGCAGGGGAGAGTGAGGGCAGGCGGCGGCGCGCGGCAGGGAGAGAGTGAGGGCAGGCGGCGGCGGCAGGGAGGTCTCGCGATGGTGGATGGATGCAGAGCAGCAGACAACAACGATCGTTTTTAGGCGGATTACACCTGGAATATTCGAGGGATCCAACAGTGTAGAAGGTGTAGGGATTTTTAGTGGTGTGAATGGAAATAAATGGGGAAAGTTTCAAGAGAGTCTCTTGAAGTACCATGTTGGTAAGATGTGGGAAGACACGGCCTCGAATTCGATCGATTTGATGTAATATGTGGTTAATCGGTTAAATTGGTTTGTGTACCAAACGGACCAAACCAAACCGATTTGAACCAAATCGAACCGAACCGATGTGGCGGTTGGAATAACCAAACCGGTCCAACTATCATGGGCCGAACCGATGCAATGGTTCATTATTTCAAACGTGAACCAATGTGTTGGTTGGGGTGTAACCACCCATATGAAGAGTCGCCTCCCTTCGTACGCACCCCTTCATTTTCTATAAATAGCACCTAACCCCTCTCTGGTTTTGAACATCGGTTTTTCCCGGTACCAAAATTCTGCCAAAATCCAAAACTAGTTTTCTGCATTCTTTTCAAAGAGAAAATAGAGTCAAGTGTGGTTCTCGCCGATTCGCTGCGTTCGATGGATTCCGGGGTTTGAGGTACCGCTACGCCGGAAAAGGTACGTCCTTTCTATCCTGGGAGGAATCATTCCATAACCTTGGGTACTTGAGGGGAATAAGATTCTTTAAGGAGATATAGTGAATTCTATCGGCTAGGACGCTTGCATGTGTCTTCGCATATTTTCTTAATCTTATGTGTTTGCTTGTGTTGCAAGAAAATAGTATACGTGAATAATTTCCCCAACAATCTTAAAGAATCTTATTATTTAGAATTGTTCACGACGCTAGTTGGTTTTCAATTTACCATGCAATGAAATTGTTTTCGACTTGTGATTGATATAGCATGCATAAAATAAGAGAGATATATATCTCTTTCGGTCTTGTATATTCAACGTTGCATGATGGTTCTGTGTTCAAGTTGCATGCTTAATTAGACTTGTCTCTGGAAGTTTGGAATTTCATGCCATGCATTGTAGTTGGTTAATATAATTCAACAAAGTCATCATGCACGCGATGTTGCATATTTTTTTTATCTTTGGTTCATAAATTTGATTACTAATGTTTATTCAAGTAGTTCTGTGACCTTTTGCATTGCAAAGCATCTTGTGTTTGTTATTAGTGGATGTGAACAGCGGCAGTTGGACATGAATTTGAAGTTTTGAACCATGGTCGTGTGACCACTGAAACGTTGCCTCGTTTCGGGAAAAAAAAAGAAAAAAAAACCGTGCACTATAATTAAGTAGTGGCGGAATCATGATCGGAGGAGTTTAATATCTTGTGCTTTTCCTTCGATTCTCCATAAGCAAGACTGCTTGCTTTACTGGGTAGTTTCTTCTCTTTTGGTTGATTTCCAAAGAGGGAAAAAGCAGACTTCCGACAGGCGACAATCACTAGAAACTGGTACCATTCTTCCCTTTTCCTTTCTGACTCAAGGATAAGTATGAATGATATATATTTCATTGCATTGCAGACCACTATTATGTATATTCATACACGGCAACGTTTGGTTTCCATACAATAAATAGGCCATTATATATATATATGAGTATATTCTCAATGTGTGCGTGATGGAGATGATTTTGTTATTCACTTTGCGCTCTTGAAGTGAATTGGACAAGATGGCTGGAAGCATTCCAAAGCCGAAGCACCCGTCAATGTTGATGAAGATGACGATGACGTCGTAGAGGTCATCAATATTGAATCAGATCCGGAGATCATTGATCTCTCTACTCCCGAAATGGAGTTTGACAATGAAGAGTGGATCGATTTTTTTGACGATAGCGGGGATTGGCTATACAATAACATTGGTGGAGAGCATCCAACCAATTATTGGACTCTAGATGACATACCCATCTATGATTGGTACTCAATGGGACCTAATGTGGATGATTTGGGCACCCATGTGGACTCGATGGAGAGTATGGGGGAAGAAGAGGAAGTTGAGGAATCGGAGAACGAGGAGGAGTACTCCAACATAGAGACCGATGAATGCCTCTTTGATCCTGACTTCGACCCCAAGAATCCTTAGGATTCTTGTATATGTATTGTAATCTCCTTTGAGGAGTAGACATATGTATATGTGTATATATACATATGGTATTAATATGTGTGTACCTATGTAAGTCGTGTATTTACATGATGAATAAAGGACATATGTTCTTATCTCCCAAGTGGAAAATTAGTTGGATAAAGCCATATAGAGCTTATTTGATTCCAAAAAAAAAAATTAACCACAAAGTTTTAATGCTTTTATTGCATTGGTCCATCTAAATTATGTGGCATGGATGAATGATAATTGCACCAATTTAATTTGGACACTTTTCATTCAAGGTAATGCATGAGAGGATGGAAGTACTTATGATAGTCCTTCATGGACTCTAAGTAATGGTGGTTTGGATAGTAATAAACTATCTAGTGGGAAACTATGAACAATCATAGGTATGTGAAACCTATGACGAGAGGCCAGTAGGGACTTGTCTGTCAAGTCTATCTAAGCCAGAATGTTTGCATAGGTTATGTTCAAAGTAAGTTGAACATAGTTATGAAAGAGTATGCCTCCAATGTGTTGGAGATGAAATTTGGTTAATGCACGTTTAAGGATTGCATTACAAGAAAGCTACAAGCGATAAGGAATTCTAGTTCCTATGATAGTTGTGAAGACATGATAATTTATTTATCATATATGTGGTTTAGGACTTGATGTTTCCTATGCCACGAGGGCAAGGAAAATGAAGCTATGATTGATTCTTATATCGATTTAATAAGCTTGCCAAATGATGGTCGTCATCAAGATAAGCATTAGTTCAGAATTGTTTATGGTATAAGTACACTATACCATTGGAAAACAATTTGACTATGATTATCGACGTGGAGCTAGTTGCCAGAACTGTTTATGGTGTATATTGGCATGAGAGCTCAATTGAGGTGATCTTATTGAACTTAAAGTCTGGATTACTTATGGTATATTTATGAAGTTTATACCATTGGAAAGTAATTAGACAATTGGATAAGAAATTCGTTTGAATTACTTGTGGTATATCATGTTACATAAATGAAATGTCATTGGTAAGTAATTAGATGGGATTTCCATTACTGGAATACGTCTGAATTACTTATGACGTCGCAAGTTGCCTTGATCAATACCATTGGTAAGTAATTAAATGATATCTCTAATAAAATCTGAATTGTTTGTGGTATGCTAATCGAGTGAGATCATACCATTGGTAAACAATTAGATACATATAGTGGTTGACAAGTTCAAAAAGTAAAACCATGGAAAAATAAATGGGATTATTCCATGATGTTTGGCAAAGGGTAGAATTGTGGGGGAGAAGAGCCCACTGTTTCGGCTACTATCTCAAGACCCTACAATGGGACGCAAACCTATCCAGAAGACAAAAGTGAAAAGGTAAACAAAGCCATACTTGAAAGTATGAAGGTGTCCAATGAGAAAGTGAGAGTACTTAAACCTTGTGGAGTTAACCCAGTCCAAGGGTATAACTTATGAGTAAACTCTAGCATATATAGACGTTATGTCAGAGGGCTAAAATATTTATTGATGTTGATCCACTCTTCCCAAAGAGATGATTTTGACCATATACATGTATGTATATGAACAACATTCCCCAAACCGGAAACGTTGGTTTCAACAACTATGGGGAAATAGTTGAAATGTGGGGGATAAATTGGAGAGAAGTGATGTGGAATGTCGCTTGGGTGATTCCAAAGTGAAGTGATGTGAATACTTAGGAGTTTTACGTAAACCCTAAGTTAAGTCATAGATGTCACTACATTTGAAGAGATACTTGTGAAACTCAAGTACTCTAAGGTTAATGAAGTAGAGAGACTTCAACACCGTTGGCATGTGTTTTGATTATTGCAAGGTAATAAAATCAAGGCAAACACATAAGATGTGTAGTGAATCGAAAAGAAACGAGTCTTTGGTGAATTTTACCCAAAGGAACTCACTGGGTGAACAAAAAGCCATAGTCCATTAATGGATAGGCATTTATGGTTAACGAGGAGCAGTATCTTGGAAAACGTCCAAGTTAAACTCTAAGACCGGTGAAGTTGAGTAGTTTGGCCCGCAAAGACTGGCGTTAATAAAACGCATTTGTGCACAAAATGGTTATTGCAAGGGCTAGAAGTGTTATGTGAAAATCTCGTCGTAGAAACATAACATTATTGACTGGTTAATTTCTAGCAAAGTTTGGGAGATGATCAGTTTAGATCAAGTGATAACAAACGTGGGGCCCACCTAGAAATTTGTTAAAGCATCGAAAGGAATGGACTCGTGGCCTAGGACAAATCATCATGGCGGTACCTAAGCAGGATTGGCAGACCCAACCTCTAGGTTCAAGGAGAAAACAAAGTTGTGAATGATGGTCCGACATTGTCAAATTATTCAAAGTCCATTCTCATGATGATACAATGTCCACTATAAGGGTAAACCTAAGGATGGAAGGTTTTTAATGGTTTCTAAGTTTGACACGTGTTGTGATCAAATAGTGTATTTTCGAATACATGTTTAGAAATCACTTATGTGAGTGTGAAGTGGAGCCGCTTCAAGGAGAATAAAAGAAGGCCAATTCTCTACGCACTCATGAAACCAGGCAGTGTTCATGGCTGAAACGAACACAACAATGAGAACCAGTGAACGGATAAGAGTTAGTTGTGTGACATATGTTGTCTTAGTATACAAGCAAAACAGACGGTTCAAAGATATCACATCTACCAATTGGTGAGTACTCGATATATGTTCACTAAGGAAGGTTCAAAGGGAAACCTACCTATTCCGATGCAACTAATTCTTAGTCGAGAATCACACTATTTTTTGCATAGTTTTAAAGTATAACATTCTCCATTCATGTGGGGGATTGTAGGGATTTTTAGTGGTGTGAATGGAAATAAAAGGGGAAAGTTTCAAGAGAGTCTCTTGAAGTACCATGTTGGTAAGATGTGGGAAGGCACGGCCTCGAATTCGATCGATTTGATGTAATATGTGGTTAATCGGTTAAATTGGTTTGTGTACCAAACGGACCAAACCAAACCGAGTTGAACCAAATCGAACCAAACCGATGTGGCGGTTGGAATAACCAAACCGGTCCAACTACCATGGGCCGAACCGATAACCACCCATATGAAGAGTCGCCTCCCTTCGTACGCACCCCTTCATTTTCTATAAATAGCACCTAACCCCTCTCTGGTTTTGAACATCGGTTTTTCCCGGTACCAAAATTCTGCCAAAATCCAAAACTAGTTTTCTGCATTCTTTTCAAAGAGAAAATAGAGTCAAGTGTGGTTCTCGCCGATTCGCTGCGTTCGATGGATTCCGGGGTTTGAGGTACCGCTACGCCGGAAAAGGTACGTCTTTTCTATCCTGGGAGGAATCATTCCATAACCTTTGGTACTTGAGGGGAATAAGATTATTTAAGGAGAGATAGTGAATTCTATCGGCTAGGACGCTTGCATGTGTCTTTGCATATTTTCTTAATCTTATGTGTTTGCTTGTGTTGCAAGAAAATAGTATACGTGAACAATTTCCCCAACAGAAGGGAGGAGGAGGAAGTGTCTTCCAATAATAAGATCCAGAATGAAGATCGAATTCTAAAACCTGGAAGGCTAAGCCCGGTTTCTCCGGTCATCCATGCTCGTGGTAGAAATGATCTCCATGAAGCACATATACTTTCCCTATTATATTTGCAACAATTGGTTGTTGTGGCATAGGGAGAGGCAGGGGACAATCAGGTACCTCGCGGAAGCAGGCGCTACTAGGATCGAATTCGTACACTTTTCCACTTGATTCAAAGAGTTTAGAGCAGTCGAGAAAGGAGTTAACTGCTTCGATAGGGTTCAAAGCTGTAGTTTCTCCGCCGACCATATGAACCTTCTTATTGAATTTGACGATGCCCATTCCAACAGGCAAACCAAAATCCTTGTGCATATCCAGCTGACAAACAATGGTTGGTAACAGAACGTCGAGTTCCTTAACCTTTCGAGTGCTTAGATTGTCCGCGCAAGCCTTAATCCCCCAAATCTATGTATTGCTCATAGACGTCAAGTAAAGGGTTTTACCTTTCCATTTGGGTCCGATCGCCGGCTTGTTTGACTTTGATAACTCGCCGCCAGCTCCGGTCATCATCGCCGGCGTCACTGACCCTAATCGCAAGAAAGCCTTCGGTTTCGATTCCACTAATCCAAGGGTTTGCTTTTTTCCCCTCCTTGTAGGGGTGTTCAAACGGTGTGGTTACCATGGTAATCGTTATAACCAGTACTATTTGGATAATTTGATTTGGTTAATTTGGATAATTGGTTTGGTTTGGTTGAACTTTTTAGCTTGTTTGGTTTAGGTGGTTTAGTTTGGTTTCGGACACTCATAACCAGCAAAACCAAATTAACCAGATAAATTATTAGTCATTTATCTAATATATACACATACTTAATACTTTGAATAACCACTCAAGAGTTAAACGTTCATCCCTTTTAGACTCATAAAATATAAAGCTTGATATTGTTCCTATAATGTATATATGTATATGTAGAGTGTAGACCACAACATATGAATGCCTAATTTAGATAAATCTCATATGTTATGTTGGATGAAAACTTGAAAGTAAGGTCTTTTTCAGCCTATGAAAATTGCTAAAAGACTAATAAGTCAATTCAAACAAACACAACCATTCATTAACCCATTACCATTGTGATAAATTTTTGTTAGGTGAATACTTCTATACTAACCGTAAGATAATTGTCTTAGTTACATGTATTTATGTTAAGGGTCAACTATAACTATGTGTTGATCGTTATGTTTTATTCATTATATAAATTGTGAATTGATAAATTAATCGAAAATTTTCTCACTTAATGATAATGTGATTTTATATTGGTTAATCTGGTTAACCAATTAACCAAACCGATTAAACTTTAGTTTGATTAATTTGATTGTTGTATTAATTTAGACGATTTTATTATAATATTGTATTCCATAGTTATTAAAATTTAAGCTTATTTAATTTGATAATAATCATAGTAATCATTTGAAAACCCCTACTCTTTTGTCTGCAGTACGGGTTGTCTAATGCAAATGCAGGGCTCTTTTTCACTATTGGACTTTTTTATCCGTTGAATTGCCCAATGGGCCTGGCCTTGGTTTGCTTTGGTTGTTATTTTTCTCCTCTTTTTTAATCTTTTTTTTATATAATTTTTGCTAAAATTTGGCCTCCCATGCTAATTATTTCTTCATGAAATTACTAATGATAGTTATTAAAGTTACAAAACTTATTCTTACCAAAAAAAAGTTACAAAACTTATTACTTGAAAGGGTTAGATAACTAAACAAAATATTTTGTAAAATTGCAAAAATCATATTAATGGTTGTAGTTTGAGAAGAAAAATCTAATTATCCAATTTATAAAGAGATAAGGAGAGAAATAAGAGATTTATGAAAGGTGACTATATATTTAGGCAGCTGATCATATTTTAGGGGCCTGGTGAACGTTTGTTGTGAAATCACTTTTAAAATCTTCTATGAAAATTCAACTTATCATAATTTTATTTGTTTTACATCAGATTTGAAAATATTATTGTATAGAAATATAATATTTTGTGATGTACAAGATGATATCTAGTCTGATATTTTTTGAACAAATTTTCGCATCATCTTAACACTATTATATCACAATTTTATTACTTATAGTTGTTTGACAATGCTGTCAATCGTTCCATAGTGGTAAGATCATAATATGACTGGTGAGATGATATTGTAATGTTTTACCATAGTGATATGATGGTATTTTAGTGATATAAATAATTTAATATTATATTGTAATATTATCATTATATTTTGCGTTAGAACGTAACATTGACCGAAAGGTGAGCAGAAAACTTCTTTTTCCTGAGTGACCTCGATTTTTTTCATCTGATTTCCTTGATATTTGGCATTGGTAGGTTGAACAAACTTTTTTAATCTAATTCAAATGATAATGCTTTCTCAATGACAACTTAGCCACTAAGTTATAACAAACCTTATTCAATTTCTTCTTCTGCGAGCTTCTTTATCGGATACTAAACCTTCCTTGGTAATCCAACTTTAGAAGTGATTACCACGTATAGTAGCTAATGTTGGAATAACTAAAATCATAATGAAATTTTTTAGTCCGCATATTCCCCCTCTCAGTACGTAGTCAGAATTTCATCTAATATGAGTTCATTTAAAATTAACAACAATCAAATAACTTTTGTTAAACTTTTTTAATAATTTATGATAATAATCTTAATTTGGAAAAAATTGGTAAATTAATATACATTAGTAGTCTATACTACCAAGAATAACACTATGTGTACCAAACGTTATTCATGATTTAGTAAGTCATTTGCTTTCTAATGATGTTATTTGTCAAGAATCGTTTAGTATCAATAATTTGAGTTGTTGAAATAAGTTTAATAATGAATTTTATATTGAACAGTTATTCATGATTTAGTTAGTCGTTCTCTTTAGAATGGTGTTCTTTTTTTATGAAGAAATGAGAGCTTGAGTAGAGGCGGGAATTCGAGTTTCAAATTATATTCTTTGTCAGTGACTGTTTAGTATCAATAACTTGAGTTGTTGGGAGAGGTTCAATAATATATCTTATACAATTTACTAACATACCCTATCATATGAAAGTCAAATAATATGGAGTTGAAGTTGGCGCAAATCTGAATATCATGTGTTTAACAAACAAGGTCACCAAGATTCAAACACAAGATTTATTGATAACTATTCTCAATTAGACACACTAATTTTCGATATCAATTAATTTTTTATCCAATTTAATCATTTTCCTATGGAGTAAGGGACCCACCCTCTAACACTGCTTGCTTTGTCACCGATACCTTCTACTGAGCACACTAGTTTGGAGTTGTCTCTTTGGAGGAGCACCATGCAGCAGCCGTCCAGAGATTTCAAGCACTGCTTAGTAGAAATTGGGATGGGTAACAAGCGTGCATACGACCTAGCTAGTCCCGGGCATTTTTCACCATTTGGTTTTCATTTCATTGCAGTAGCTAACACTAGATTATGTCATTGGGCCTATCCGCAACTCGATTGGTAATTGTTGGGTGTAGTATTAATTCGCATAATACGACAAACAACTACGTAATTAACAGGACCAAGCTCATCGCCCCACACATCTTCTTGGGTCCAAGCCCACGAACCCAAAGATCCCATCTTCCTTTCCGGGACCCTCCCTTGAGGTTTCTCACTCTAAACTCTCTCTACACACCATAGACATTCCTTATACTACTTCTATATCGTACTAACTTGGACGTCGTAGCGTAGATTCCGGAGGCCGTCCCCTCCTCACAGATTCCTCGCCTCCTGAAGAGATCGAACGAGTAGAATCCAAAGCAGAGCCTCAATTATTAATATGTTAACCCTGGGTACATCTTAGGGCGAAACAGTAACGAATGAAGGTTAGGTTGCTCTTTGTATTCAATTTAAAAAAGAGCAATATGCAAGATGTAGTGTTTGTTAAAGGACTAAATTACACGTTTGGTCACTCAAATAATACAAAATTGTCACGTTTGCCACCTGAATTATTTTTCTTTCTTATTCTTCACTAACTTTACGAATCGCTACACTGATAGTCACCGGCAGTCCAATTCCGTTAAATTCATCCTACATGGCAGTTTTTTTTTTTTTTTTTTTTTTTTTTTTTTTGACAAAAGATATTCATATATTGAATTAAAGAGAGATAATTACATCCTGGAACCTAGCCAGGCCCGAAAATCAAACACACAGTTCATAGCCGGAGACAAAGAAAGGGCCTTCCTAGCCACCCTATGGGCTACCCTATTGTTATTCCGACCTATAAACCGCTCCGCTAATCCCGGACTCGAGAGAAAATAATTCAGAACTTCTTCTAGAATCGCTCCCACCCGGTTATCTCCAGCCTGTCGCGAAACAATCTTGTCAATAATCACTTTGGCATCTCCTTCAAACCTCACTTCAGCAAACCCCAGCCCTAGGCACCAGCCAACCGCCTCCCGAAGGGTTAGCAATTCAATTACCATAGGATCAACCTGATCAGGAAATTGAATTCCCCGAGCCAGGATGACCTCCTGGGCTGGGGTCATAAGCACCATACCCCCAGCCGAGGGGGCCCCCTGCCTGGTAGCTCCATCCCAACGGCATATGAGCCTGGAATCGCCAGGCGGGTTAGCCGGAATACTAGGAGGGTTATGCAGAGGGGATATATGCTCCCTTGGAAGGCTCAACCATTCCTCGCATTGCTGGTGAAATTGCCGCATTAAAGCTGGGATCCCAAACTGCTTGCCTTCAAAGACCACCCAATTCCGAGATCGCCAAATTCGCCAGAGGACCGCCACCAGCGCCATAAATAGATCCGGCTGATGAATGAGATTCAGCATCCTTCTTAATAACAGGGGAAACGTATGGCAAGGTAATCCTTGTCCCAAAAATTCCAAACCCGAAAGGTCCCACAGAGCTCGTGCCACCGGGCAAAAGAGAAAAAGATGCTCCAAAGTCTCCTTTTCCGCCCAACATACCGGACATCTGGGATGAACTTGGACCTCCCTCTCAATTAGGGCCTCTGTAGTGGGCAGGATTCGATTTACAAGCTGCCAGAGGAACACCTTCAGCTTTGGTGGTATAGGAGCCTCCCAAATACGGATCCAACTAGGCTTGTCCATCCAACTTTCCAGCGAGCGCCACCCTCCCTTCTGCTTATCCAATAGGACAGCTAGGTGGTACGCTGTCTTAACAGAGAATTGACCATCTGCCGTGTCATGCCAGATAAGCCGGTCCGGAACAGGATGCCTCGGTATAGGGATTGCCTTGATCGCCTGACAAGTCGGGGGATCAAACCAGCGCTCCAACTTGGACTCACACCAACGTCCCTCACCCGGGCATATCACCTCAGATACACATAGTTCCCTGTCCTCTGGGAGAATTTGAGGATTATAAACCGGTTCAGCAGGATGGAGGTTAGGAATCCAGCTAGACTGCAAGAGAGGCGCGGTCTGACCATCCCCAATCTGCCAACGGAGACCCTTCACCAGCAAACTTCTTCCAAACAGGATGCTCTGCCAGCCCCAGGAAGGCCGTGACCGAGCCGTGGCCGAGAGGAACGTACCCTGCGGAAAGTATTTCCCTTTGTAGACCTGTGCCAACAGGGACTGTGGTTCACTCAGGATACGCCACCCAATCTTAGCCAAGAGAGCTTGATTAAAATGCTCGAACCAACGGAATCCCATACCACCGTCATGCTTACTACGACACATATTCCGCCATGACATCCAACGAATTTTAGAATGTTCACCCTCAACGCCCCACCAAAATCGAGCAAGGTGTTTATCAAGGAGGCGACAGAGAGACAGGGGGAGTTTAAAGCATGACATAACATGCAGGGGTAAAGCTAAGGCTACTGACTTGAGCAAGGTTTCCTTCGCTGCCCAAGAAAGAGATCGTTGTTTCCAACCCTGCAATCTTTCCAATAATTTCTCCTCCAGGTAACGGAAGGTAGCCATTTTTGACCGGGCTATCAGCGTTGGCAGCCCAAGGTATTTGTCATGGACGCCGACAGCACCTACCCCCAGAATCTGGGCCAAGAACTCTTGGTCTGGTATGGCTATATTCTTGCTAAAGCACACTGCCGATTTGCCCAGGTTAATCCTCTGCCCACTGAGTTCCTCATATTCATTCAAAACTTCAATCAAGTTTTCACATTCCTGAAGAGAGCCTCGCAGAAACAGATATGAGTCATCCGCGAAGAACAGGTGGGAAATTCTCGGGGCACGAGGAGCCACCTTCACACCTTCTAATATGTGTTCAGCAATAGCCTTCCGCAGCAGAGCGGAAAATCCCTCAGTACAGAGCACAAATAATAAAGAGGAAAGCGGGTCCCCTTGCCTAAGACCCCTCGAGGGAGAGAAATACCCCGCGGGGGTGCCATTCATTAAAACCGAAAACGAGGTGGTTGTGAGGCATTCTCTAATCCACCCCCTCCAAGTAGAATTGAAACCCATTTTCTCCAGAACCGCAAGAAGAAAGGGCCATTCGACTCTATCATAGGCCTTTTCCATATCAACCTTTAGAGCCATGTATCCTTTCTTACCTTGCTTTTTAATCTTGAGATAATGCATCAATTCATGCCCAAGGAGGATGTTATCCACTATCTGACGCTCTTTAATGAAAGCATTTTGTCCCTCCGAAATTATGTTCGGTAAGAGACAGGCCAGACGATCTGCCATAATTTTGGTAATAACTTTATAAATGAATTGGCACAGACTGATCGGGCGAAGTTGGCGTAAATTCTCTACCGCATCCACCTTGGGAATCAACGTCAGCCATGTGTGGTTAAAGCTCCGCAACAGCTTACTCGTCGAGAAGAAGGAACGTACTGCATCAGTCACTGAGTCCCCCACGATGTCCCAGAAGGCTTTAAAGAATTTTCCAGTGAAGCCATCCGATCCTGGGGCCTTTTTCGACCCTATAGCAAACACAGTTCGACGAACATCAATAGGCTGGACCGGGGCCGTAAGCTCAGCATTCATCGCATCCGAGACACTGCGAGCTATCGGGAGTGTTGCCACCCTGTCAGGCATATTCCCCACTTGATTCTCCGAAGTGAATAAATGCTGGTAAAAGGAATTCGCCAAATCTGCCTTCCCAGCCTCATCAGTGATCCATTCCCCAGAGTCACTACGAAGCCCAGCAACAAAATTCTTTTTTCTCCTAGTCCTTGTGACCGTATGGAAGTAAGAGGTATTCTGATCTCCCTTTTTCAGCCACCTGACTCGAGATTTCTGTTGCCAGTATACTTCTTCCGCCTCCCATTGCCTGGATAGTTCTATCTCCAAGGGGCGTACCGCATCCCAATCAATTGGATGGATAAGTTTAACCCGGTCGATTTCCGCCTGAAGGGTTCGAATATTTCGCAGGGAATTAGTGGTACCCGCCCTGCTCCAGTCATATAGCAAGTGACGAAGTTTCTTCAGCCGCTCCCAAAGCTGGAACATAGGTGTGCCCTGGACCTCCTCCTTCCAGACATAAACCACCATAGCTCGGACTTCGGGATTATCAGCCCATCGAGCATCGAATCGAAACAGCGGGCGACTATGGCGCCTGTACGGTTGGTCAGAGAGAAGGAGGGCGCGATGGTCCGACCCCTGGTCAGTGAAGTGCTTTACCATTGTTTCTGGAAACTGAGTAATCCATGACTGGGAGCAGAGGGCTCGATCCAATCGTTCACGGATACAGGCAGTTCCCATGCGTCTATTAGTCCAGGTAAATTGGTCTCCCTGGAAACCAGGATCAAGTAGGCCAAGATCAAGGATAAAATTCCGCAGACCAAGGGCATGAGCAGCATTCCAAGCATTCCCACCATCTTTCTCACTCTCATGGAGAGTAGTATTAAAATCACCAATCACAACATAGGGGAGCTGGAAACTATTACAGATTTCTTGTAATTGGGTCAATTGCGTATTCCGAGTGGCAATCTCACAGCTAATGTAAACAGAGACAACAACATAAGAACGATCACTTTCATTAATCTTCGTGCAAATACAAAAACTTGAATAAAAGAACACTGAGGCATCAACCCCAGGGGCCCAAGCAACTACCAACCCGCCAGATGCTTCAACAGCATCAACAAAGAAACAATGAGACTGAAGGAAACCTAACCCCCGCAATCGCCGGGTAACTACTCGCCGGCTCGATCGTGTTTCCGAGAAGAACACGAGATCCGGTTTATTAGAATGCACTAACCCTACAGCAGTTTGGAATGTGAGGGATGGCCCAATTCCTCTCACATTCCAGGCCAGAAGCCTCATTTATTTGGTTGGGGCCATTCGAGGCTGGCTTCCTCCACCTTTGCTTCATCTTTTTCTTCAACAAACTGTTTTTTGGGGGTCGGGATATCCGTCATCTCCCCATCTATCTCGTCAAAATGACGTTTCTTCACACCAGCCCCTATCTCCGAAAAATTACTACCATACTCATCCAGGGGGGTATTAGCAGCTAAGGCGACACCTGTGTCCAGCATGTCCCTACAGGCTTGAGATTGGGATTGCTTCGTATTGCCATCCTCGCCATTCTCCGTCATTGCCAGCCCAAGTTCAAATGCTTTCACCACTTGACTCACCCGGGCCGTCTTAACCAGCCGTTTTAGCACCCCTGACGTCGAAGGAACTCGGCGTCGAAGCTCATAGATTTTGGCCTCGTCCTCCGAAAGAGTGTCCTCCGACTCCACGATACCCTCCTTGTGAATGGACGAGTAGGGAGAGGACTTGGGCGACGGTGGCGACTCCAGAGCAGCTCCATCCGCCTGCCCAGTTTCACAGGCCTGTGTATACTCATCGGGCTCCGCCAGGGTTAATTTCTTGGGCTTTCTGGACCCGGTCAGCCCCCCAATTGATTTCCCCATTTTCCCTCTGGCCTTTGGGTCCGTTAGACAGGCTGAGGGCCGCTGCAAGTCTTGGGCCGGCCCATTAGTTTTACTGGAGCCCGGCCGAACACTCTCGCCCTTCTTCTTTCCCGTCGCTTTGGATGGAGGAACAGTCAGGGATTGGGAAAGCTGCGGCGCCGGGAACCCACACGGAACTGGTTGCCGTATCGGTGGCCGATCATCGTCCGGCCTGGTAGACGAGACGGGACGGACCACGAACTCCTCCTCTGACTCGTTTTCGAGAATGAGGCGGCGGCGACGGGAAACGTCATCGGTTTCCTTCCGGGGTGGTCCATCAGCGTCGGGCGGGAGCGTACGACGAGTCGTGCTTTTCACTTTGCGCTCCAAAGCAGCAGTGGGAGCCGTCCCTTGGTCATTTCTTGTCGACCGACCATTCCTTCTCCGTCGGCGCGGCACCAGGTTCAGGGCTCGATTTTCATCAATCTCCATCGGGCTGCCACCTGCTGTCACCTTCCCTTTACCACGGCGGACCTGCCTTCCCAGGTTGACTTTGGGGGCTGCCTTCGGAATTGGGAATTTGAGGGGGCTTCTCCCCATTTTGGCTCTTTGTTCGGCCTCCTCAGTGGTGATGAACGGGGAATCAGATGATCCCATCCACAATGGATTGTCATCTACCGCACGAGGTTTCCTGGGAATAGGGTCTTGCCTCGGCATAGTGCGCCGTATCTCACGATCATCCTGACCAGTCTTTTGACGGACATTAGAATTGATCCAGACTGAGTTTGGGTGACCAGAAAACCGCGGCATTTGGTCGTCTTCCTCGAAGATTTTCCTTCCCATTTTTTTGGTCGTCATGTGAGGACCAAACCGCTCTTTTCGTGCTGGCGGATCAAACATACAGTTTTGACGAAAGTGTCCCACACGCCCGCAGTTATAGCAAAAGCTGGGTAGGTGCTCATACTTGAATCGAATCCAAAAAGATCTCGTTTCTTCATTGGTTGCCCAGATCTGAGATCGTAACGGTTTGGAAAAGTCTATGAGGGTCTTGACTTTGATGAAAGTATTAGTAGTATCCGTGCAGGAGAAAATTCCTGCTTCGAGCACCCGGCCAAGGGTGGAAATCGCTATCTTTCGTCCAAATTGCTGAGTACAGCATTCTTCTCGCACATCCCACATTTGGACTCTGAATGGTGCAATTGCCATCTCATCAAACGTTCGAGTAGTGATGTTCGGCGTCCAGGCCCTCAGGTGCAGAATTTTGTCATTGATGACCCATGGCGTGCGCTGGAGCACCCAGTTTTTCGCCGCTTCAGTAGGGAGGATGAACTCGTACAGTCCCTGCGCCGCCTCCCTAACTATGATTCTTCCCTGGCCTTGCCATGGGTTATTAATCGCTGCACGTAGTGCAATTGGAGTCAGCCTATCCTCAGTGAAGAGGCGGCCCAGCAGCATCCTCGATTGACGAACCCGGTCGGACTGTACCTCCGTTAGTGAAAATTCTACGACCTGGTCACTGGCAATGCGAGCCATGGTAGCCGACTGCAGCAAAGAAGATAGTTTCAGTTCACAGGACGTAACAATGGCCGAAGCTTCGCTAGCTGGCACCCAAGGGTAGCTCGAGAGATTGAAAGAAAATGTTCTGGTAGGAAAATCCCCTACCCAAACAGATAAAAAGATTGCCGAATTACAAAGTTCCCACTTACCAGAGTATTCCTCTTGCTTGTTATTGTATCCGCAGCTACTAGGCATCCACTCCTCGTCTCTGTATTTTTGGTGGAGAGACATGAGGCTGGGTGGCTGCTTTATATAAGCAAGGTACGTCTGGAACTTCTCCTGGTATGAGAGTTCAAGTGGGAGAGGGGAACTTTGACAATCCAGCTTAGATAATCGTTTAGTTGGAGTTCCAAATCCCGTAAATATACGGCGGAACAGAAAATCCCCGTGGCAGTTAAACGTTTCCGAGAATAGCGCAATTCCGCTAATCCTACGCGAGCCAGCCACCATTCCTACTCGCGCACGTTTCGGGGAGAAATCCGGTCGGAGGAATGTTGAAGCACACAGCTCCGGCGACGGTCTTCGGCGGATATTCTTAATCAACGCCTTAGTATCAATTTGGATCGGATTCGTCCCATTGCGGGATCTGAATTCGGAGCTCGCCCCATTTCGGGATCTAAGCTCACAGTTGGGCGTAGCAGAACCTGAAACCCGGGTTTGTGCCAGAGTTATCTGCCCCTGTAGAGGGTAAGTCTGGATCTGCTCCTCCTGTGTTACCGTATCGGCCTCCTCCGGCGACGGTAAGTAGAACCGCCACATAACTCGTCTTGCCTGACGTCTTCGCTTAGGTTGAAAGACATCGTGGATGTGAGTTCGCCCTTGGTTATGGATTCTTTTCCGCTTCCCAGGCTCATCCTTGACAGTTTCCTTCTGCGAGGACTGTTGGTTGTATTTGTCCCTCGACCGCCTTCCATCAAGGATCGCCACCGCGGTCTCCTTTTGCGACTTCTCCGAAGATTTGTGGAACCAAGCCCCCCACCTTCCCTGCTTCTCCTGATTGGCAAGTGAAGCAGTAAAAATCCCCAAACAGCAGCTGAGGACGGTGTCGCCGGCCGTTCGACTGAGCTGGAGCAGATAACTCAGCCATCCGGCAAGGAGAGAGAAGAGAGCATTTGGCATTTTTTTGTTCTCAGTTCTTTTATCCTACATGGCAGTTAACAAAACCTTTTAACCGTTAGTTTAATTATGTGGCAATTTAAAAATAATATAAAATATATATTAATTTTAAATTAAAAATATTTTATCTTCTCCCAAAGTCACTCCCTCGAAAATCCCCAAATTGCTGAAGCACAGGAAAACGACGCTACGTTTCGGCTAGGAATCGAGCCAGGTAAGATAATCAGTGTTGAATCCGGATCCAGTCCTTCCTCCCTCCACCGTTGCCGATCAACGAACCGATGCAGTACAACGGCCGAGTCAGGCAGTCGTGAACGTACAACTCGGCGAAAATCGCTTTGACCGCTTCGCTCTCCAGCATGTCAAAGGCTGGATGTTGTAGCCGAGGATGTTGAGCTCGGAGGCGACAGAAGCTTGGCGGTGCATAAGAAATTGAGAATCAGGGCATGGACGACGGCGGATTCGAAGATGATTTGCTCGAGGGTGCGGCGGAGGTGAGGGAGGGTGAGGCGGACGGTCTCGAGCATGAGGCGCTCTCGGGGTGCGATGACTCGGGGAAGACTGTGGTGGCCGGGGGAGGAGGGAAGCAATGGAAGGCGGTGGAGGGAGTGGAGACGGAGATGGTGACGATGTAAGGCACGGTGGCGTCGACTTGATAAAGTGCGGAGGGAGGACGATGTGGATGGAGAGGGATGGGCGGTGGGTTAGGATGAGGCTGCCAGCTCCAGGTGGTGGATTTTTATTGGTCTGAATATTTATATATTCTATTATTATTTTTTAATTGTCACGTCATCAAACTAACGGTCAAATTATTTAATTGACTGGCACATTAGATGATTATAACGGAATTGGACGGTTAGTGACTAACGGTGACACGATTAGCAAAGTTAGTGACGAATAAGAAATAAAACTAATTCAGCTAGCAAACATAAAATATTTATATAATTTGAGTGACCAAATTTGTAATTTAGCATTTGCTAAATCATCATTAGGGGTGGCTGATAGGTTTTCAGTTAATGGATAACTTGTCGGTTTAATCGATAACCACCGATTATCGGCTAACCGAAAATCAATTGTCAGGGTGCTCGGTTGGTGTTTAGTAGAGAAAATGATTACTTCGACTAGCCGAATAACCAAAGCTGGTTAACCGGCTAACCGAAGTAACCGACCATCGTTCCACCAACCCAGTATTCGCCTCCACCAAAATGACCTTGTTTCCTCTTTCATCGACCTCTCACCAGTCACCAACCCTATCCACCTCCAACCTCCAAATCCTTCAGGCTTCGACGAGACGACGACCTTCTCCTGTTCCCAGTTCCCCTGTCGTCCCCCCTTCCCCGCCGACCCAGACCTTGCAACCACGACCCAACGACCTCGCGCAACGCTGCTCCTCCGTCGACCCCGTGCGCAGCTGCTTTCCTTGACCCTCGTCGGCCTTACCCTCCGCGACTCCGGCGACCCCCATGACCCCCACGACCCCCACGACTCCGGCGATCTCTGCGACCCCCGACGCCCAACCCCCGCGTCCTCTTCCGCGCATCAGGTCGTCGACGACTCGCCGAGTCCAGCGTCCGCCGCTCATCGACATCGGCGACCTCGCTCGCCCCAGCTGTGTCTCTGTGACCGGTCGCCGTCTCCAGGTGACCAGGTGGGTCGTTTTCTCCACGCCAGGGTCGAGACTCGAGAGTTTAATGGAGGGAGGAAGGACAGAGACGGGGAAAGGATTGTGTGGTGGAGGAATTGTCATTAGTGTTTTTATAATGAATTTCACTTAAACGCCAACTTTTCTCTTTTTATTAGATATAAGTTCATTTCAATTCAAAATGAACTGCAGTGTGAAATTCATTTTCAAATTAATTCATATGTTTGGAATACTATCCCAAATTATGTTTGGAATATATTTATGATTGAATTAAATAAAAACCTTCCAAACTATTCCAGTCATAGCGACTAGTATGTTTACTACTACATACTAAAACAACTAGTATGTTTACTACTACATAATCAAGCGTGATGGACGTTATCAGATCTATGATACTATGAAGACGTCCTAGTTATAGGTGTCTTTTTTTAAGGGATCTATTTGAAGATGTTTTGTGTGTTAAAGTTTCCAAATTCACCAAAAATCTTACCTAAACAAGTCTTAGAATATATTAAAAGGGTTTGAGAATTGAACCCTATCCACGTCAGCCTTAAAGGCTTCTCCTTAATCCACGGTAATCATATTTATTTTTAATCTTTTCTTTTTATGTTCTGTTTTCAACTTTTCACGTCACTTCATCTTTTTTGAATCTAGCCATCATCCTAATCCGATTTTTTAAATATTTTATTTTTTCAAAATTTTCCCTGGACGTTTTTGCCTTTAAATCGAAGTTTATATTTTTTTTTGTTTTAAGCCGACACTTTCTCATAAGTAATGGCTTTCTATAATACGAAATATTTGAAATTTAATAAGAATTTCAACTAGATTATTTTTTGACATTCCAAATTCATTATTTAAGCGATTGTACGTTTGTATGCTCTTGAATTTCAAAGTGTACGTTGTATAAGAGAATTGATTAGAGTGTATTGATTAATGTCAATAGATACACAAAATAAAATGAACATTCAAAAAAAAAATTTTGGAGAAGATGCTACGAAAAATATCTTAAATTTAAATATCCAAAATAATTTGAACATACAAATCAACCAGATTAATAATTTTCTTGGATTCCAATTTAAAACCTCGACTTGCAAAACCATACAAAATCCCCAATCATATACAATACGATGATTCGATCGAATTTTTAAACCGGGTACATTCCTATTATCTCCCTTAATACATTTAATTATATTAAAATCACCCGGCCGTCGGGCCGGGTATAATGCTAGTTTTCAGTATAAGGTTTTTAGGAATCGTTTCTCATAAATTAACAGCTTTCTTTTCTCCATATTTTATTTTATGTTGCCAAAATCACCGAAAACAAAGTGTACGGGGCCTTAGTTTCATCCTTTCTTTTTCGTTTCTCTTCTTTATTTGTTTTCCGGTACGAAGTGTCAAAACAAAAACAAAAGTACTACTTAAAATAATATATTCTTAATCTAATTTTCCCATCACTTTGATACAAGCACGGCTGTGCTTGTTTTGGTTTAGAATTGCACAGCTCAAGGTCAATCAAGGAGAGACCTTGGTCGATTGAACCTCAACCCAAAAACATAGGGTTTTAGGCATAATTTTGATGAGGGAAAACCAAAGGTGCAACTTCACACATAAGGGAAGAGGCTTGATTGGTATTAATTCGAAGCTCGACCACAATTGAAGTGTATATTCAATCGATATGAAGCAAACTCGTTGTTGGATCACAACCAACACCCAACGGGTTTGGGGGTGACAGTGTCACTTTGTTATTCAATCAAAAACTAAGTTTGCATCAAGGCTTTCAAGCCTTTAAATAGCAAATTACAATCCTAAGTCGAGGGCTAAACTAATAAGGAATCACAAGCTAACGTAAACACTAACAAGGAAACAAGAATCCAAAATAGAAAAAGGAAAGGAATTGGCCGCAACTAATAGCTTATTACACAAGAAAGTTACTTCCAGCGCAAGTAAAGAAATAGTCTTCCATAGCTACTTTGAGCCCATGGTTAGACGTCTTGGAAGCTTCAATTCAATCACCCAACTCCTTGACGTTGTTTAACAAGAGTCCTACTTTCATTCTCAACTCTCGGCTTCCATTGACAAGCTCCCAAACTCTTCGAATAAGGCCCTGAAGTTCCTAGCTCAACCCGTGTTCAATACTTGGACAAATTATGCCTTTGCTCAAGTTTTGATTGTGTATCGATAGCAACTTGCCTTCGTTGAACCACCAGAAGACTTGTTTCCCTTCCATCCATGCTTGGTCATCATGCTTCAACATTCGTACTTTAATGCCAAGGCTTTGGTCACCTTCGAACAATCCCCACGAAGCTTGTGCATCTTCCCAAAGTTGATACCGAAAGACTGTTTTGGACTTGGTCAAAATTTGCCCCCTCTCACCTTGCGTCTTGATCTCAACTTGAAGCTTCAATAGAGAACTTTCTAAAGCACAAACCGCAAACCAAGTCCTCATCACACTTGCTTAAATATTCACTAATGCCTAAGTTTATTAATTTGCTTTGCCTAGTCTGAGATGCGGGACAACATCATCTAAAAATGCACACTGCTTTGTAAGGGTCGACCATTTTCTCTAAAAGTGTTGGTGTCCACCTCTCCTAGAAGTTATAGGTCGTCAAAGCATCTTCTCCACCAGTCTACAGAAGTCACATAAACATCACAAAAATTGAACTAAAACTTCAACTGGAAGAAACTCCGGCAAAAGATTAACTGCCAGTCTTAGAAGAATCGAAATTAGGTTTCTTCTCTTGTTACCGATTCAACTCCATGACCAGTCAGACATTGCTTTCTCCTGAAGGCTAGCACCAGCAACGCGTAAGTCTCTGTCACAGCCACCACAAGAACCCCGACATAAACGCAGACCGTCGTCGCGAAAACGTACAAGTATCTGAACCACAAAGTCAACTTAACTCATCAGATGAAATTGTTCTTGGTGAAATTAATTGTTGTGACAAATTTAACAAAGTTATAATATTACTAAGTTGCAGGCGTCGACAGACTTACTTGGGAGAGAAGACGGACCACACAAACAAATGGTTCCTCATCAAGACCAACACGACGGTGTATGATGTCAAGAGGATTGAGTTTAAGCACAACGGAACTAGGCAAGGAAACCCAAGCATGGTCTTGAGAAGCTGGCCCGAGTTAACCATATGTGCATCAGTTGCAAGATAGTGTGTGGTTTTGACAGAGTTGAACATGACCAAACTCAGAAGAAATAGCAGCGGAGAAGCGTAGGTGATTAAGAACATCAAGATACCAGAAAGGAATATGGAGTGACTTGAGATTCCCTACAAAAAATGCAATTCCAACTGGAAGTTAGCTGGCTATGACTTTTCGTTATGTGCATGCGCATGTTAATGGCGGGGATTAGAGCATTCTCAAGCAAATAGGATGAGAGGACGTACGATGAAGGCTCCAGCAACATCGATAGTGGCTAGAGTATTGCTGTTCCCTAGAGCAAAATGGCCGGCCATTCCCAAGTAGTACAGTGATGCAACCTGATAGAGAGAATAAACAAGCATAACTTTCCTGACATTACCATTGAAAATTCACAAGGTGATATGCTTCAGCAAATATACAGACAGAAATGCATAATCGCCGGCCATAACCCATCCATGACTAGTCAGACGCTACCAATATTTGTTCTCAATTCTCAAATAAACCGCTTGAAAATCAAGACACTCCCGAAGTATGGAATATGGACTGACCTCAACCAATTCCGTATGGTATTGTCCACTCTGAGAATAACAAAGCATGCTACCCAAAATTTGCACCATAAGCAAGAGGATGGGCATTGCATTGATTCCCTGTTGAAGCAGCAGCTGTAGAAGACAACAGCATATAACATATGCCAGCCCAATCACATAAGAAGAATCTTTAAGTGCCAACAACAGATCCTCATGTTGAATGCCAATAGGAATTGACTGCTTTGAGTTTAAATGATGTCTTGAATGATCATGAGAACTCCCAGCAGGCATCAGCCATGGTGTGACCAAAAAGCTGGTCGTTGCAGAAATACCCAAAATTGCATATATTATCTGGGCTGATGTATTAGAACCATAATTGAAAAATGCAAAAGCATTTTCCTCCCCATGTTTCATGACATACCTTAGAACAAAGAACCCAGATGATATAAAGGAAAATGCAGCAAGAAGAATGGCTTTTCCTCTTGGCCTCGGTAAATATAAAGCAAATAAGCCCAAACTGATCACAAGAAGGCCCGAGGCTAGCTGAATAGACCTTATACTTCCACTTCTTGATTTTTCAAGCCACTTAGAAATGTCTGGAAGATGAGTCCAGTTAACTCCACCTTGATGCCAGCCTCTCAATATTCTCCCAGATAAAAGAAGCAATATCATGGAGCAAAGTTGAAATCTAATTCTTTGGTTCTGTTTCTGCAATGTAAGCGAACTTTGAAAACTTCCAAAATGAAGAGATCCCAATAGTTGTCGGAGTAGTAACAGGCATGATGTCATTGTAACAAAATGCCAAATATATTGTTCTTCCTCTACCAAGGAACTTGAACCCATACTCATCATAAGGATAAATACAACACTAAGAACAAAGATCTCTTGTAAACACCACTTGCGCACATGCTGGATGGAAGGCGAGACTTCTCTTTGCAAGCAAATTAGGATGGCTAAAAAGATTAGACATGATAAAGCCATCGCAGCGATCCCAAAAGCAAGCAAGCTGACGGGTTTCTGGGGAGGAAAACAACAAAGCTTTATAACAGGGAAGACAAAAGTATGGCAGTAATCATTTTCATATTTTCCACATACGATAAGCAATACTTTATTTTTATTTTGTTTCATAAGATACGCTTGGAAAGACATCAAATACTAAGTAATAAACTAATCATACATACATCGGTTACTCTGCGTGATAACCATTCACTTGCAGTATTCAAGAAATCCCAATATGCAGCAACAGCAACCTTGTAATCATTCCTTGCCTCAGACCTATGTAGAAAAATCATTAATTACACGCATTGATGTTAACTTAAATTAATAATAATTAACAGTATTGAGAAAACATTGCAAGCTGAATATTGATTCATGAATATGAAAATTGTATCACATGCTGTCTCATGTAACTAAACCCACCTGGAGCCACTCATAGATTCCCAGGAATGACTAAGAGTTTCAGCTTTCGTGTATAAGCAACAAAGAGTCCTCTCAATACTACCACTGCATTCTCCGTTTGTTGACTGAACATGATCAGACAAGCCAACGTCTCGTGAGCCTCCATACGAAAATGCTGGTAATTGTGCCTGAACTAATCTCAGCAGTTGCCACGAATTCAACTGCAGAGCTCTCAGCCTTTTGTCTTCTGTCCCATGAAAACAAAAATAATATATGTCAAAGTAGATAAACATCGATGGATCAGCTAATGAGCACAAAGCCAAGAAGCCAACAAATGAAAGATTATAGTTAGCATTTTCTTTCATACCACGCATCTTGTGTGATTGATTATTAATGTATAACTGAGTATTAATACTTTTACTTCAGACATAGAACTTTGATACAGATATCCACCAGCATCTAGGAAACGATCTGCCCAATTTCTATCCAGCTATTTAATATCCACACTCAAAGAACTAACCTGGAAGAGAATCAAATGTTTCAGCAATCAGGATTCCAACATTGTTTTTGGGAATTGGCAGATTATAAAGAAGAGCCAGCGTTGGAGTAAGATCAACCTGTGCATATAGACACAACATTAGTCTTCTCTAGGGTTGAAATATATGATTATTAAGGTTTAGATTCTGACATAGCTCTATAGTTTCATTCCCTCGCATATGAAGAAACACTTTGAGCAACAGACTTAAAGTAAACCTCAGAGTTGGAACAGAAGGGAGAGCACAAAGCTGTAATTGATAATAACTTTTTTCCAAGTGGTTTGTGAGATCGTACAATTGGACAGGCTGTCAATCCTGTGCAGAATGTATAGTTTGATTACCTTGCATATTAGGGAACACATCGAACAACAGACTTAAAGTAAACCATTGGTACAAAAGTGCGAGAACAAAAGCAGTAAACAATGGCAGCAAACAAGAGTAACGACACCAAAAGACTTGATACATAATTAAACAATCTAGGGAACTCAAAATTAACACATACACAATTAAGCTTGCAATTTTAAACGAACAAAGAAAAGGCTCTCATAGGAGGTAAGAACTGATGCAGTGATGCTGTAAAATTACCTGATGTATGGAACTGACTGATGCCTGGTCAGTGATTTCATTTTGAAGGCCAATGAAAAGCACTAAGGAATCAGTTTCTTCGTATGAAGAACCTCCATGATTCCCACTTTCAGTCATACCATGGTCACTAACCACCACCTACATACATAAAATCCATCGCATATTAAAAAAGAATGTAAATGCAGAGATTCTGAGCATTCGGAAAGGAGGAGGACAATATGTAGGGTCGTCCACATATCCATACCGATCAGCAAACTATTTTGCTACAGAAGAATGACAGATTATTATATCAATAGCCATTGAGAATTTGAAACACAAACTTGCCAGGGCTTTCCATTTTAGAAAACTGGTTCAGACTAAAAGGATTCAAATTAATCAATTGTAAAATAATCAACATAGTTTTTAAAATCTACGGCACAAGAAGAAATGATTATGAGGTAAACTTCGTTATAGAAACGTCAAAAGATCTAACTGGTCAACCATCCTGATTCATTACCATGGATAATCTCCATGAGCTCACAACACAAAAGTTTCCTTATGATCTTCAATGAATTATCAACTAAGCATCGTTAATTCAATGAGTAAGGGACATGGCAAACCAAAAGTGTCCGTTCATGATCATCTCCTTGAGGTTGTATGGCATGTGAATGAATCATCTCCAACACTTCATCCATTTCGGTAAGTTTTGGGCCCATCAGGAAACTACAGTAGTTTAAGACATAAGATGTTCAATAAACGCAAGCAACACTTTCAATTGGTCAGGTCTTTCATCTGAAATGAAGCTAGAACCTGCTACGCCCTCCAATATGTCCAACGTGATCCAGGCCAAGATAGTGAAGAACCTACAAGGAGACAACAACTAAAATCTGAGCACTAATTGTCCAGTGAAACAACTATGTATACAATATAAAGCTAAATTTCTTATTGAGTAACAAAATCGTGTCAAAGATGTCCAAGTCAAAGATTGAAAACAGAAAGTCACATTCATCAAAGGCGTAACATATTAAGCACTGCTTCACGGGGGAGACAAATAAATGAGAAAGCTGAAAACGAATCAAGTACAAGAAACTAAAATATAGAGAACACAAAAATCCAGGAAATCCAGCTCGACAAAACCTAGACCAAGCTCTTCAGTGCTTCGTATACAACTCAGACTCATTCGAAGGACTCACCAGAAGATTCCAATCACTTTGGCTAAGCTCCTTTTCCAGATGCCTAGAAACATTGAAGTCGACTTGTACAGTATCTTTAACCTGAGGAAAGAAAAAATCAAAACAGACATATCATTCTTCAAATCCTTTGAATGTAAGCCTAACAACCCTGTCAAAGAACAACCCAGACATAAGACACACAACAAAGATCGTGCAATCTCAGGCTTTTTCAACAGATCTGAACAACTAAAATATATGCAACATTCATCATCACAAACAAAAGATTATGGAACTGAAAAGCAGAACATGTGGGAATAAACAAACTTACATAAAAGCTGTTAACTCCATCATGTCTCGAAAATAAACCTGGAAACAGTCTAAGCCAAGTGTCATCTCCCAGCATCACCATCTTCCAACCAATTTTGAAAAACTGGCCTGCAAGAAATCTATTCATCAGGAACTTAAGTCTTAAGATTCAGCAAAACCTAGGAGGATTGAGAACCTATCAAAGTCACAAATCAGATTATCATAGCAATAGTTCAAACTACTAACCAAGAAGATTGTCATCTAACAGAGCCTGAGTGTTAAAATTGAAAGCCACATCCAAAAATCCCCCTATTGCGCCAGAAACCATCGCCTGCAATTTTACACTTACAAATCGATAAGAAATGGAAGACTTTCACAGGATGTATATCTCTGTGACAGTTTGTGAAAGCAGACACTAATAACGACCTTTAACCGAGGCATTGTAACAGTTGGAGGGGCAGCCTTTGCATGGTAGCCAATTGCCTTTCCAGTAGATAACAATGAATGAGTATATGGCATAGCTTCCATCAGATCTTTACGCGGAGGCTGGCCATCCTTGCCAAGCACAAATTCTGCTGGAAGACCATCAATAACCTAAACTGACACTGTTGTACATGACAAACTGAAGCTTTTTTTGTACATATAGCATGAACAGTAACCCTTCTAGAAAAATGTGCATACCATGAGAATTAGTCGGTCAAACGCGGGAGCGATCCCAGAGAGCTCCTACACATAACAGACACCCACCATTACCACCTAATAGACAAGAAATGCCGCATAGCAAAGAAACCATCTGCACCGGTACTGATTTTAATAGTGGGATCGATTAGGTTATCTGCAACACTTTGGATCAATTACACATCTCCGAATTCATTTCGGATCAGCAGCATGATCAACGTTTACTGATAACATAATGCTCTTTAGCATTCTAAAATTGCACAGGACAGCAACAAAAGCACATCTGACATTTTCCAACAGACGGCGAAGAAGAAAGTGCACCTGATACAAGGATTTCAGCTGACGAGGAGGCAAATTGGGCTGTATTTCACTTCCATTCTTACCGGCATCATAGCCCGGCGGATAGAAACTCTCCAGGCCACTGGAAAGGCAAATTGAGGGAAAACGAATGAATGCTAGACGCTCTAATTAACATAAAACTAGTATATAGCAAGCGAAGAAGGTGAGCTTTTCAAGATAATGAACCTGACGCCGGAGAGGGCCGGTTTGACGGGGAAGAAACCGTAGACGAAGAGCGAGAGGCCGACGATTTGGATGAAAACCGCAACTAGGGTGAATAAGGTTAGTCTGCTGCAAGTCAGCTGCGCTGTTGCTTTGTGCATCGCCATTGCAATAAAGCTTGTAGAGCAAATGAGAGCTGAAAGAGCTTCGGTCTCTGGATGCAAGTAGCCAAGTACGCTGCCAGGAGAAAGTCAGATATGCAGGCATTTGCTAGATCTTTAGCAACTCTTTATAAATGTCTCCTACTTGTAAGATTTGAAAGATTTAAGGGATTAAACCTGGTATTAAAAATGTAATGATGGTCTTTCCGTAACTCACCAAATAGGAAGTAGAACTTCTTCAAACCCCTGAAGGCCTAAAACCCCAGAAGCCACACAAAAAAGGCGTCGCCGGCGCTGGATTCGATTTCTCTCGGATGAACAAAAGCCAATATCTCAAATTTGCGCCGTTTACTGTTGACTGGACCAGATTCAAAGCTTTACTGTCTGCTTTCTGAGATTTCGGAGGCAATCTCTGATGGAGCAGAGAGCGAAATGTGTAGCATTGGTGGGCGCAGGGGTTGTTCTCGGCTCTATGTCCACATTCTTCCTCCTCGAGCTTCTTTCCAGGCAAGTTCTTGTTTGCCCTCTCCTCTCTCAAGGAAACACCTGTAACCCAAAGTGTAACGAGTTGTGTAAGCTTTTGCCTATTGCAGAAGAAAGTCTCTCCCAAGTAAGGACAGAGTGAAGAATATTGGATTAAATGGTATCTGCTTTTGTTTTGCCTGATTCCTGGTATTTGGATGTCTGAAACTCAATGTCCATACTTAAACTTGGATGGGATGCTAGCAAGTTTGCTTCTTTTTATGTGGTAGGTGGTGCGATTCGACAGGAGGTTTCAGTGGCATGCTCAACTTCAGATAGAAATGACGGGATTAGAGGTTCAGACCTTCTAAAGGATGAAATAGTTTCGGAACAACTAACCAGGTAAGTTCAGCTTTACTCTGGATGTATTAAAGCTATTGTCTAAGCTCATTGCGAAGTCCTGAGTTTTCATGACTTAATTGGCTTCTAGCCTAGGTGCTGGATGCTTTGCTTTATTCCTTACCATTCATTTGCATTGGATTTGGAGTAACTTCGTTTTCCATACTGTATTGCCTGTAATCCACCGGTCAAATTGAGTTCGTTTTCCTGCTTAAAAGGTTGTTGCTTACGAACTTCGAGACTTCATTAGGCCATCATTATTCTTCTTTCTTCCTTCAGTCCCCATTGAAATTGAATTATTGGCTTGTTCAGTGTCTGCGGCACTGTAACAAGTTTAATTTTGCTCGCATTTAACAGCGAGTAAGTTTCGTCTCTTTGCTTTAACCTATTCATATTCGAAACCTTCTATACAGACCATGATTCATGGATGTTGTGTTATTTATCTTCGTCTGTTGTAGCTGCCTTCTATCTGGTCAAGCGACTTCTTAGGATCCAATGTTCTTGACGCACAGTTTGTCATTGGATTGCTTTCTTGTGGTCATTAGGAACATTCAATTCTTTGGTTTTGAGTCCCAAACCAAGGTGACTGCCTCCTACGTCGTTGTCATTGGTCTAGGAGGTGTTGGAAGTCATGCAGCATCAATGCTGTTAAGGTCAGGTGTTGGAAGACTCCTCTTAGTAGACTTTGACCAGGTATTTTCATTGCTCTTTGTTTTCCCCCTATTTTATGGCTTACCTAAGTTACAATCTTTCTATAGACTCTTTGGTGGTGCCACCAAGATTCTGTACAGAGCTGCATTTTCTCTCCACGAATTATGGAACGCAAATAAAAAATGTGTGAAGGATGGGAATTTCACCTTTAAAGTAGCTTGGCACATATAATTTATTGATGCAGCACTGTATTATTTTTGCTCATGTCATGAAAGGTCTCAGTTTCTTCCTTAAATCGACATGCCGTTGCAACGAGAGCAGATGTTGGCATTCCGAAAGCTGAGTGCCTGAAAAAGCATTTTTCGTCAATCTTCCCCGAGTGTTCTATTGAAGCGAAAGTTCTTCTGTATGATAACTTATCTGAAGAAGAGATTCTCTCAGGCCATCCGGATTTTGTGCTGGACTGCATTGACAACATTGACACGAAGGTACCACCTTTTGGGTGACCAGCAAACTATCCATTGTATGTGTTCCTCATTTGTGTCTGATGTGCTTTTCTAATCGGAGTACAATCAAAGTGGCATTCTTCTTCCCAGACCTTCTTCATCTGATTAAGATACTAAAGTATTCTGTGTTCCATTGGGTTTAAGATAATGGATTTGACAAACTGAAACTTTTATTTTCTGATAGGTAGCGCTTCTAGCTGCATGTGTTAGAAGGGGATTAAAGGTTCTATCTGCAACAGGTGCAGGTGCCAGAGCTGACCCATCCAGAATAAGAGTGGCTGATTTAAGAGAGTCAACCAATGATCCATTATCTAGATCTGTATGTACTTTTATCTCACTTTTTCAATTAGATGTGCTTATGAATGTGTTGTGTGCTGTTATGCTCTTTGTGGTTTTCATTCTTAAACAGTTAAACTTGATAAGCATGTAAAAAATAGGGCATTGAAGTTCGAATTCATCTGTCACTGTCTTGAAACAGAATGGACTTGGACTGCAAAAATCAGTGGAAATATTATTGGAAAAGGATTCCTTAAAGTTTGATAGTCATTTTCTGACGTTCGAAGCTTTTAGAGAAAAAGTGATACGTACATGCATGTTTTAGCAGAAGGTTCATTCACAAGTGCATAACTATTGTGCGTACATGCATGTCGGGTAATGTCTAGATGTCAAACCTGACTATGTTTCTCTGGTTTAGGTAAGACATCGTCTGAGGAAGCATCATGGTATAGAGGGGGGAATACCTGTTGTCTTCTCTCTGGAAAAGCCAAAAGCCAAACTGCTTCCATTCAAGGGACCAAGTGGAGAAGAAGAGAATCCTTCTGATTATCAAGTGAGGATGCTTCCAATCAGTTTGAACCACTTTTTCAAATTTGTGTTTTATTTTATTTAAGCTTTATCTCTAACTATGAGTCAATTCCAGATAGTTCCTGGATTCAGGGTGCGGATCATTCCTGTTTTGGGCACTATCCCTGCAATCTTTGGCCAAGTGATGGCTTCCTATGTCGTGACACAACTAGCAGGGTTTCAAGTGGAAATGGAACCTGTTGTTAATTTGGATACGGAGCACTATCAAATGCTTCATCAGCGGCTTATTGAACATGAGGAGTCCCTGTATGGCACAGCCGTGCAGGTTCAGGTATGGATATGGATATACACCTTATACCTTCTCGCGGGCGAATCTTCATAGTTGATTAGTTCTTTGCTATCCTGTTAGTCTTAACTTTTTAACTATTACGCTACTAGTTGTGAGAATCTGGCGTGGGCATATCAACATACAAGTGTCTCCTTTTTGTATGATACTAAAAGAATTGTATCTCTGAATCACCTGTGTTTCTTTCTAACTTGTATGTGCCCTATTCTTTTGTAGGTGGATGTGGAGGAAGTGAAGTACATTGTGAAAGAACTCTGGCATGGTCGAAGTGCCAGAGAACCATACGCCAAAGATGTTGGACGAGGGATGTGGCGAGCTGTTAAGGAATTAATGCTTGTAAGGTATGAGCACTTGTAAAGGAAATTTCTTCTTTGATTCTGCAATTCACATAGTCCTACATCCTGAAAGGACCAACTACTTCAGTTGTCTTTTTGTCCATTCAAGTTTTATTATCTCTGCAGATGGGACTCAGAGAAGCCAGCGTCAGTATCAAATCTAATTCTTCTAAAATTTATGGAGGTATTGTCTCTTCTCCGACAATTTGGGGATCTCCAGTGTTATATTTTTCACATGTTGCATGCAACAGTTTGGTTCAGGCAGCTCATAAGTATTTTGGGAGAAAGCCCTTACCTGCTTGGTATTTTGGTGACATTTGATGTTTTTATTTTCTCTTTTTTTCCCAAAGAGAGAACGAGAAACTGTGTGGAAAGAATAGAACAGATTTTCTGTGCAAAATCTATCCCCTTGTTGGAAGCAAGTGTCAATGGCCTTAGTTTTAGATGTTTCCCATTTTCTGAACCGAGTCTGGCTTTTCTATAAGGTGGAAGATGATCACAGCTAAGATATCCAATGTGACGTTTTTACTAATCAATCACTGTTTCTTTTTTTTTTTTTGTGCAGGCTGATGAACACGAATCAAGAACATTGAATGATATAAAGGAGAAAGAACCAGAATTTTTCCAGACGGTGACTACTGTCTTGAAGCGAGCACAGCTCGAATTTGGCTCCAAATGACTTCTTAGTTATGCCTAGGCACGTTATGGCTTTGTAGCAATCACAGGCCTCTTCTTACTTCTTTCTCTGAGCTACAGATGTTTGTACAATACCTGATTCTCAAAGGGACCAAAAAGAGGCCAGGAAGACCTCTTGCAAGTTCTGCATATACCTGAGTCCTTCCTTTTTTTAGCGTACTGAGTTTCGCAATTAGGAAGAAAATTAGCATGGCTTTTGAAATACAATTAGTTGGTAACGTAAAATGTAAGTGAAATTATGTACTCAACCAGTCAGTTCGATACAACAAGGTATCAATGAATATTAGTTGTGGCAAATTCGTTGTCTTCCATCGCATTGTACGAAATGTTGAAACTGGTAGATTGCTGAAATGAGTGGATTGTGATCCATGATGAAAACAAAATTCTGAAATAATTAAGAATGACCTGTGCAATTCAATACCAACTAACCTGCATAGTTTAAAACAATGTAGATTACAAATGCTACAACTGTTATACAAGTTACCAATAAACAGCTTCTTCAATCCAATCGCACTACCAAATCAGATTTCAGAAGCCAAAATTTGTCCCCAACTCCCCATAGAAATTCCCTCCCTTGAACCCGCTCTCCCTGACAAACAAAACCAACACATATACAAATGCGCAATAATATTACATAGAACTCGTGGGCGAAGAATACATATTCAGATTTTCCATTCACGACTTCACATCTCTCAAAACACCCCCTTTCTCAAGTTCACTAACCAGGTCCCTAAGTGATGGGACCTTCATGGCTAAAGTCCTATACAGTCTCGAGTACCGTGCCCTCGTCCCATCTGCAGTCCTCGCCAACGCTAGCAAGCTCAGGGCCTCGGGAAGCTGAGAGAATGCTTGTTTCATTTCCTCCAGGTCCAGGTTTTCGAGAACAGATGGTTTTGGAACCACTCTCACTATCTCGCCGCCTTTGGGTTCTTGGACCCGTGCATCGGCCTTGATTACCAGTTCCGATCTCGAGTTCGCTCCACATTTGATGATGAAGGGAGTTGTGGACCCCGTATTGAACTGCAGGACATTCCATTGTGCCACGTCAATTTCGGTGCCGGACCCCACAGCATCCGCTGATGGTTTCCGACCTTGCTCGAAAATAGCATCGTCTTGCTCAGGGATTGACTGCAACGTTGAAAAGAAATGTTGGAATCAAGATAGTCAAGCTATAGATTCTACATGGATCATGCCAAAAAGAAAACTGTCAAAATTGTCGTTTGCAAAATAGGTTTTTCGTTACTCAAGGTGAGGCTATTTTTTAATACAAAATACCTCAACTGAGCTGCGAGCATCTGCAATCTGCCTTTGTGCACAAGGATGATCGATCTCGAGAAGAGATGGCATGCGTTCCCCAAGTTCGTCGAGAGAAGATAGCAATGCTTTCTTCTTACTTTTACTCAAGGTGTTAACAGATGATTGTCGCAATATGTCCTATGAAAATAACCAGATAGTCAGTTTGTTGTATCCAAACTTGCTATATCAAAGCATAAGCATATCGTAAAAATGACAGTAAATAGAGCAGTGAGAGGTTAACCTTGACTTGCTTCAATATGCCATCAAGTGAGATTAGAGAAGCTAATCGAGCATCCTCAGCGGCAGTAGAAGGATTGTGAATAGGTGCACTGCTTGCCAGTGCTAGAAGCGCGGCATCACTTTTCATTTGCTGCAAAATCTATTCAATAGAAAAAAAATAGAAATTAATGAAGCCCAACTATTAGGATATAAGGGAACCCCTAATAGAAAATGGAAGAGGCCTGCCTTTCTTCTTTTATGATCAACAGACTCCAATGCTGATCGTAATTTAGCTACTTGAATTCCATCTTCTGCTTCTTCTGTTGCCAAGGTTCCCGCAATATCCTGATCAGGGAAAAAACCAGTAAACAAATGCCTAAAAATGCTCACTGATTGCAGTGGTATTATGCGAAGTTAGAGCCACTACTTCAAGATAATTTGCCTTCTCAAAAGGAAGCATCAACTTGTCTGCGATGACATGGTTTAAAAAATTTATCGGATTTTCCAGGCAACAACTAACAAGGGAAATTACCTTTAAATGCTGCATTTGGGAAGTATAGACCCGCTTAGCATACTCTGATAGAAGCTGCCCAAGTGCGTCTGTGCTAGGAGGCATTGCGGCTCCAAGTCCCGCCATCCAACCATCCATAATTGCAGTAGAAAGGAGCTCCAATTGACCAGTCGTCCCTCCAGAAGCATCATCGCCGGTGACAGAAAGAAAATCAAAATTTTCTGCCAGCCATGATCTGATCTGACGCTGCAGCTCACCAGCTGGAGTATGCACAAAGAGAGCAGCAAGACCCTTATTCCCTATGGCAAAGCTTTTTGCTTCCTCCTGGATTTCTCTCAGCTTCCCACCTGTAACTTGCTGCCTCCACACGTCCTGTACAGGGATAAAAGTTCAAATGCAACATGAAGAAAACGTCAGGTAGCTCATGATTTCGAATCGAAAGACGATTAAATTCAGTTACGAGATAACGAGTACCAACTGATAGAAAAATGGACATGCAGACAAATAAAGACAAGTTATGGAGTTTCTGTTTTGCAACAAAGACAGTTCAAAGGTTCAGGCACATCATTTATCGAAATAGTCATAGTCTCGAGATCAACACTTTTCCAAAAGCCAGGGGAACAGTACAGAAGTAAACAGGCAGTATGCATCACAGCCTCACCTGATCAATTCCTCGCATCCTCAACACAACAGATGACAACTTGGACTTCTTTTCTGGCTTTATATTCACTTTAAATCCCTGGATCTGCTCCTCAGCATAACGTACAGGAGATCTTCCAGGACTACTGCCACGGCTTGAACTTCTGCTTCTTCCAGTATTTGCCCTTTCCAGAAAGCGCTCGACAGGAGATACCTGCAGGTGGTGAGGAGAAAAACAATGATCTTATGAAATCGGATGAAGCATATCATGCTTTGCACAACAACAAACTGAATCAGATGAGCGAACGTTAACCTTTATTGATTGCAGTTCTGGTGATCTTGCAAGTAAAGATCTTATGTACAAAATGCGAACACGAGAAACAAGCATGGTGTCCATCACTCTTTTTGGCTCCATTTTACGGATGAAGGAGAAAACAGCATCTCGGATTTCAGCCAGTATTTCATGCTCCCTTGAAGCACCAGCTTTAATAACAGCAGCCAGAACCTGCAAAAAAATAGCAGATACCATCAGCAATGCCTTCAGGATAAGCTATAGATGCTTACTAAAGAATTCAAAAACCTACAAACACAATGACAAGATCAACACAATATTTGGAAATCATATAATGGTTTCCCCCAAAGGACCTGGCCCAGGAACAAGAATGAACATTCACATCCACAAGAAAAAAAGAACTTCAGGAATACTCATATATGTCAACTCCTGTATTCGCATCTAAGTAGACACGGGTCAATAACAAAGGCTAATAAAGAAAGCATAGATAACATAAATCGCTCTAGATGAAAATTATTACTCAGATGAAACCTTGGACTAAAAGTTATAAGAGGGAAGAGGCGTCATGTGACCTATACTTTAATACTAGTTTCAATGAATCGTGGAAGAAGTATTGTGCTTGCAATGATTGCAAGAACTTCAACTCACGCCTGACATTAAACATTAGGGTGCATAATAGTAAAGACTTTTGGCAGAGCAAACTAGAAGGGAACTGTTGCACTATCAGTCAGCATACCAACATCAAAAGCTTGTTAGCTCCATCTGAAATTGCAGCAAGGCTGTCTTGTTGTTCAGGATCAAAGTCATTTAGAGCAGCTGTAAGATATTCTCCTGCTGGGGTCGTCTTGACCATCTCTGAGCTAGATTTAACCAAGGCAACAGTTCCGTCAGGTTTGGCCGCAGCTAATGGTGAAGGAACAATATTTGTGGACTGTCCTGTGTTCGCATCATTCCTGACAAAGGGCAACATAAATATATGTAAACAAAATACACATACAAAGAAAAATAGTGAACTAACAGGATAACTAAACTCTTCTTAAGTCAACACCTTCCAAGGTCCCGTGGTTGAGTACTGACAGTGCCTTTTGGTACTGGACTTGACACCTGCCAAGGAAATTAAGTCAGTAAAGGGGAGGAAAAGCTTCACACTCAATCCATTAAACATTACGCCCAACTATGCTTCTAACATCACCCTAATAGTAGAATTACACACATTCAGCATGCCAAAGATTGGAGAAGCACAACCTAAAATAAATAGAACATTTCACTACCTAGCAGTAACAAGGTTGAGCTTATTGTTTGAGAAACATTCCTAAAATGACCATATGTAGCAGATACACATTGAGGACCAAAAACAAGGACCACACACAGTAGCAAAGCTGATGATGGATTGATGGGTGAAACAATAAGCAGGGTTAGCAGTATGAAAGATATGATGGTTGCAGAAGCACTCAACACACTGACACGGAAAAAGCAGAATAGACATGTTTCATATTTACCCCAAGAATATAAAGGGAAAATATGTTGTACACTCCATCAGCCATAGGAAACAGAAAATCACAATCACCTGTGGAGATGCACTTAGTGAGGCTTTCTCAGTTAATCTATCAAATAGCTTCTCATTCTCTTCATGCAACCTCTGCACAAAAGATAAGAAACTATTAGAAAAGTTTATGAAGATAAACTTACACTTCATTCCATTCATAATAAACCCAGAAGTTCAGCATTAGACCAAAGCTCCTCGGTAATTGAACTTAAGCATGCCATGACCAATGGAGCTTCAACAGACATACCTAAAAACATAAAGAAAGGTAAAATCCACCTGTTCCCCCTGCTCTTCCACATATGTGGTTGTGATGAATTCAGGAAAGGAGAGCAGTGAAGAGTTACATAAATTGAATGATTAATCCATAAAGCCAAAGCAATGCACTAGAACAGTTCAGTGGTTTAAAAAAGTATGGTTATGAATTCAAATCCATCACCAGATGTCATAGCATCAATGGGTATCAGCTTTTAACTGCTTACCTCTATAAGTGCATCACGCTTTCTGAGTTCTTCCTCAAGTTTCTTGGTAACAGAAGAAGAATCCAAATCATCACTAGTTGCCTTGGAATTTGGTGATACCCCCGGCTGTTCTGTGCCAATCAAAGACCTAGCCTCACTTGAACGATTGGATTCATTGAGTTGTGATTCTAAGCTTTGAATTTTAGCCTACATAAGATTACAAAATCCCGTGCAGTGAATTCGGCGTGTAAATCATAATTCTTTATCAATAAAAGCCTAACAAGCGATAAGCTATGAGATTTCATTCCTACCCCTACCGAAGTGGGGGATAATACAGCAGCAGGGGAAAGGAGACATGTACATCGTAAAATCAGTGTGGTGCTACATAAAGCAACAGAGAGAAATTGTGGAAAGGGACTATTTCTATAACTTAGAACAGTCAAAGAACCTTACAGACTCAGTAATACAATGAACTTCTCCATGTTTTGGTTTTTTATAAAAGAAATTCTCTATACCGATAGAATATTTAGAAATTTCCAATGTAAAGAGGAAATCTATGTACTTGAGATACAAAACAATGTTGCTGGTGAACAAACCTGCAATCCTTGAATGGTAGAATCTCTTTGTTGGATCTCGATTTTTTGTTCTTGCTCCAGATGTAACAGCTGAGCAACTTGATTCCTAAGCTGAGCATTTTGTTCTTTTTCTATCTTATGCTTGTCAGATAGCATAATATTCTCAGACTGCAATGGAGGAATACGGCAAATATTAAGCTCAACGCAACTCCATCCACAAACACAAAGGCAGAATACCACCCAAAAAAAAAAAGGAAAGGTAGCTGTTTAAGTTTCCAGTAGATTAAAACAGACAAGAAAAAGGATACATCATCAGAAGCAACTTTAAGTAAATTGAGAAAAAAATACAGAATGGCACACCCAGAATATGCTACGAGATTTAAGCATCAAATTCACATTTAGAGATGAAAACCATAAATAACTTAATTGTAACGGAATAGTGGCCAAAGAGTGAAGTTCACCTTTAGATCTGACTGCAAGGTAACAGAAACTTTCCAAGCCTTTTGAACTTCATTGAACAGCAGGACACACTGATCATTGGCATCTTTAAGAGCCTGCTTCAGTCCCAATAACTCTTGCTTCAAATCATGAATTTCTCTTTCTTTCTCATATACCTCTTTCCTTGCATCATTTGCCTGAAATACTCAAAAATACCAAATTAGTATATTTCATAGTCAATCTGTAAGCAAACTAAGAACACAAAATATTCTCGAAACAGCACAATCCGAACTGATTCCTTTTAATAAGTAAAATTCAGGCAGACCGAGTCAAAACACGGTAATCAATATTAACCAGGTCAATTCCTCGTTGCCCTTTTCACCACTGAGTTGGCAGTTCTTTATTTCAAAATTATTTTAACAGGGTTCCGGATACTTATTTGAACTTATCATCTCTCTATCTATAAACAAATCTTAAATCATTCTATCATTCGTCAAGATGATCAGGTTCGAATATCAACCATTCATTCAAGGAATAGGGTTATATGGAACATGATACATGAAATCTTGGATGAATAGATGAGTGGTATGCATATGAAACAAGAACTCACAGTATCTTTCCACTTCTTGATAGTATCTCGGTTTCCAAGGCTTAGTACAGAATTCCGCGCTCTAGCACAGAAATTAAGTGAGGCCATTGTCTCTGACAAATTTGCAGCGTTTGGACATATATTGAGTATCATCAAAGTTTTTGAGCTACCCCCTGCAGAGATCACAAGAATTTAAGGGACTAACTACTAAAATCTAATACCAGAAAAACACGAGGGAAAGAGGCAGAAATGCTGAACTGAAACCTGAACACAGGACAAACCAACAATAGCTTCACTTACGAGCTGATATACCTCAGATTTCAAGTTTGATGCATCACAGAACTGTAGTTGAAAAGTTAAAAATGCTTGTGCATCTAAGACAAATTATGTGCGGGTGTGACAAACATAGATTGAGCTATCCGGGTGGGCCCCCGAAGGGTAGAAGCATTGGCAAGAAAGAATTTTACACCATTATGACTCTCAAGCCACAAGCAATTGCATATCCAGAAAGTTTCACTCCTTCCTTCCTATATCCCAATTCATAAGACCAGGGCGAAAGAAATGTCCTACCTAGAGAGTCTGCAAGAATCCTCGTAAGCACTGAATTTCCATAGGGAATATCTTCTTTCTTTGTGGTCAAAGCAGACAAGACATCTCCCAACCTATTCACGAAATATGTAGCAAGTCCATGTCACATACAGGAACAATAACAGCAGATACACTATTCATGTATACACAGAAGCTCAGCTTTAGGCACCAGGCAGAAAGCAGATCATCAGTAGGTAACGTGCAACAAAGCAGAATATGACTTACGCAGAGAGTGATTTCATAACATGCAGCAAATCTGTAACACGCTCCCCACTCTCCTCTTCAGTAATCAAACCTTCAGTTCCAGCCAGGTCCACAAGTGAGAGCTTACTATGCAAGTTTTCTCCAGTAATCATGTTGTTATAATGTACATGTATCGTGACAATTCTGCAGAGAGAAAAGAGAAGTAGTCCATAGTGGTTCAACAAAATATCCCAGTTGGTACCACAAACATGAGAGAGTGTCTCGTGTGCAGTGACCTTCTACCAGTCATTGAAAAATAAAAACGTTAGAAAGTGAACTTCTAAAGAAATTTAGGGAAATTCCACTTATACGGAATACCACAAGTTCAATTTCTGGCTAAATGTCCTGGGATCACTTTGCTGGATCTGTATCTGCAAACACTACAGAGCATGTGTCCATTTTCGCTAAGAAAGAAGCTCTTACTTCTACAATATCAGGCATCCAACCTACCCTTCTTTCATACAAAATTACAGGTTTTGTTTAGTTCAGTTAGAGTACTGTAGATAATCACTAAACGCGATGTCTTTTACCCTAGCACATTAATTTCCTCAACAAATTGTCCTCGACCTTAACAAACCCTACAACTAAATTTCCTACTGTCCTAAGCAATTCAGAACATTATCCCCTTCTAACTGGTCTCACATGGACACAAGTTACCGAGTTGGCCTGATACTTATGTCTAACAATGATTAGATTATAGATAACTTTAACACAGATATCTCATTAATAATACAATGAAATCAGTTAGCAATCCAGCAGTGTCACTATGCAAACAGTTAACTTAAGTGTTGCGCTGCTACTTGACCAACACAGTTTGTGCAAAAACAAGAGGCAGATACAAAGAGAGCACTAGGAAAACAAGAGCAAGGATTCATCTTACAAGTGAGAAACATTAAACTTGGATGCATCATTTCCCCGGCACTGGATTGCAGCCTTCAAGACTCTAGAAAAGTCCAATGGATTATCAACCTTTAGTCCTTCAAGCTCAATAGAAAACTCCGCTGGCCCCATCTGAATCTTTTGTGAGCTGATCTCTGATTCCGCAAGAAGATCTCTCACCTACATAGAAAGGATACAAATCAAACACTTCAGAGAAGCCACTAGTGGATCATTACCAATGCTAAGGACCTCTTGCATTCTCCCAACTATTAGGAAAAAGTACAAGAGAGGAATGGAAAGAGAGAAAAAAGATAGAAGGGGGTCTAATTATTACAATAATGAACAAAGAGGAACCTTTTCATTGTAGAGCTCAAAAACTGTGACATAAAAGTTGAAGCGCGAAGCGGAAGTGGAATCAGAGTTAGCCAGATCAAACAACTCCTCAAAACACCGAGCATATAGACCACGTTCATGGCTAGATCCTTCCTGAGAGAAAACAGAACACATCAAGGATTCATAGATTAGTCCAAGTTTATGCAGCATGTTACAGATTATACTATATCACTATGAATGAAAGTTTAAGAATTTCAGTTCCATTTCTCGATTATACGATAAAATATCTTAAACTCAAATATTGAGAAACTTGAAATGTTCTGGCAGATAACTTGTAAGGATCAAGTTTAAGCTCGTCGACTATTGAGAAGATGAAATAGCATCAGTTGAAAAAGGCTCTTAAACTTAGAATCTTCAATGTTGGGAAGCCAGTCCTATGCAAACACCCATAGCAAAGAAGATATCTCCCTACAGAATTACAGGTTTATATATGACAGCCTGTTCAATCCACAGGCTCAGATGCACAACGATATGGAATCGAGATGGAGAGATAATAAGAGTTGGAGAAAAGAGAGATAGTAACCATGGTGTATGTCTTCCCAGATCGAGTTTGTCCATAAGCAAACATGGCGACATTGTAACCATCTAGAGCTGATTGTACAAATGGCTGCACATCCGTGAACAGTTCAGCTGTATAACAAGTTTTTATAAGATCAGGGTTCACATTCTCCTGGCAAATTTTGCAATGAAGCATGAAGTCTAGTTCACATATTGCACATGACGAGGCAAACCAAATATATCTAGCAATACCTTGTCCAACATGAGGACCATAGACTCTGTCAAATTCAAAATCCTTCCTCGGATTTGAGAAGGCATCATCACCAGTATTAATACGGATGGAGGATTCATCAGGAAATTCAACGACAGAATGACCTTCATCTTCAAATAATGGTCTTGCACGACAAAATACTTTAACGTTTCCTGGATTGAGTACATAGTTCATAGACCATGTGAGTAGCACATAATAGATTATTTTGTAGGGTGATCAGAAGCCCAAATTAAATTGTGGAGTTCAAAGTTGATCAAGTATGTTACCTCTGGCTGTCACCAATTCATTAAATAACCTTCTTTTCTCACCAATCAAAGGAGATATCCTAGCCTCACTTTCAAGTGTGACTTGATCTGATATTGGTATTTACAATAATTCAAATGCATCAGCACAACCCACCAACAATGAAACCTTGAGAGCAGATACAAAGATGGTGTGACACTGTGAGGCATGAAATTTCAGATAGAATAGTTCTCGTGATGGAGTTCATATAGTAACACCCAAAACCAACTTTCAACACTGGATATAAGACCAAGGTCTCAGACCAACCATAAATCTCACTTAAAGTTCAAAGAATAAAACAACAACTAGTTCCACTTGCGAAGGATAGCCATCCTTCACTCAAGTAGCTGAAGTAGATCATAAAAGGCTGATTCCATACCTAACTTGCGACTCTTCTCAGCAAGAACTCCTAGGTAACGTGTAACTCGATCAAGTTTTGCATTAGAATATTCCTGAAGATCACTTGCTTCTTGTCTCAACTCCAAGTAATCTTCTTTTACCAGCTAGAAAAAAAATGTCAATACAGTTACTATCAAATTTATCACCAAACTGCATAAATGCACATTGATCCACATATTGACCAAATGATAACACATATCTGATATCACACACAAAGTAGAAGATGAGTTACTATTGTCGTCCATCATCCTTCAAAGGAGTCAAAGTGGCACTTTCAACAGCAATTTCCAATATCTTAGCATTTTAGCGGGCAAGATTCGTGAGATGCTACATCGTTCACTATTCATAGTCTAATCATTCACTGCTATCTGTTGCTTATACTCAGGACTGACACACGCAACATGAATCTTTTAGATAGGTAAAAGCATAAATTAGAGTAACAAGTGCATAATGTTACTTATTATTGAGTGCAAAACAACTTCTTTGGTCTTTCAAATCCATTTGAACAGTTTAAGCATTTAGATCCTTGTTTAGGGCAAAAGAGCAGGATGATAACAAGATTAGAAAGGACAATAGGCAGAGGAAAGTCAGATGAAAGCAAAATTTCGAAGGAGAAAGCAATGTTAAAAATATCCAAAGTGAACAACTTTACTTCTGGACGCAAAGTGGTCCAATTTCAACTCATTAAAGCCTGACGGAAGAAGTGCAATGCAGCAGCGGCCAACGCCAAAATGATAGTAATGGGACCATAACTTACCACATTATTCTCTGAACAAATTTAAATCCATGGTTTCAGTTCTAACAGCCAGGATAGAATTTCCTTGGCAACATCCAAAATCCCCAGGAAGAATGAAAAGTGACAAAGCAGGAGGGTGATACATTAAAGCATTAACAGACCTGACACTGCAAATAAATGTTCTCAAGGGCAAAAAAGGAAGGTATCCATCGTCGATACAATTCAATCGGTGACCTAAGTGGAACTGAAACTGAATGTCTAGCTGCCTCAAATCCTCATCCCAGCATGGTCACATCCACTTCAAAGATACAAAACCCAGCTCATTCCCCGGCTCAAAGCGGAAAAGGAAACTAAGGAACAATGAAAGTAGGGGGAAGCCCCAAGCCTAAGTCTTTTTTCAGCGAACAAAATCTTCACATCCGATGTTTTTAAATCAAATTTAACATCCATTATTACTTGGAAATGGACATCTCAACTAAAACAGCGCCACATTGCCACTAAAAGCACAGCATAATAACCTCAACAACTAACTCACAGCCATCGCCCAATCAATGAGCTCGAAACTGAAGCCTCACCTTAACTTTATCCTTCAGTCTGTGGAGCTTGGAGACAAGCCCAGGCTTGGACAAGTCCGAATTGGCGTCTCTTGGCGGCAAAACCGAGGCCACGGAGGAGGAGATCGAGAATCGGCGAACGTGGGGAGAAATGACCCTCCGCTGCTGCTGTTCATCGCCGTCGGCCGTTGCCAATGACCTTCTAGGCTCGAATCCACTCACCTCCCAGTTCCATCTGTTCTTCTGCTCCGCCATTTAAACCCTAAATTACTCCCCCGGCCTCTCTCCCTCTCTAGCGAGCTTTGGCCGGAGAAAGGGGAAGAAGGACAAAGAAATGACTGAGAAGTGAGTCAGAGCACAAGAGAAAGGAAGAAAATGGAGATGGAAGGAGGAACAAGAGGTCTCTTCAAATCTGTGGATGGATGGCGTGGAGATCATCCACCATTTCCCCTGCAAATTTTGAAAATTTCCGGATACCTTTATCTTTTCCCTTTTTTTTAAGAAAAAATAGGAATAAAATATTTTTTTTTTTGTTTATAATCCCTGCAATTATTAAAAAAAAAAGAGGAGTTACTGAAACGGCACCGTCGGAGCTGTGCGCTCCTAATTTGTTTACGTTTCGCAGTCCGTGAGTTATCATCGTTGGTTTTGGAACTTGGAAGAAGTGGTGGGCCTAACCTACAAGATTGGGGTTCTTCTGGTGGGTGCGCGTCCACGTGAAAGCTTGTACGTGAAGCGTGCCACTGGTTTTGGTTTGGGTTCCTTTTGCTTTCAATTTGTCCTGTCATGATTGCTAAGTCGTAGCTTTGCTTGCTTGGCCAGCCCTCTTGTCTTGAGTCGGGTCCGTCCTTGGCTGGTGCAACGTGTTGGTGTCTTGAACCGGAAGGAGTCCGGTCCGGGTTCTGTATCACACACTGGGCTTTGTTTGTATTGTTTCGGTTGTTCACTTGGATCCAACAATCTGAAACCCGGACATCCAGTCCGTTGGGCTTTTTACATTTATAGGGACGGAAGTTAGGGTTCCTTTGGTTTTCCAATTGTAAATTGATAGTGGTGTGAAGCCGCTCTGCCCGACCGGTAAAACTGTCACTCCGGACAGTCTAAAATCCATTCCGGTTTATATAGTGATTGGCGAGCGGCCGAGGCGGTTAACCGCTCAAGCCGATCGAGCGGCTCGTTCGGTTTTTGTCATTCCGCCGTTAAATTTAATTAAAAAATTTACAGAAAATTGAAATAAACCAAAAACGTCGGGCTCTCAAACTGAATCCTTATTTCCATTACACAATTTCGAAGAAAAGAGATGAGCTCTGATTAAGAAATCTCCACTATTTATAATGATAACGTTTATTAGATATCGGTTCTCTAACGGTTTTTAAACGGTCTATTGCTGGTTGGACCACTAAAGTGCGAGCCGTTCGCATTATCTGGTCATGCTCCGGTTCGGTTCTGACAACATTGTGATTTATACTTGTGTATTATACATGTATTCAGGAATTTTATGTAGTACACGTTACAGTGTTTTTTGGTCCAAAGTAAGTGTTTGCTATTTGTGACTGTATTTTTAATAATTAAAAATAAAGTCATTTCTAACGAAAATATCATTTGTACTCCATCTTTCAATGAAATAAAAAAAAAAAAAAACACTTGTAAATGATATATCCTAACTATTGTTATGAAAGTGGTTAGAACAGGGGTTTTCAGAGGTAAGTTGTGCGGCTTTGTGATACAAGCACATCCTTGCTTGTTGTTGTTCAAACTTCAAAGTACGCAGCTCCTCCAATCAACCAACAATTTGGTTGATGCAACTCTGGCAAGAACCAACCCAGTCAAGTAACATGGTCTCGACGAATGGGTGGAGCCGAAGATGCAACTTCAACATTTGGGAAGAGTCTTGATCGGTGTAGGTCGAAGCTCGGCCACGAACGAGGGGCAAATTCGTTCGATACGAAGCACTCAATCTCAGTTGTTTTGGGTCATCCCGAGATGATGAACATTAAACCAAAAGCTTGGTGAACTAGAACAATTCTTATTCCTTACAAAAAACTCAAACTTACAATTCGGCCGTAGGGTTTAAATAGAATTCAAAGGACTACTTCTTCTACTAATATAACAAGGAAAATCAATTACACTACTGACTTGGTAAACGAATCTCTAACAAACAAGGCAACTACTTTAACTATGATTCCTTCCTTCTGAAGCAAAGGCACTTCCAGCTTACGTCGCCACTCAGCCATTCATAGCATCTTTTGGACCCTTCGTGTGACGTCCTAGAGGCTTCATTTCGCTTAACCAATGCCTTGTCTTTGTGCAAGGAAACTTTTTCTTTCATCTCCAACCTCTAGCTTTCCTCAACAAGCCTCCAAACGAATAAGGACTCAAAGTGGCTAGCTCGAACTGCCTCACATACTTAATCACTTTCATAATCGCCAACATCCCAACTCTACTTGTGTCCATGGCTTCTTTAAACGTTAATGGGAAAAGATTGGAGCTTAAATCCTGAATCATATCACTTTGTTTGGAACTATCTGATAAGTTGTATTTGGAGGGAAAGATGTAGAATTGTATTTGGTAGTACTGGAAGAACATGCCTTGAATTGCAGCAGCAAATTGAAGAAGTTGTAGTTGTCATGACAGCAGGAAATGATGAGTTTGCATATGTCCTAGCTAGCTCTAATTGTCATTTGTAGGTAGGGTGATGGTGTTTTGGTAGGAGATGTTTGTATTTGAGGTTGTTGTATAGGGTGGCCTTTCCTAGCTTAAATGTGTTTTCCGATGCTGTTTTGTTGGGGCACAGCGGAAATATGGTGAGATGGATCGAAAATAGAGGAAATTCTTTCACTCTAATATCTCACACAACTAGGCAATTGTTGCCTTTTACATTAGAGCTGCTGCTCTTGATTGTTCTACTTCTACCCTCACAAACACTGCCCACATTTTCCCATAACGGATTAGGCAAGTTTGTTGCCTTAACCCTTGAGAGGAGCCTATGCTCTCTAGCTCACTCTGCCTTACATGCCTCAATGAGGCTTTCTATTTATATTGTCATGCCAAGGCTTTCAACCACCTATACACGTAGCAAATACATTGGTGGTAGGTTTAGTTTGTGGCTTGAGTTTATTTCTATTATTTTAGTTCCAATAATGTAGGTAGTTGGGTAGTTGAGCTTTTCTCCAATATTCTGCAAATGGGACTCATATGGAGATGTCTAGAGCTTTGAGGAGAATTGTGGATTATGGACTTTTGACACCCCCTCTTAATCCCCAATTCGTAGTTGCTCCTTGAACTTCTTGAAATTTTCTCCAGTGACCGACTTCGTCATGATGTATGCTTGATTTCTTCACCTTGAGTGAATTTTGCTTCTTGATCATCTGCTTGTTTCTGCTTGAACCAACAATCCCTTTGGGAGTGATTTGGATTCTTGCTCTTCCTGCATTTGAACCGTTGGATTTTCCTCTACGGTTTTGCTACTGCTTCGTAGTTCATCCTCTACTTCTGACATTTTGCCAGAATCTTCCTCCATCACGAACATTGTGTTCGCCTGGACTGCTGCCATGATTTTGGAGAATTTTTTTTTATGGGTAGGATATATGGGACTGGTTTAGGAGGATAGGATAGTAGCATTGGCTCTGATACCAATTTTGTTGGGGCACAGCATGGCTTGATCTCGAAGTTGTCCGCTGGAATGGGCGGGTAGAGGATGACAGGGCGAATGTCAGTAATCCGTGGAGTGTAGTAGTACTCCAAGGTGGGACCCGGCGGCGGTGGATGATGATGAACCCCATCTGCCTGGGGTATGGGGTTGTTCCCCAAGATCTGATTCGCCAGAGGATTCCCCTGGTGTGGATTGTGATCGCCTTCCATCTCGTACTCTTCCTCAGAATCGCTGCTCAAGTGGCTGTCTATGCGCTCTTCCGTAGCCAGTCTAGCTCGCTGTTGTCTCCTAAGTTGGCGACAGGTGCGTTCAAGCTCCGGATCCAACGGCAGTAAACCTCCCGACTGGCTACGGGTCATGCACTACCTGCACACAGTCAAGCAGCAAACTCGTGAAGGCACAAGTGGGACAAAGAAAACAATGCGAAAAGAAAAGCTAAATTAACAGAATTCACGTTTCTTCAACAACCTAGCTGTCCCCGGCAACGGCGCCAAAAACTTGACTCACTCCTACTGTCACCCTAGAAAATGGCCAAGTGTAACCACTTCCTAGAGCGTAGTATAGCGGGTTTGGGTTTTATTGTCAACCCGGGTCCTAGATGTGATGACTACTCAGTGAATTCTTATTATCTAGCAGTGAAACTTTAGTGCAGGTTCAATTAAGCAAACAAGCAAAGCAATTAAACGGTTGTTTCGAATCGAGAGAGGTCACCCGGATATGGTTCCCCCTAGACTGCAGTCAAGCCGGATTGCAATTTACCAAGTTCAGTTTTAATGATAGTTATACTGCGTGAGGTTCTTAAGCAGTCTGAAGTCTCGACTAAAGGGTGCTCTATCAACCTAGGCAGATATTCTCTTTCTAGGCTAAAGCAGAAATAACAGGAATTTGATCAGGATTCAAGTCATTCAATCATTCAAGCCTCAATTGAATATAATCAAATCATAGAATCTGTACTTGGGTTCATACAATCAGACCTAACACACAAATCTAGGGTTCTCTATACCCAGATGAATGGGAAAACCACTCCATGGAGAGAGAAGCAAAAGCAGGTTCAGATGCAGAAATCATGCTGTGAAGGATGAGAATCTGCTCCTGGTCGTCAATCGGCACTTCTCCAAGTGTAAGCCGAGCTCCAATGGTGATGAAGATCAAGCTAGGGCACTTGGGAACTCTGGTTTGTCGCTCTCTCTAGGAATCGCTTTCTTTCTCTAAAACTCAGAACTCCCTTCTCTTGTGCTGAAAATTGGCTTAAAACCAGAAAATCCCGACTCACACGGCCAGGCCACACGACCGTGTGATATCCCTAGCTGCCCGTGTGAGTTGTGCAAACCGCAGCGTTTTGATAAGTGGCTTCAGGCTTCCTACACGGCCACGACCCACACGGCTGTGTGGCTTCCTAGGGTGCCCGTGTGAGTTCCCTGGAATTTCTACATGGCCATCAGGGGTCCCCTACACGGCCGTGTGGCTTTTAGGCATGCCCGTGTGGCTTCTCAGCTTCTCGCCAATCGACCCCGAACTCGTTCCTAAACCTTCATTCACGTACTAAGACCTGAAATATCACAAACAAGAACAACCTAGCGTGAAATCGGCCTAAAACACGAGAATCGACATCTCAAACGGCTCAAGGATAGGGGTAAAAACATGTGTAATCAATGGTCTATCAAACTCCCCCACACTTAACCGTTTTCTTGTCCCCAAGCAAACCTAACTCAAACCAATGCAACTCTCCAGACCTCCATAGCAACAAACAACCCCGATCGTCGCTAGAGGATTTTCTAGATCATAAAGCAGCTTACGAGGTCAACTGGTCTTCTAAGATGTTCCCTATATCTCTCAATGCGAGTACTAGACTCAAGCCAGGATCATGAAAAGAAGTAGAAGTAAGACAGCCAGTTCATGGATAAAGGGACTCATATCATTCACAACCAAGGACTCGTTGTACCGGGGTGATCTTTCACTTCATTTCACCGTTGGAACCCCCTTTTCACTTTCACTTTATTTCTTTTCTTTTTTTCATTTCATTCACTTAGCGGGGGTTCCAACTGCAGTCTTTTGCACGGTCGACCCTTATTAGTCGAGCAAGAGAAATTTCTGTACATATGGCCCTCGCCAGAGTACTTCTTTTAACTCCTTTTCCTCAACTCGTGTGGAGGGTCAATGAAATTAAGGGGGTTCGGAAGCTCTATCCGTGCCCTTAAAAACACATCCCCAAGTAGGCAAACCGTTCAACGGGTGGAAGTTTTACTTATACTAGAGACAGCTTAGCTTCACCTTGTAGGAGTACCCCACTAAGGATCACTAAAATCTCTTCCAAAAACCGATTAGGTGCAATGAACGGTGCCACACACGTTGGGCTTACCCCATGTTTAAGTTTTTGATGATTTTGACATGGAGGACCAACTGCATTTTTCATTTTCCACATGAGCACCTTGTTCGATACACAAGTCCATAAAACAATCCACATAGAGTCACCAATACCACATGAATTCAACGGTTCTAGCTCCACTAATTCACAAAATCAACTGGCACAGCAGAGAGCTAGATAGGAAAATTCTTATGCTTCAACATCCTCCATAGTGCTACACTACCTCCCTAGGTTGCACATTACTATAGAGACTGTCAATTCAAAGCATACTGAGCAGGCAATTTGCAAGGAAACACGTACTTGGAGCCCTCAAATTTAAAAATTTGAACAGTGGACTAGGCTCCAAGTACACAAACAGATCTAATGCAGTCAAAAGAGAAACATCCCCCCACACTTAAGATCGACATTGCCCTCAATGGAGAAGAGGGAAAGATAAGGGTAACGATGTTACCGGTGTACACGGACTGCAGGAGACTGGAAGTGGACCAGTCTGAGCGAAGAGGACTGGAGAGGGGACCAGTCAGGGACAAAGCACTCGACGGATGCGACCACCAGCATTGGTCAGCTCGACCTGGCCATCCGGCAAGATGCAGGCGAGGGAGTACTCGGATGGCCAGGGTGGCCGTGGTGCAGGAGGTGGGACCAGCTCATAGTGGTCTCCACCTTTCTTCCGAGCAGGCTTAGCCACCTGTGGCTTCGGCCGCCACTCCTCCTTGAGCTTTTTATTGGGAAGTGAGGTTGCCGGGAGTGGCGGCGAAGGCGTGAGAGGGGGGTCCTGCAAAACGAGATGCACAGGAGGGTACACGACAGGCTCGTGTGCCTGGTGAGAAATGGCATGCATAGGTGTGACAGCAGGCATATCACAATGATCAAGGTCATCCACAGAAAAAGTAACATGTTCATTCCAAGCACGCAAGATCAGTTTACCACTATGCACATCAATTAGTGCCTTGGCGGTGGCAAGAAATGGTCTACCCAAAATCAAAGGCACATCCACATCCTCATTTATATCCAGAACAACAAAATCAACAGGATATGTGAATGCGCCTACTTTAACAAGCAAATCCTCTATGATACCCCTAGGATGCACAATAGAGCGATCAGCTAACTGAATGCTCATCCTAGCAGGGCTAAGTTCACCTAGGTCTAGCTTTTTAAACATGATACAATCCAAAATCCCTCCTTAAGTCATTCAGGATTGATCGTTGAAGATTCAAAGCTTAAACGTAAAATCTGCCCAAGTGTTTTGGACTGTTTCGGGTACCGACTTTGTACAATCCTAGCTTGCTGTGGGGTTGATGGAAATGGGAGTTCTCGGGCTTGTCTTGAAGAAGGAGAGTTACTTTTTCAGTTGGTGTACTTTGGCGTTCGAGGGGAAGTCCAGAAGTTGGTGTTCCAGGTCTCTCAAGATGATACCTCAACACTGGAAAATTTGCCAGATTCGACTAAGTATGGAACCGTGTTCGAGCAGGGTACTTTGAGCTTTAATTCGAGAGGCTTGAAGGAGATTCGAAGCAGGAGGAAGGCATCACATGAAAGCTCGCATGTCCTTCTACAACGTCGTGGAATTGGATGAAGAAAAGGAAGCCTGGAAGTCTTCGAAGAAACCTCCCCAAAGATCGTTCGAAGATTGTTTGCTGTCTTGGGAAGACCCTTGAATCCGAATCCTGTTCGGATTAGGATTAAGCTTTTGTTGGGTTGTTTACGTTTGGTTGTTTTGTTTTAGAATTCTTTCCTTGTTCGAGCATAGTTAGGAATCGTGTGCTCTATTTAAGTTTCTGCTTTCATTGTAAAATTTAGTTTTGGAGTTTCAATTAAAACCTAGCCGGTTTCCGAGCTTGAGTTGAGCATCCTAGAGCGACGTCTAGGTTGTTTGGTTTGCTTGTATCGATCAGTTGCCATCCTGATCGTGGTCGAGCTTCGACTACAATCTTCGAGCCTCCTTCCCGGGTGAGGGTTGCACGAGATTTCCACCCCAAATCACTCAAAGTTCTTTTCACTCGATCCATCGATTGGAAGCAAGTTCTCAATCTGCCAACTCTGATCATTGAGACCTAATCTTGGCCTCATCAAAACAGATTGTATGGCATGACATTTATGCTAGCGCCTAGGTCCGCCAAGGACTTCCCTACATGCATGCTACCAATATTAAGAGGGATAGTGAAACCCCCTGGGTCCTTGCGCTTTTCGGGCAGCTTGTTCTGCTAGATGGCAGGACACTCCTCGCTCAGCATCACTGTCGAAAGGTCCCCAAGTTTCTTCTTGTTGCTGAGGAGATCCTTCATGAACTTGGCATACTTGGGCATCTTCGACAGTGCCTCCATGAAGGGTATGCTGACTTCGAGTTGCTTCAACATTGCCATGAACTTGGCAAACTCAATCTCCAGCTTATCTTTATGTAGTCGAGTGGGGAAGGGAAGCTGGGGTACATGCTCCTTAACCACTGGTTGTGGCTTGGGAGCAGGGGCTTCCTTCTCCACCCTCACTTCTACATCATCGGCTGGAAGTGCTGAAGCAGGCAGTGACTCTTCCTCCCTAGCCTGGGCAGGTTCCGCCGATGTGGACTTGCCATTCCTGGTGGTGATGGCATTCAGCTGATGGTGCGGCTCCCGTGGATTGGGGATGGTAGTGGCAGGTAGAGTTCCCGGGGCCCGAGTATTAATTTGGCGAGCCATGCTACCCATCTGGTTCTGTAAATCTTGCAAAATGGCACCTTGGTTCCTCTGGCCTTCCTCTAGTGAGGCTATGCTCTGGTCCATCCTTGTGAAAGTTGCCTGGGTGGTAGTCATGAATGTCGCTAGAATGTTTTTCAGCTCCGTCATCTGATTATCTGGAGCCGGAGCTACTGCTGCTGAGGAACTGGCCCCTGTCTAGCCTGGAAAGGATGCCTCTGCTGAAAACCACCTACTGGTGTTTGGAAACCAGGTGGCTTAGTGGTGTTGCTATTCCAAGCAAAGTTGGGATGCTGGCGCCACCCCTCATTGTATGTATTGCTGTAGGGGTCAAAGCGCCAAGCATTGGCGATGAAGTCCAACTGCTCTTGGGGAGTAGTTGACTCCCGCATAGCCTGACAGTCTTCCACCAGATGATTTGAGCTCTCACACCACTGACATTGAGCTACTAGAGGTGTAGCCAAACCTCTGCCCAGAATAAGACCGTTGGGCTGCTTCAATGTCTGCCCTAACTAGGCCACCTACTGCTCGAGCCCGGACCTGGCCTCCATGGCGTGCACACCACGGTCCCTAGAATTCCTGCCTCTGGTGCCCTGCCCCCAGGAATGATCTCTGGCAGCCAGTATACTGATCATCTGGTTCAGTTCAGGTGGGGTCTTAGTAAGAATATCCCCTCCTGGGCATAGAGACTCAATCACCCTCTGGCTGTCCGGAGAAAGCGCACTGCAGAAGTTCCCCACGGTGAATGCATCACTGAAGCCACGATGGGGACATTGCCAGAAAAATCTCATGTACCTCTCCCATGCATCACGAAGTGACTCGTTTGGCTCTTGGCGGAAGTGAGTGATCTCCTGCTGGATCTCTGTGGTCTTCGATGCCGGATAGTACCTGCGCACGAACTTGTTGGCCAGATTGTCACAAGAAGTGATAGACAATGGAGGCTGGGTCTCCAACCACCTCTTAGCATTCCCCGCCAGAGAATGGGGGAAAAGGTGAAGGTGGATTGCGTCATCAGGGACACCGTTTAGATTGAACCCGTTCGTCAGCTGCAGAAAACGGGAAAGATGCACCCTTGCCTCCTCATCCTTCAAGCCATGGAACTGGATAGAGGATGTAATGAGTTGAATCCAGCATGGCTTGATCTCGAAGTTGTCCGCTGGAATGGGCGGGTAGAGGATGACAGGGCGAATGTCAGTAATCTGTGGAGTGTAGTAGTACTCCAAGGTGGGACCCGGCGGCGGTGGATGATGATGAACCCCATCTGCCTGGGGGTATGGGGTTGTTTCCCAAGACCTAATTCGCCGGGGGAACCTAGTGAGGATTCCCCTAGAGTGGATTGTGATCGCCTTCCATCTCGTACTCTTCCTTAGAATCGCTGCTCAAGTGGCCATCTATGCGCTCCTCCGTAGCCAGTCTAGCTCGTTGTTGTCTCCTAAGTTGGCGACAGGTGCGTTCAAGCTCCGGATCCAACGGCAGTAAACCTCCCGACTGGCTACGGGTCATGCACTACCTGCACACAGTCAAGCAGCAAACTCGTGAAGGCACAAGTGGGACAAAGCAAACAATGCGAAAAGAAAAGCTAAATTAATAGAATTCACGTTTCTTCAACAACCTAGTCGTCCCCGGCAACGGCGTCAAAAACTTGACTCACTCCTACTGTCACCCTAGAAAATGCCCAAGTGTAACCACTTCCTAGAGCGTAGTATAGCGGGCTTGGGTTTTATTGTCAACCCGGGTCCTAGATGTGATGACTACTCAGTGAATTCTTATTATCTAGAAGTGAAACTTTAGTGCAGGTTCAATTAAGCAAACAAGCAAAGCAATTAAACGGTTGTTTCGAGTCGAGAGAGGTCATCCGGATATGGTTCCCCCTAGACTGTAGTCAAGCCGGATTGCAATTTACCAAGTTCAGTTTTAATGATAGTTATACTGCGTGAGGTTCTTAAGCAGTCTGAAGTCTCGACTATAGGTCTCCACACCCTCTCAATCTGAGTCCCCAGCGGGCGACTAACCTCCACCGGAGTAAACAGATTGAGGCCCTAACGAACCAAACCTCCACTACCGAAGTAAATTCGGTACAGAATAGTGAATTGGCTCCTCGACTAAGTCGCAAATTCACTACCTACAATTAAGGGTGCTCTATCAACCTAGGAAGATATTCTCTTTCTAGGCTAAAGCAGAAATAACAGGAATTTGATCAGGATTCAAGTCATTCAATCATTCAAGCCTCAATTGAATATAATCAAATCATAGAATGTGTACTTGGGTTCATACAATCAGACCTAACACACAAATCTAGGGTTCTCCATACCCAGATGAATGGGAAAACTACTCCATGGAGAGAGAAGCAAAAGCAGGTTCAGATGTAGAAATCATGCTGTGAAGGATGAGAATCTGCTCCTGGTCGTCAATCGTCACTTCTCCAAGTGTAAGCCACGACCCACACGGCCGTGTGGCTTGCCAGGGTGCCCGTGTGAGTTCCCTGGAATTTCCACACGGCCATCAGGGGTCCCCTACACGGTCGTGTGGCTTTTAGGCATGCCAGTGTGGCTTCTCAGCTTCTCGCGAAAAGTCCAAACTTCGTCCAATCGACCCCTAACTCGTTCCTAAACCTTCATTCACGTACTAGGACCTAAAATATCACAAACAAGAACAACCTAGCGTGAAATTGGCCTAAAACGCGAGAATCGACATCTCAAACAGCTCAAGGATAGGGGTAAAAACATGTGTAATCAATGGTCTATCAAGCTGCTGCTCTTGATTGTTCTACTTCTACCCTCACAAACACTGCCCACATTTTCCCATAACGGATTAGGTAAGTTTGTTGCCTTAACCCTTGAGAGGAGCCTATGCTCTCTAGCTCACTCTGCCTTACATGCCTCAATGAGGCTTTCTATTTATATTGCCATGCCAAGGCTTTCCACCACCTATACACGTAGCAAATACATTGGTAGTAGGTTTAGTTTGTGGCTTGAGTTTATTTCTATTATTTTAGTTCCAATAATGTAGGTAGTTGGGTAGTTGAGCTTTTCTCCAATATTTTGCACATGGGACTCATATGGAGATGTCTAGAGCTTTGAGGAGGATTGTGGATTATGGACTTTTGACTTGTTTTAGTATTTTTTATATAATGGTGAAATAATTTATTAATCACAATATTACAATGGAACTAAAGCAAGAAACAGAAAATACAGTAGGCATGCTTGTCACAAGGAAGAAAAGAGAAGCAGGAAAAAAAAAGGATAGCACAATCAAGCACTCACAATGGGTAAGAAAAGCAAACGAATAGAATGCCTGCACAGGAAAAAACAAACCAGAACAAAAACAAACATAAAAGGTTCCTAGCTACATCAACCTGGAAGCCCGTCCCCAATCAACGTAGATCTGGGAAGGAGACAAACTTTCAGCAAAGAAAACCAGTTCTATGCTACAATTTTGTCGACTCTGTTATCCATGCACAACCAGTTTTTCATAAATTAACTAATCTCTAAACAAACCAACCTCTAACGAATTTGCAGAAATGATTGGGGAAGGAAGCTCAGAGAATTCTGAGTCTTCTCTTTTCTTTTATAGCAAGCAGAGTACTTAACAAAAACATGACAGATGTCCTCCCATGATTTGACAAAACATTTAAATAAACAGTGCTTACAACGGCTAACAACTACTAAAGGAAACGCCATCGTATTCTCCTTCTTCTCCCCTGAGCTTTAATAATACGTTGTCGTCTCTTCTTCTTCTTCTTTGACTATTAAACGTTGCCGTTTTCTTCATTCCTGGAATCCTCCTGCAACTAGGATTACAGCAACATCTCTTTCTTCCTGCACCTTGGAGCTTGGTCTTGATCACAACTCTATCATCCCCCCTCAAGTTGGTGGTGTCAACTTGATCCCCAACTTGACCAATAATTCCTTCAGCCTAAATCGATCAAGACCCTTAGTGAAAATGTCTGCTAGCTACTCTGTGGTGCTAATGTGTTGCAGCTTGATCAAACATGTCTTCACCCTTTCTCTGGTCACATACATATCTATTTCAATATGCTTTGTCCTCTCATGGAAGACTGGATTTTCTGCTATGTGGATTGCAGACATGTTATCACAGTAAACAGTTATAGGTAAAGGAACTTGAACTGTCAATTCTGTCGACAATCTCTTCAGCCATTCAACCTCACAAACCAGGTGGGCAAGTGCCCTGTACTCTGCCTCAGATGATGACCTAGAAACCGTGGTCTGTTTCTTGGTTTTCCAGGTAATCAGTGAAGTGCCAAGCATGGTACAGTAGCCTGTAATAGATCTCCTCGTGTCAGGACAGCTTGCCCAGTCTGAGTCACAATAGCCTGTCATTTTCAACTCAGCCTCACTGTCAAAATATATACCATGGTCTGGAGAAGATTTCAAGTAGCTTAATACCCTGAAAGCAGCTTGCATATGCTCTTGACAAGGAGCCTTTTGATATTGGCATAGCTGTTGAACAACAAATGCAATATCTGGTCTTGTTATGGTTAAGTAGTGTAGCCTGCCTACCAACCTTTTGTAACCTTCTGCATCTTCCAACAGAGTCCCTTTTGATGTTAGTTTCACCTTGGTATCAATTGGTGTCTTGCACCCTTTGGATTCCATGTATCCTGTGTCATTCGAAAGTTCTAGACAGTATTTCCTCTGACAAACATCCAAACCACTAGAAGTTCTACTGACTTCTAACCCCAGGAAATACTTGAGTGGTCCCAGCAATTTGATCTTAAATTCCTTACTTAGTGCAAGCTTTACCTGCTCAATGTCCTTCTTGGAATCTCCACCCAGGATGATATCATCAACATAAACTAACACCACTGTTATCTTACCATGTGTCCACTTAGTAAAAGGAGAATAGTCTGAAGCAGACTGTGAGAAACCAAACCTTAACAGAAAGCTTGTCAGTTTGGCAAACCACTGCCTAGATGCTTGCTTAAGTCCATAAAGTGACTTCTTCAACCTGCATGTCATTCTCTGATTACTCCCTGAAGGTACTTCCAATCCCAGGGGCAACTTCATATACACCACTTCTACAAGATCTCCATGCAAGAATGCATTGGACACATCTAACTGTTCAAGGATCCAGTGTTTGATACTTGCCACAGCCAAAAAGGTCTTCACAATATTTATCTTTGCTACTGGGGAATAGGTGTCTAGGAAATCAATTCCATAGACTTGTGTGTATCCCTTAGCAACAAGCCTTGCCTTGTTTCTCTCCAAAGAACCATCAGCATGTAGTTTGATCTTATATACCCATTTGTTCCCAATTTCCTTCACTCCTGCAGGCAAAGGTACAACATCCCAAGTCTGATTTTCCTCTAGAGCATTCATTTCTTCCTTCATTTCTCTATTCCACACATCTGACTTAATAGCTTCATAATAAGATCGTGGTTCAATGAAATTCATAACACTGAGAGCATACTTCTGATCTTCTTTAGTCAGTAGGTGGACATTCAAACAGACAGGATGTTTGCTACATGATTGACTGCTTCCAAAGGCTCCAAATTTGAGTGTAGGGTCTAGATGGTAATCTTTGTACTTGGTTGGCAATGTGAGATGTCTTGAAGACTTTCTGGTTTCCATGGTATTGGGATCATCTGGATCAACATCAGCTTGTGGATGTAGTTCTTGACTGTCTGAATCAAAGTAGGTGTAATGATATGTATCATCAGGGAAATTTGGGACAACTGGTTCAGGAGACACCTCAGACTCGGTGTGCCCCCCCTTCATCCATGGATGAATGAACCTGAGGAGGAGGTGAGACAGAACTTGGAGTAGAAGGGTTGAGAGGAAAAGGAATTGTAAGAGATGGTGCTGGATTGGTATCAGGGTTTGAGGTGGAAGGGATGGTCATAGGTGAAGAAGCAGAAGGATGAATTCCACTTTTAAAGGGAAGAATGGTCTCATAAAAGGATACATTCCTGGAGAAAAAGACCTTTATCTTGAAGGTCAAGGACCTTATAACCTTTAATACCAGCAGGTATTCCTAAGAGCACACATTGCCTGGCTCTATGAGCAAATTTAGTCCTACCATGGGCCAAAGTGTTGGCGTAGCAAAGACATCCAAATACTTTCAAGTGTCCTAGAAAGGGCACTTGCTTGTGTAATACTTCATAGGGGGTTCTGTTTCCTAGGATAGGGGTTGGTATCCTATTGATTAGGTAAACATCATGTAGAACAAAATCACTCTAGTAAACAAGGGGAAGACCTGATTGAAACTTTAAACACCTGGCCACATTTAGAATGTGTTGTGCTTTCTTTCTACCCTACCATTCTGTTCAAGGGTTTCAACACAGGAAACCTGATGTTCAATACCCTCCTGTTGAAAGAACTCACACATCTCAAACTCTTTACCTTGGTCAGTTCTAATGACCTTAACTGTGGTTTGAAATTGATTTTTCACCAGGTTACAAAAACCATGGATTAGCCCTCTCACTTCACTCTTATGCCTCATCAGATACACCCATAAACATCTTCAATGATCATCCACAATAGTCAAAAAATATGAATAACCATCATATGAAACAGTTGACAAAGGACCCCAAATATCCATGTGAACAAGATGGAAAATAGCAGGTGCAACACTGGTGCTAACAGGGAAAGGTAGTTTTCTTTGTTTTGATAAGTGGCATACATCACAATGTAATGTCTTGGATTTAGAAATAGAAGGAATTACAGAATCAAGCAAAGAAATCCTATCAATTATCATAACTAGGGTGTCCTAGTCTCCAGTGCCATAGGTTCAGGTCTTGGGGTTGGAAGTTGTAGGTGAAGGCTGCTTGATGTGTAGGAAAGATGAAAGGCTTGGTGGAGCTGGAAGAGTGAGCAAGGTGATACAGTCCTCTAGTTGTGTGGGCTAAACTAATCTTCTTCTGGCTTAAGAGGTCCTGGAATTCACATTTATCATAGTGGAAGTGTAAGGAGAAAGGGTAATCATGGGTAAGCTTACTGACAGAAATCAGATTGAAAGAAAAATTTGGGACAAAAAGGACTTCATGTAAGGTCAAGCCACAACTTAAGTGTACTATGCCTACATGTGTAACAGGTACTTGTGTCCTATTTGGGAGGTAGACAAATGAATCATGTACTGACTTATAGCTAGTGAAGAGATTAAGGCTACAGGCTATATGATCAGATGCTCCTGTATCCACTATCCATAAGTCAGATTGACAAGTTGCAGAAGATTGTGAGGAAGAAATGATAGGTTTACCTGAAAAGTTGGGAAATGGAGATGAGTATTGGGTAGCAAAATAGGCATGGTGGTTGATGGATGGTGAGGTTGGTGGGGAAGGTTGTGTGTTAGCACCAGTTTGCAAGAGATACCTGAGGCGGTTCATCTCTTCGGGAGTAAAAGCCAATGGTGCAGAAGTTTTACCTTCATTGGGCACACCACTCTCTGAGGTAGTGTCATTGCTACTCCCCAGAGATATAGACCCAGCAAAACGTGGTGTGCTGGAATTCGAGCTTGAGCTGGAATTGGACCCTCCATTTGCACCTCCATCCTTTTGCATCTCTTGTTTCCTCTTTAACTTCCAACAGTCTTCAATGGTATGATTATTCATTTTGCAAAAACGGAAAAATTTATTTCCTCTAGGTTATGCATTGTATTTTGTGTTGTTCCCTCCTGCTGCCAAAGCCAAACTTTGTCCCTTTTTGTTACCCATGGTTGTGTCAGCTTTCAACTTCTGCTCATGTTGCAGAAGGTCATCTACTGCTGCAGTTACAGTTGGTAGGGGTTTCTGTAACAGTAGCTGTGTCTTTGCTATTTTGCCGATTGTACACTCCGGTAAGGTCGCCCAGACCCAGAGAACTCCGGCGGCTTTGCTAGCGGTACATGCATGCGTGGCAGTGGTAGTAGCGGCGAAGGGGAAGGCAGGCTCATCGGGTTTCAAGCCAGCGATATTGTAGAGGTTCGGCGGAAGGGTTAAGCTCGTCGGCGACAGAGGTGGTGGCGTCTTGGAAGAGATTCTTCTGTGCTTTCGATTAGATACCTTTAGCAGAGGAGGAGATGGCAGTTTACGGAGGGAGAGCGATCGCAGAGACGGAAGCAAGAACCGACTCTAGCAGTTGCACGTTCAGTCATCGGCTCACCGTCGGGAAGAAAGAATTAACATTGTTTTTTATTATTGATTGTGTGTATTTGTTTGAAGGTTTGTTATTGTAAGACAAAAAATCAAATAGGGATATTAAGGTAAATTGATTAAGAGTTAGGGCCACAAATAACATTTTTTAGGGCGACGAATAGCAATCCCTCTCTCGTCCTCCACCATGATTTTTGTTTTGGTTTTTTTAACTCCATCAAGATTTCAAGGAAAAACTAAACTCCTTCATTTTCATTTATTTATCAAATTACATATGTCACTTCTCATTCAGTCTCACTTTCTCCTAAAATATTAAAGGATAAATCAAGCATGTTTTACATTAATTTCAAATTAAATTTTGATCTATTTGCAAGCAAGATTGACCTTCATAACTCACAAAAATCAACTTGAGGATGAAAATCGATGAGGATATGAATTTTACAAATTAAAAAATGGTAACTTACAAGTTTGGTCACTGGGTTTACAAATAATATTTATGTTTAGTCACTACAAATATTTAATTTCATTCGTGGTCACTAAGATGAGTTCAATAGTTCAAGTTTTGTCACTCTCCGTTAACTTTAGCTTACGTGGCAGTCAACTCTCATAGTTGACCTTTAAATATATGACCTGGAAATTAAAAATAATAATAATTAATTTTTTATTTTCCACCTCAGTACAGTTACTAAAAATAAAAATATAGTTCCTTTAATTTTCCGCTGCCGTCGGAATCGATGATGGCGGGGACCGCTTTTTCCACGAGCCGCCATGGCGAATGACGAATTGGTCTGCTCTCCTTGGAGATCTCCTCAACAGAATCAACAAATGCCCGTACATTTACTGGGAGCTGCTCCGCTTTGTCTAGCGACACTGGAGATTAGGGGTGGCTATTTGATGCAGGCTTTTTGGTTTTACCCGAAACCGGACCGTATCACCCAGATCGAGACCGGACCAAGACCGAATTGGGACCGGACTGGACCGGATCAAGACCAGACTTTATGGAATCCAATCTTTGGTCCTTATATTCCCGAAAAGACCGGACTAGAACCAGATCAATTTGGGCCAATTTAATCCGACTGGACCTTATAGCCACCCCTACTGGAGATCCTCTATCTTCGCCGACGACGATCGGTTGCCTCCTCCATCCTCGAAACAAACCTCCCAACCCGCGACACCCGCACAAGCACTCGCTCGGGTTCTTATCTTCTATCAAAGAGGACAGTTTACCTCATGGGAAAGCACCACCACGATGAAGACTTGCCGCCGCAACATCTCCCACAGTGGCTGATGAGGACCAAAGAGATTCGTGGCGTTGGGTCAATGAGGGGGCGCTTGATGCATCCCCTCTCCAGGGACCTTGTTAAGCACGAGGTTCTGCCCAACAATTTTCCTAGGTCGTTGAACTCGTGGGAGTTTGAGGTGAGGGAACTAGGCCACCTCCATCTTCGAAACCGACCGGGGCGGAAAATTAAAAGAGTTATATTTTTATTAATTGTACTGAGGTGGCAAATAAAATATCAAATTTTTTATTCTTATTTAATTGCCACGTTACATATTTAACGGTCAACTATGAGTGTTGACTGCCACGTAAGCTACAATTAACAGAAACTAACGGAGAGTGACCAAACTTAAACTATTGAACTAATCTTAGTGACCAAGAATGGAATTAAATATATTTTTTATGAATTAGTTTGTATATTTCATAAAAAATCAAGTACTATGTGGCAACACCCTTTACCACTAAGGAATGAAACAAAAACTATACCATATAACTATACAACCAAGATATTAGAGCCTATTAGAGACAACTACTCACAAGAACACTGCAAGTTCAGTTTCATCACATATAATCAAAGCCTCATCCTTTATCTGTCCCAACATAGCTTCAACACTAGGAAGCTGTTCACACTCAACCAAGCATCGGGTCCTTCAAATAGAACTGATCATAGCCTGTAACAATAAACGCCCGGCTTTTTCCCGAGGATTTACTTTTGAGAAGAATCCAATTGCCCACAATAATTCTCCCTTCCAAGTATCATATGGAAATCTAGATGTAAATTTGCAGAATAGGTTTGAGTAGATGAGTTTATATCTACTGCACTCTGCAAACAGATGGTTGTGAGTCTCAACTCTGCAGGGACAATAGACACAAACTGTAGTCCCTTGAAACCCCCATTTGAGCAGCTTATCACTAGTAGAAATGAATTATCTAACCACAAGCCGACTTAAAAATTGATTTATGGGAATAACATGAGCCTTCCAGATAAGCTTGAACCAAGGAACCTGTACTACTTTTGGCCTTAAATCTTCCCATACTAGTTTGGTGGAAAACTTAATTAAAGTTTTCCCATTCCACATCCCCTTTCCATCCTCTTGGCTTAAGAAATTTCTGCGAGAGCCATTAAACATTTTTGCAGTCTGATACCCAGAAAATTAACTCCATGAAGTCGATATTCTCAAATCCATGTCACCCCCAAAGAGCCCTGTTTTGTAAGCAAATCCCATATATGACGAACAATGCATGCCATATTCCAGCTTTTAAGATCTCTAATGCCCATACCCCCTCTTTTATAGGATAAGTGATTCTGTCCCAAGCAATAACAACTCTTTTCCTACCTGCTGCTCCCACTCCCCAAAGAAAATCGCTACACATTTTCTCAATCTCTGCAATCACTTTCTTTGGCAATTTAAACACAGCCATCCAAAACTGAACCATGCTATAAATCACTGACAAAACTAGCTGCAACTTCCCCGCATAACTCAGGACCTTTGCCCCCCAATTCTATATTCTCTTTGCAACCTTATCAAGCAGGGGACAACAAGCTTTAATAGAAAGCTTACCCGGTATAAGAGAGATTCCCAGATATCTAACTGAAAAAGTCCTCAGACTATATCCGGCTATGTTTGCCATACTTTGCATCCACTCTTGTGGCGGACCATCACAGTACAACTCACATTTAGATGGGTTAGAAACCAGACCATACAATTCACGAAACTGAGCTAAGACCCTCTGGATACATTGAATCCCTTAATTTGACCCATCGGAAAACAATAAAAGATCATCAGCAAACATCAAGTGGGTTAACCCTACTCTCTTACACATGGGGTGGAATGGCATTCTGTTTCTGCAACTGTTGCCTTCATCAGACAACTAAAAATTTCCATGGCCACATCAAAGAGGTAAGGGGATAAAGGATCCCCCTACCTTAAACCCTTTTTGGCTGAGAAGTATCCCACAACTCGTCCATAAAACATACACTAAGTTTAGGTGTAGTGATACACATTGCAAGCCACTTAATAAAATCCATAGGGAAATTCATAACTTCAAGCACACGTAATAGAAATCCCCAGTCTACAGAGTCAAATGCCTTCATCAAATCAACTTTAATCATACTAAGGGGAAATAGATGTTTCCTACCATAGTTCTGAACAATCTCATGGGCAAGCATAATATTTTCTCCAATGACTCTACCTGTTACAAAGGCAATTTGATTCTCACTGATCACTAAAGGCAGACATTCACTAAGCCCGACAACAATGATTTTGGCAATGCATTTGTAGATAATATTACAACAGGATATAGGTCTAAAAAATTTCATCTCTTCAAGGCTTTTAGTTTTTGGGATGAGAACCAATAGAGTTGAATTTACCTGAGAAGGGAATGAGGTCTGATAGAAACAATATTGGATGGCTTTAGTGATTTCAGATCCAATTACACCCCATGCTACTTGGAAAAAACAGGCAAAATAACCATCTGGACCCGGGCTCCTCTCTCTCTTGAATCCAAACATAGTGTTCTTGATCTCATCAAAAGTAACTAGCCGACAAAGTTGAGGAATTTTTGAATTGGGAAGCAAACGTTGGAGAATGTTCCTATAGAAATCCACTGATTCCACCTTAACCTGAGGGTCAGATCTCCCCAAGAGATTCTGATAGAATCCAACAACAACCTTAGACATAGAATTAGTACCCACTACTCTTTCCCCAGCCTCATTGAGAAGAGACCTAATAGTGTTCCTCTGCTGTCTAATTTTCACTAATCTGTAGATAAAAGAAGAGTTAGAGTCACCTTCCTTCAACCAAATCTCCCTGGATTTCTGCCTTAATAATGACTCCTCTACCTCCTTCATTTGTTTCAGTTCAGGTGCTCTTTTTTTTACAAGACTGAAAGCCTCTGAGAATGGTTGTTTAAGGGCACCCGCCTGAGCATACATCAACTCAGTTGCTTTTAACTTTACTCGTTCTCTAATATCTGAAAACTCTTCTATGTTTAGCTGCTTCAACAACTTCTGCAACCTTCTCAGCTTTTCACACACCCTAGCCAGAGGAGATCCCTCTACTTATGCACTCAAAGCTTCTTTAACTAGATCGTTGAACTGAGGATGGGAAATCTAGAACTTGAAAAATTTGAAAGGCTTAGAAAGAGATTTGATGAGAGTATCTATATCAAGATAAATAGAACAATGATTTGAAATCGATGGATCCATTAGATCAACCACACTATTGAGATTTATCTCCAGCCACTTCAAATTAACAAAGACTCTATCAGGCCACTGAGCTATTGGATTATTTATCCGCTTGTTGATCCAGGTAAACCCGGGACCAGAACTCTTATGCTCAATAAGTTCAAGCTCAGGCTGCCAATTTCGAAAATCCTCCATACGTCTATTCAGCTCAGGGTTATTATATGCATCTAATGGCCCATTTATGGCATTGAAATCTCCTAATATAGTCCAGGGATAATTATCAACCCTAATTTTCTCCAAATCAGTATACCGCCTTCTTCTGACACTTTCCTCATTCGTGGCATAAATAAAAGTCACAAAGAAAGGTTGACCTGAACACACTAGGGCATGAACCAACTGATAGAACTTCCCAGTACACGAAGTTTAACATCTGGCCTCCATAATTTCCATAGTTTACCAAGACCAACCGAATTATTGGCAACCTCCTTCTCCCAACCTGGGAATTTCTTACTAATGATCTTCTCCAACTCACAACCTCTAAATCTTGGCTCTAATATTCCTACTATATCTATACTTTTCTTATTAACTATAGACCGTACTACTTTATTTTTGTCAGGGTCCTTGAACCCTCTAGTATTCCATATTAGGAGTTTCATTTCTTCTTTCTTGCTCCCCCTCCCCTCTTTAGCAGGAGGAACATAAGGAGTTGGTGGCTTTTTCTTTGCAGTAGGACCTCCCACCATTATACAGGGGTTCTTGTTGGTCTCTTTACCTATAGGAATGGTCTGCTCAGCCAGCCTCCCAGATGAATTTGATGAGCTAGGCCTCACAGACAATTGATTAGGAGCTTAAGGACTCTTAGTAGCAACTGATGATCCCTTGACTGCCTCAACAAAACTCACAGTAGGACTCCCAATAATGAGAGCAGCTTGAAAAGAGATTATGTCTTCAGTCCCAGGGTCAACAACATTTATCTCGTCCTGGAGAGGACTACTCAGAATAACTTGCTTCCCTTTGTTCAGACCAAGTTGATTTTCATCAGGCTGTTCAACTGATGGTTGGACTACTACTTTAGACCTCTGCTTGGGCACCCACTTCTTCCCCCTTTTAGCTAGCCATTCACAGTCATGACCATAAACTTCACACCTACTACATGCCAAAGGCTTGTTCAAATATTCACTCTCCACTTCAAAAGATGGATCATCCTTAGGATATAAACGAACTTTGGAAGGAAATCCACTCTGAGCTACTAGGTCAACACATATTTTGGCCCTAACTATGCTCCCACCCTGGTCGACTTATCCATCCAAAGAGGTGGCCCTAGAGTACTCGCAATCCATTCATGCCCTTCAAACGAGTGGTATTCAAGTGGAATACCCCATATTCGAACCCAAATTGGTAGAGTTTCAACTAGTGGAACAACTGGTTGTATGCCCGGTGACCATTTGCGAAAGTAGATCGGGTAATGCCAGGGACCTGTGGAAAAAACCCATTTGCTTGTTGCCGCCGATGGGAACTGAAACACGAGCAACGTAGGACCAAACTTCGACACCTTTACTGGACCATCCCGACCCCAGAGACCTCTTGCCCATTGTTGTAGAGCTACTCGCTTAGGCTGAGGACCGACAAACCGAGCTATTAAACAATCCTCTAGGGCTCCTCTCCCCTCTTCTTAACTTCGCGAGGGAGTCGAAACTCATCTTCAATTTGCTGGGGAGGCTGATACGTCATCCAATTTGCCGGATCAACCTCATACAAGGAAGCCCAATTGACTGGGGCCTCAAACAGGAAATTACCAAACGTAAACGTTTTTGACAAACCTAGTGAGTAGTGACCAAACTTGCAATTTACCCAATTAAAAACTAGAGATGAGGATGAATTTAATTAGAGCGCCTCACTCCTCAGCTCAGACTAGGGATGACAATGGGTCGGGTTGGGGCGGGTTTTGTCAAACCCAAATCCAAATCCATGGGTTTATCCGCCAAAAAAATCCAGGGTGAAACCCGTCGGGTTTGAAAAACTCAAACCCAACCCAACCCCCTGGGTATCCGCGAGTTCATGGGTACCCGTGAGTTTTTGTGGTAAAAAAATTACAATAACAAGTTTCTTTCAAAATAAAAGTTTAACATCAATTTTCTCATACAAATTATTCATACAAAAAACACTAATCTAGAGCATACAAGCAAACCGCAAATGATCAATACAAATTGTTCAAAATTAAAGATAAACATCTATAAACAACAAGATTAATTGAAAGCTTCTTCCTCGTCAACTAAGTTTCTTCACTCTCCGCTCCATAATATCAACTTCATTCTAAACAATTAGAAAGAACAAATTATACATGTCTCCACAAACATAAAGAATATTAGTTGTTTAAGGAAGATATATTGTTTAGAATATTAAATATACCAGAAAAGTAATTATATGTGTGTGAGCGGGTACCCATGAAGCGGGTTTACCTAAACCCAAATCGAACCAAACTCGATGAATAGTGTAACGAGTTTAAACCCAAACCCAAACCCGACCCAAAACCCCTCAACACAGGTTTTACCCACGTTGATTTGATTAGATCGGATGGGTACCCGTGGGTTCGGGTTTTGTTGCCATCCCTAACTCAGACCCACCCCCACTGCCAATGCCATTCCTACTCCAGATAAAAAGGAAAAAGGAGAGTGAGAAAAAAAAATATAGAATTCCACAAACAGCAAACAGCCACAGCTCACAGGGCCAACCAATATGCCCAAAAGGCCAAAACACATACACACATCACCCCAAAAAAAGAAGCAGAGCACCTACCCTCCCTATCTCTTTTCTCTCTCAACTCTCAAATGAAATGAATTAAAAAAAAAAAAAACAACACCAAAAAAGAAATATTATTATTTATTCTGGCTCACCTTCATTCATCGACATCAATCATCATTCATTCTAGCAGAGCCAATCCCAATCCGACTCCCAGCCCACTCCCACTCCCTCCCATTACTTCCCGATTGGCGGTTTTCTGCAGCTCACCGCTTTCCTTTTATAGCTTCTCTTTTGGCCCCTCCTTTCTATTTTGGATCTGGAGAGCAGGAGATAGAAGAGAAACCCAAAATAATACAACACCCAAAAGAAGAAGGAGGAGATGGGGAAGATTTGATTGATCCTCTTCCTCCCTCTTTTGCTTAGTTTCTCGGATAACTTAGCTAGGGTTTCTGGTTGCTGCGGTTTCTTCCCTGCCCCCTCCAAATCTCGCCAGTCTAAATTTGGCAAAAGAGATTAAAAAAAAAAAAATGGCTCCAATTTCCCTCCGATAACCGTCTTCTGTCCGTCTCCCTTCCTTTACCCTCTTTTCCCCTCTGGGTAGAAGGTAGTATTGAATCCCATCCCATCGCAGCCCCAAAAATGGCGAGGGAGAAGATACAGATCAAGAAGATCGACAACGCCACGGCCAGGCAGGTGACCTTTTCCAAGCGGAGGAGGGGACTTTTCAAGAAAGCCCAGGAGCTCTCTGTGCTCTGCGATGCTGACGTGGCCCTCATCATCTTCTCCTCCACTGGCAAGCTCTTTCACTACTCCAGCTCCAGGTTCTGTTCTCTCTTAGGCTCAATCCAACCCCTACCTCTCTCTATTTCTCGCTTTAAGTTTTGCTGTCATTTCCTGCTTTCCTTTCCTTTTACATAGCAGAAACGCTCATTTCACTTCACTTTTGAGTTAGAGTTTGTTCTTGGTTCTCCTTCCTTTCTCTCTCTCAGCTGGTAAAATATTAGGGTTTCTATAATTGAAGCTTGAGTACATGGAACCTCCTTTGAACTTTGACTAATTTTGGCCATTTATGTAGTACTAATTTTGGCCATTTATGTAGTACTAATTTTGCTGCTCTAATTTTCTGGGAAGCCATTCATGAAATACTGTTCAAGCGTTCTAGAGAGTTAAAAAAAAAGGGCTTGTTGTGAGTGATTGACTGATGCGTGTATATGTATCTTATCTACTGAGGAAGGAAGAACAAGTATGGTGCCTGCTTGCTTCTACTACTGCTGGGTCCTCCATTTTTGAATGAATACTGTTCTCCGCAGAGGATAGGATAAGAAGATAGTTGAAGTTGATGGCATTAGTCAGAAAAAAAAAATAGTAAAATAATGTATATTTAAAACTATATATATCTAAAAATGTTATCGTTGTTTATTGGGAAACAGTTGGCATTATCCCCAAGAATCTTAGTTTGAAATTGTGCTCATAGATTACGCGACTGGGAAATTCTCAGTAGCAGGAATTCATCTTTAATCTCACTGGCTGGTAGTCAATGAGAGATTGGGGACTGTCATTTGTGAACCCATGTTAGTTAGAATGAAAGAGAGTTAAGATTTCAATATCTATTAATTATCAGGTGTGATTTATTGGGTTGTGATCATTCAGATTTCATCAAAATATTGAAGTTATACTTTTCTGAACAAAATTTTCTTTTAAGAGAAGTGACCTCTTCAAAAGTTTTTATATATTTTTATATCATCAAAGAAAATGTTGCAGTTTCCATGAGTGTTTTGTTTTTTTTACAATCATTCCACGAGTGTTGTTATATGGTTGTAATGTCTTCCTCAGAAAAGCAAGTTGCAAGTATTCAGACAACAACCACATGTTTGAAGGTGGGTTTATTGGAAAAACTTGAGATTTAGCATGCAAATCTATTTATATAGCTCAGCATAGTGTCTCTATCATACATCTAGCGAATTTTGTTATTTTAAACGATGAATTAAACAAAATTTGAGACATGATACTATGCTCCAACTTAGAATAGGTGAACTCCAATCCTTAATTCTTTAAACCCAAACTATAAGAATAATTTAATTTAAAATAATAATGACGATTCTGATTCGTCGAAGTATACTGAAGTACATCTAATAAGAGTGAATGCATACAAGATTAGCATTTGCCATATACATATACATATATATATATATATATATATACATATATATATAAATACATGTATATTCACATTGCATACATCATATTGTGGAATATTGTTATGGTCTTTTTTTATTTTCATTTTTTTTTTGTGGTTGTATGCTTTCTTCTTTCTTGGGTTCTGTTTACCTTGTCGGTTTAGTGGTCCATGCAAGTATAGACGTAGTGCAACCTCAAGCTGTAGGGAAGTTGTGGGTTGATGAAAAGGTAGGAAATTTCCTGAGTGACCCATATTTTGCAAAACATTATCGTGTGAAGTACTTAATACCGCCCCCCTTCTTTCTTCGCAAGTCTAATGCTGATTGATCCTCGAAACTGGACAAGAGTCGTCTCATTTAGTTAAGAAAAGTGATACCGCCGGTGTGGATAGCTATATCTTGGATGAATGTATTGGAACCCAAACTAATATGTGAATGTGCATAGTGAGGGTCTCATGGAAAGTAGCAAAAGCTTGCTGCCTGGTGCGCCTTGGAAACCAAACATATATGAGCTTAGCTAGCTAGGACCACAGTTGCCATGTGCAAACTATACTTGTAAGGGCAGGCTATATATATAATCTTATATTTTGTTCTAAACGTGAATACGTGGTGGTATGGTAGACTCGTTACGTTGCTGACAGGTACATGCAAGTGAAATTGAAGTATATATGATTTATAATAGACGTGTGTGTAGAGATGTTGGTTATGGTGAGTTGTAGTCTTGTGGACTACGAAGTGTGTAACTTAAGTTAGGAGTTCTTCGTTAAGCGATAGAATTTGAAGCAAAAGTAAAGTATATGTTTGTTTGATAAGGAATACGATTTATATATGTTACTTTCGTGATAAGATTAGTCCGAACATACATAATTATGATAAGTTGAAATTGTGATTGATATAGGCATTCAATTTAATATGCTGTTATATGTTAACTATAGCAAAATTGACATCGATGGAACAAAACGGGAAACATAAGGTGAACTAAAGGGCGTAAAAACCTTATCAAGACGAACTTTCTATTGCCTTAAAACAAAAAGGTTTGGATATGGACCTTACTAAGTGTCCGTCTAACTCCCCTCTTTCTTGGTATTTTCGAAATGGTCAACTATTGTTGTCTTAGGAGTTAGAGTTTCATAAATTGGTTCCACCAAGGACTTATAGGACTATACCACCTTCTGGGCATTGATTCCCTCTGGGCTACCTCTCATTATCTATAAAGAGTATAGTATAGAGTAGGTGGTTGCTAAAAAGGATGTGGTCCTTGTTGGAACAAAGTGTTGGCCTAATCAATGTGAAGATTCTCAATTGTTCCACTGGAGGCCTACCATCATGAACTGCCTGCTTGTTCCTTTGTTAGTCTTGCCTTTTCCCCCCCTTGTTTGATTATTCACAGGCTTTTTGCCAGGATTGCAATCTCTTAAGAAATGAAATACTTTGCCATGCATGATTTCTTCCCTAAAAAAAATAAAGGGTTGGTCTTTAATTAGTTCCCGAGAAACTGAGTTTAAGTAATATTGTTTATGTTTGTTCACCTTTTTTGGGGTGGGTCTCATAGTTTTGACTTTGTGCATGTCGTTGTAGCATGAAGGAAATACTGGAGAGGCACAACTTGCACTCCAAGAACCTGGAGAAACTAGAACAGCCGTCACTGGAGCTGCAGTTGGTGGAGAACAGCAACTTCACTCGGCTGAGCAAGGAAGTCGCCGAGAAAACGCGCCAACTCAGGTTAGAAGGATTATCCGCGCTTTTGTGTACATGAATACTCATCTCACCAGTGAATGGAAAATGGGGTTTTTTTAAAATTTGGATGGGGGAACAGGCAAATGAGGGGAGAAGATCTCAATGGATTAAACATTGAAGAACTGCAGCATCTGGAGAAGTCTCTCGAGTCTGGCTTGACCCGCGTCATGGAAAAGAAGGTCCTTCCCTTTTACCTATACAAATCCCATCATCTCATCAATATCCAATTCCTAAGTTGTTTTCTTATCCTTTTTCTACAGGGTGATAAAATTACGAATGACATCAATGAGCTTCAAAGAAAGGTCAGCCGAGCTTGAAATTTCTCTTGTGGTTAAGACTTGAAGCATGAAAATATTGCATTAGCTTGGGGATTTGTGGTGTAATGGTGAAGATAGGGAAAGAAAGGGGGACTTTACATCATGTCGGCCATTATGCATGGCAACAGATTAAAGCGAATTGTTGTATAGAAAAGCAAATGTATAATGCAGAGTTGATACTTGTTGATTTGGCCAGGGAATGCAACTGATGGAAGAGAATGCGCGCCTAAGACATCAGGTAAGCGAATTGTTTGCTGCTTGTCGAGAATCACAGTACAAGAGATAACGATAACAATCTGCCTCTCTTTACAAAATTAAATATGCTGAATTTTGGGGTCAGGTAGAAGAGATGACCAATGGCGGCAGACCTGCCGCAGAAGCAGCGATGATGGAGGCGGAGGCGGCGGTCGTGACGGCAGATTCAGAGAACGTGGTGTATGAGGACGGGCAATCATCAGAATCTGTAACAAACGTCTGCAACTCAAATGGCGCCCCTCCTCACGACTATGAAAGCTCCGACACTTCCCTCAAATTGGGGTTAGTACGTTCTTCTGATCTAGTTTCCCACAGCATTTATGATCATATGTGTATGCATGTTTGACGATACAAGATTTACATACAACGCTTCATTTTTTGCAGGTTGCCGTATTCCGGCTAGAGTGTTGTTGTATTATGACGTGGATGATGAATGACCAAAGCTAATTAACTTACCAAGAGAATGGTCGGTCGGTCCAATTGTTCCTGAGCCTCAATCGTGTGTGTATTAATTTATTCCAATTTGATCAATGCAAGACATGCATTGCATGATGTATAATATTGTATATCGGTGTGATGATTACATGATCAAACCACCACTCTCTATATATATATGGCATCTCCAGCTCTCACAATGCCGGTTCTCACAGGCTGATCGTTCTGCTTACATAGTAACTAGGAGTACTACGCGACGGAGATGGATTGAATCCTCATCATAGCTAGAAAAGCTCTGGCGATCAACTCCTGGGGTCGACCATCTTTTTCTCACTCAGCGCCAATAGTATCTCTATTGCCTGCCGGTAGAGATGCGGCGAGTCGGATTTGTCGTAGAACTCTCAGTAGAAAGTCTAGAGGGTGTAGTCGAGATCGAAGACGACCAGGGCGTGGCAGCTTTTGGAATTCGGCATGTACCCGTAGAGCTTCGGTTTTCGCTACTTGATAGTTGATAGCCATTGACTCCTTCCATCAATTCTGCAGGGAAAGTGAGGGGTGCCTAAACAGTAAATAGGAGTAAAAAAAGTTAGACTTTTTCGTTTGGATGAGTAATTGTAACGGATCAATTTGATACAATTGTCTCGTTTTGAGACAATTGTACCAAATTGCCTCGTTTGTCAGCAAAAAATTTGGATGGATCAATTTGCCTGAGGTATTTTGAATTGATCCGTTTTGAGTCAATTTCAATTACCTGGGGTGGGGGCAGGTAATTTGAATTGACTCATTTTAATTGTCTCGTTTTATAAACGAGACAGACAATGGATCAAATTGACTCATTTCTAAATTGATCCATCCAAACGACCCCTAGTAAAAAAAAAAAAATGGGAGAAGCTCTCCCCTCTCTCCTTCGCCTAGTGCGATGGATCAGCAGGCTTCTCGTCACGATGGTGTTAGCGATCCTTTCCCGCTGTGAGAAGAACCAAGAGCGGACGAGGTATGGACAAACGAAAAACTGGTGGCAATCTCCCGACCTTGCACAGGCGCGACAACTCTCTGGGGAAGCTGTTCCACATTCCCCAGCACCAGGCTACCAGCATCGTCATCCTCCCCGAAGTCAAAAGTAGAAATGTGGAAAAAAAGAAGAAAGATGGGGCAAGTTTTGACCGAGTATAACTCGTCAATACTCCATGAACGAAAACGTTTGCGATTTGTCCGTCGAATCGTATGGCGCTTTGTTCTTCCTTCTATGGAAGATGTTGAAAGGGAAGAGCTGGTAGCATTAAACCCAGAATGGTCCCCAAAGTAAGGGAGACTGGGGCTACCTCCCTATCTAGTGAGCTTGTTTGCTCCGCCGCCCAGGCAATCACTGGTTTCTCCGATCAAGAAGATCGGCAATGGAAACCTCGGTGAATCGATGGCGATAGGGCGACTCGACCGGTTGCCCAGCAGAGTCAGGAACCGGGTAGGAGTCTCTCTCCCCCTGATCGGAGTCCGGATTCAGACAAGATTTTGGGAGATAACGGAAATAACAATAAAGATAATAAAATAATCCTGGATTTGGTTAACAGACTTCCAGCTGTTAATTTTAAGTCTCCCTCTTCCGGTGGGAGTTTGAAAAACCTAAACCGGCTGGAAAGAGGCAAACAGATTGTAGGATTGGGTTTTCTTTTTAAATCACTCACCCTAGCCCATTACTCACAGAGTTCTCTTCGTCCTCGAGCAAGTCTGCAGGCTAGACGTGTCAAAACCCAATCCCGATCGGCTCCCTCCCCAGCGCAGGTAACAAACCATCCTTGCTTCTCCTTTCTTCTCCTGCACGTGCATGCTGAGTCCCTTAAGATCATTACCCATGCGTGTTGGTACACACCAGCAGTGCCGAATCATTTTTGAAGGCATGGAAAAAAAGGAAATCTTAATTCCTGTGGAGCGGGAAACTAGTACTAATCCTAGTGAGGCCCCTCTTGTTCAGGTTCACAACATGGCACACGTTTCCTCGGACCAAGTTGTCCAATTTTCGATGGAAGAAGTTCAATCTACCAAATATCGGACACACTCACTGCTGGGAAGGGTGTTCACAGAAAACCGAATCTCGACCACAAAGCTTCGTGAGGCGGTGCTCCATCCATGGCTTATCCAAGGGCGCCTTCGGGTGGTACTCGCTAAGAATGGGCTGGTTGAATTCATGCTACCCAGTGAGGAGGCTAAAATATGGGTGCTTAAACGCACGCCATGGATGATCAATGACAAGATCCTTCATCTCCGTCCTTGGACTCCGGTCATCACAAAGCAAATTTATGATGATCTTGCTGTTGTTCCTTTCCGGATCCAGCTATGGGACATCAAGGAAGACTGCTGTATGCAACATTTTGGTAGGAAAGTGGTGAATACCACTATTGGAAAAGTTCTGGAATCCGGGGTGTTTGCCTGTCAAGAAACGGGCACATGGTTTGTGAAAGTGAAGGCCCTAATTGACTTCACAAAACTGCTTCGCTCCCAAATCATGGCGGCCAACGATGATACAGGATGCTTCTGGGTAAACCTGAATTATGAATATTTGCCGAGTTTCTGCTACCAGTGCGACAGGGTGGGGCACTCGCTCCGGGCCTGCTCCTTTGATCCACCAACCAGAAAGGAAAATTTTGGCCCTCACATGTCAACAAGGAAGCTTGGCACCCGTATCTACGATAATGAGGACCAGAAACTATCCTTCCCTAGAGGCAGCAACTCAGTTTGGGTGAACAAAATTTCCAGGAGCAGAAGCATGACCGGTTGGGAGCACCGAAGTTCGCTAATGTTCAAGGGGAAACTCGGGAGGCTGTCTACCTTGGGCCGAACCGACCCACCACCAAGTGAATCGTGCGAAAATATCATCCCGGGGGGGGGGGGGGGGGGGACTCACTGCCTCAGCCCTCGTGGCTTCAAAATCCACCGCTCGTCTCAACTCAAAATCGGTCGCAGCCCTCCTGCCGTTGTGAGTCCGAGCTTGCGACCAGCAGATCCTCACCGGGGACAGAGCCTCTTGAGCCATGGGGGAAGTTCGCGCTCGTTGGAGGAGGCGGAACCATCTCCTGTGCACCGGCATGGATTGCAGCGGGAACTTATAATTGAGGAGAAAGGTCGAGTGGGGATGGAGGAGATGGACAGGCAGGCTGGGGACATGAGTGTGACGATGATTCCTAGGATAGAGCCTCGCCGCCGTCGACTCCTCCTGGAGGGTTCAGATGATAAAATTTTCGAACGTACTGTCCCGGGCAAGGCCAAACCTGCGGAGATTGAAGGCAAGAAGAAGGGAAGTCGACTAGTCAAGGCGTGTGGCAATTCTGTGGCCGCCACCCTCCAAGGCACGTCCAGCCGCTTCTTTAGTGGGCAAGGGGAAATCAGCTACAAAGATTAAGGAGGTGGTGGCGCCCTTGAGGAAGAAAGCAAACCCAAAATAGAAGGGGGCTACTAAAGCTTCACTCAAAAGCAAGAATATGGCGGCAGTAGAGGAAGCTTTACCCCTTGAAGATCTTCGACCCACGAAGAAGAACGAGAAGGAGATTATGGTCGGGAGTGAGGGGTAACAAGGTGACTCGGCAACCTCTCTCTCTGATGAGGATGATCTTAGCTTTGAGATCAAAAGTCGCCCTCCCCTTGTCGCACAGGAGCCTCAAATCCAGTCGGGCCAAGTTCGACAAGTGGTGGCTGCTTTTGAGGCCAATATGGTGCTCAATGATGTGAAGGACCCCTTAGATTCTGGTGAAGGGGAAATGATCATGAAACTAAACGAGTACGGGTCCAATTTGGAGGCTGGGACTCGTAAACATGCAATGGAAGAGGTGGAGGGGGAGATCGGGGAGACACCCACTCCCAAAAAAGAATTTGTGGAGGAAGAGCATGGAACTGTGATGGTGGAGGAAGCCAGCCAAGAGTGGCCCCAACAGGATAAATGAGGATTTTGGGATGGAATGTGAGAGGCATTAGACCATCCCTCATATTCCAAACAACATTAGGGTTAGTGCGGTCTAATAAACCGAACCTTGTCTTCTTTTCATAAACAAGATCGTGCCGGAGAGTGGTTTCCCGTCTTTTGCGGGGTTTAGGTTTTGAGTCGAGTCAATGCTTCTTTGTTGATGCAATTGATGGTTCTGGTGGTCTAGTAGCAGCTTAGTCCCCTGAAGTCGAGGCTTCAGTGTTTTTTCATTCAAGTTTTTGCATTTATACTCGAATTAATGAGAATGGGTTTTCTTATGTGGCGGTCTGCGTTTATATGACTTGCAATATTGTGGGACGGGATGTTCAATTAACCCAGTTGCACGAGCTTTGTGAGGGCCTTGATTTACCCTTTGTGATTATAGGAGATTTTAATGCATCCCTTTGCGAAAATGAAAAGGATGGTGGGAATCCATGTAATGCATTCCAATCTTTGGATCTCCGGAATCTTATTCAAATATTAGGTTTGCATGATCCTGGTCTTCAGGGGGGACCCTTTCACTTGGACTCATAGACGTATGGGTTTGGCCTGTATTCGTGCAAGGCTTGACAGGTGACTCACTATGACACAACTCCTAACAATGACCAAGTGTAACCAATGAAAGGGACTGCAGTATAGTGGCTCAAGTAATAAATATTGAATCCACGGGTCTCTAGAGTTACTATTACTCAGCTTCAGTTCATTACCTAGCAAACCAGATTAAGATGGAAGAACTAAAACTACTCTAGCAAACTACAGTTAAAGTTAATCTAATTACAGGTTGGGAACTGACTTAGGTATGATTCCCCCTAGCCACTAGCCAGATTAATGATTGATGATCTCTAACCTGTTTCACTTTCATTCACAATGCGGAGAATCCTTAACTAGACCTTGAGTCTCGACTAAAGGAACAAGGGCCTCTTGAGTCAATTGCCTAGAGGGACGTATCCTTCTCTAGAACAACCGATCAAGGCGTTTTGAACTAGATTCCCTCTATCGAATGAGTTTCTCAATCGATATAAAGCATTGAATCAACCCTCGACTAAAGCAATCGATCCAATACTATCAATCTATGGTGCTCTATTGACCTAATCAGGTATTCGCTCTCATAGGATCAAAGCAGAATAAATAATCTCGACTAAAAAAGAAGTGAATCATGAAAACATGCATAGATTGAATATGAACTCAAGATTATCAAGTAAGAGTACTCATACAATCATCAAATCAAACAAACATAGCTAGGGTTCCTCAAAACCTAAGTGAAGGGAAGTTACTCCATAGAGAAGAGAGAGACTGCAGTAAGAATCTTCAGATGATCAGTCTTCAAGTCCGGGCTTGTTCCTCGAGCTTCCAAAGCGAAGAAATCCTCCAATTCCACTCCAAGAATGCCCTCAAATCGCCCTCTCTCTCTTTGGTTCGTCCCTTGGGTGTTTGGGATCCAAAACCCAACTCTCCCTTCTCTTTGGCTCGAAATTGGGTTAAAACCCAGAATTTCCCGACCACACGGGCCGGCCACACGGCCGTGTGGCTTTCCAGTCTGCCCGTGTGGATGTCAAAACACCTCATTTCAATTAGTGGACTTCAGGCATGCTGCACGGCCAGAGGCACACGGCCGTGTGGATTTCCAGTCTGGCCGTGCGAGCTCCCTGGACTTTCCACACGGCCACAAGGGGTCCCATACACGGCCAGTGTGATTTGCTTATGCAAAGTGGTGCCACACGGTCAAGTCACACGGCCGTGTGGAGTTTTAGGCGTGCCCGTGTGGCTTTTCTCAGCTTCTCGCCAAACGTCTGATCTTCGTCCAATCGACCCCGAACTCGTTCCCAAACCTTCATTCACGTACTAGGATCTGAAATATCACAAACAAGAACAACCTAGCGTGAAATCGGCTTAAAAAACGAGAATCAACATCTCAAACGGCTCAAGAATAGGGTTAAAAACATGTGCAATCAATGGTCTATCAAACTCCCCCACACTTAACCGTTTGCTTGTCCCCAAGCAAACCTAACTCAAACAAATGCAACTCTCCAGACCTCTATAGCAACAAACAACCCCGATGGTCGGTAGAGGATTTCCTAGATCATAAAGCAGCTTACAAGGTCAACTGGTCTTCTAAGACGCCCCCTATCTCTCTCAATGCGAGTACTAGACTCAAGCCAGGATCATGAGAAGAAGTGGAAGTAAGACAGTCAGTTCATGGATAAAGGAACTCACACCATTAACAACCAAGGACTCGTTGTACCGGAGTGCTCTTTCACTTCATTTCACCATTGGAACCCCTTTTTTGCACTTTCATTTACATTTCTTATTCTTTTTTTTTTTCATTCACTTGGCGGGGGTTCCAACTGCAGTCTTTTGCACGGTCGACCCTTATTAGTCGAGCAAGAGCAATTTCTGTACATCTGGCGCTCGCCTGAGTACTTCTTTTAACTCCTTTTCCTCAACTCGTGTGGAGGGTCAATGAAATTAAGGGGGGTCGGAAGCTCTATCCGTGCCCTTAAAAACACATCATCAAGTAGGCAAACCGTTCAACGGGTGAAAATTTTACTTGTACTAGAGACAACTTAGCTTCACCTTGTTGGAGTACCCCACTAAGGATCACTAAAATCTCTTCCAAAACCCGATTTTGTGCAATGAACGGTGCCACACACATTGGGCTTACCACATGTTTAAGATTTCAATGATTTCGACATGGAGGACCAACTGCTTTTCATTTCCCACATGAGCACCCTATTCGATACACGAGTCCATAACACAATTCCAACGGAGTCACCATTACCACATGAATTGAACGGTCTTAGCTCCACTAATTCACAAAATCAACTGGCACAACAGAGAGTTAGATAGGAAAAATATTATACTTTAACATCCTCCATAGTGCTACACTACCTCCTTAGGTTGCACATTACTATAGAGACTGTCTATTCAAAGCATACTGAGAAGGAAATTTGCAAGGAAACACGTACTTGGAGCCCTCAAATTCAAAATTTTGGATAGTGGACTAGGCTCCAAGCACACAAACAGCCCAACATTCACCCGCATACATAATCAAACACCCCCCACACTTAAGCACGACATTGTCCTCAATGGAAGAAAGATAAGGAGGGTAGAACGAAGTTACCAGATCAAGGGTGAATGACGGTGGACGAGACAGGCGGTGCATTCCAGAAGGAGAGAGTAGTCGGAACACAAACACCACACAAAATCTCACAAAGGTTGAGTTATTGAATCTAAAATCAAATAACAAAACTGACTCAACCGAGGAGAAAAAGAGAAAGAAATGCAGACCGACTGGTTGGGTTGCATCCCAACCAGCACTTCTTTCCCGTCGTGAGTCGGACGATGGCTCCTATGTTTCGGTCCACCCCAAAACCTCCTTGAAATTGAGGTTCTCGTCGATGATGTGGAGTCTCAAGTCACGAGCATGTGGTGTGGCAGGTGATGAATGCTCATGCACTTGATGCAGATAAAGTCTCCACCCTCGAGACCACTTCTTCGCTTCTCTCGTCTCATGCCCCAAACCAGATATGACAACATCGATTGACCACCATCGCGTCCACCAAGAGGGACCAATGTCGATGTGGTCGTGGTATGGAAAAGAGACACTGCAAATGGGTCATTGCTAAGCAATTCCTCGAAGTTTGGTGGAGATATCACATGTAACTCATGGCCAGTGCAGGCCTCTTCCACCTCAACTCCGTCCTCAGCCTGGACGCTAATTGCTTCTTCAACCTCCCTTCCTTCTTCATGTGGTATCACCCCTGGGAAATGATCAAGAACTCCTTCTGCTTCACTTTCGTCATCCTCCACAACTTCTTTCTGCACCCTTTCTTGCTCTTCTTCTTCCGGCACGGATTGGAGGGCAAGTCGCCAAGCAATTTCTTTGATTAGATCTTCTTGCATCTCCTCACTCATGCCCGCCTCTTCAAAGCTCAGTGTGGGATGTAGGAAGGTGTGGTCAGCTATGACAGGACATTCATGATCATGATTATCACGGGAACTCTCCGTGACAACTTCTGTGTGCTCCACAATGTCTTCGTAGCCTTCGCCTTCCTCCTCCTCTTCTTGTATAGTAGTAGAAGGGTGATCTTGATCAGGCTGTGCATAAGATTTCTCAAGATCATCGAGGCTCTTCTTAATCATGAGGATCTCCTCTGTTTCACGATAGGCTTGGGTACAAAGATCCATCCTGGAGCATGATCTCTCACTGTCTCGAGCGAACTGCTCCATAAGAAGCCTCAATTCATAGTTTGGATCTGGCTGTGGAGTGTAGCATAGCTCAACAGAATGGCCTGTGAAGGCCGCCATGGGTAACTCCAGCTCCGATAGCCCTTCGGGTTGTGGGAGAAATTCTTCTTGGTAATGAGGTTGTTCTTGACATGCCCAAGGGTCTGATTGTTTTCCGTAGTAAGGGGGTTGGTAATGGAACTCGAATCCATAGTCTTCTCCTCCTTGATTGCTCCAGGGAGTCTCGGGGTAATACCACTCGGATGGTGGTGGATACCCCCAATGATTGGAGAAGCCATGAGGATCCATGATTCAGATCTGCACCAACAAAAACAAAAATAACCAAGTGAAAATCAAGGGTGGAAAAGAAAATAAAAACTCTAAAGTAACAAACTTATGCCTTTCCTAATAATCTAGAAAGTCCCCGGCAATGGCGCCAAAAACTTGACTCGCTATGACACAACTCCTAACAATGGCCAATTGTAACCAATGAAAGGGACTGCAGTATAGTGGCTCAAGTAATAAATATCGAATCCACGGTCTCTAGAGTTACTATTACTCAGCTTCAGTTCATTATCTAGCAAACCAGATTAAGATGGAAGAACTAAAACTACTCTAGCAAACTACAGTTAAAGTTAATCTAATTACAGGTTGGGAACTGACTTAGGTATGATTCCCCCTAGCCACTAGCCAGATTAATGATTGATGATCTCTAACCTGTTTCACTTTCATTCACAATGCGGAGAATCCTTAACTAGACCTTGAGTCTCGACTAAAGGAGCAAGGCCCTCTTGAGTCAATTGCCTAGAGGGACGTATCCTTCTCTAGAAAAACCGATCAAGGTGTTTTGAACTAAATTCCCTCTATCGAATGAGTTTCTCAATCGATACAAATCATTGAATCAACCATCGACTAAAGCAATCGATCCAATACTATCAATCTATGGTGCTCTATTGACCTAATCAGGTATTCGCTCTCATAGGATCAAAGCAGAATAAATAATCTCGACTAAAGCAGAATTGAATCATGAAAACATGCATAGATTGAATATAAACTCGAGATTATCAAATAAGAGTACTCATACAATCATCCAATCAAACAAACATACCTAGGGTTCCTCAAAACCTAAGTGAAGGGAAGTTACTCCATAGAGAAGAGAGAGACTGCAGTAAGAATCTTCTGATGATCAGTCTTCAAGTCCGGGCTTGTTCCTCGAGCTTCCAAAGAGAAGAAATCCTCCAATTCCACTCCAAGAATACCCTCAAATCGCCCTCTCTCTCTTTGGTTCGTCCCTTGGGTGTTTGGGATCCAAAACCCAACTCTCCCTTCTCTTTGGCTCGAAATTGGGTTAAAACCCAGAATTTCCCGACCACACAGCCAGGCTACACGGCTGTGTGGCTTTCCAGTCTGCTCGTGTGGATGTCAAAACACCGCGTTCCGATTAGTGGACTTCAGGCATGCTGCACGGCTAGAGGCACACAGCCGTGTGGTATTCCAGTCTTGCCGTGCGAGCTCCCTGGACTTTCCACACGGCCACAAGGGGTCCCATACACAGCTTGTGTGATTTGCCCGTGCAAAGTGGTGCCACACGGCCAAGTCACACGACCGTGTGGAGTTTTAGGCGTGCCCGTGTGGCTTCCTCACCTTCTCGCCAAACGTCCAATCTTCGTCCAATCGACCCCGAACTCGTTCCCAAACCTTCATTCACGTGCTAGGATCTTAAAACACGAGAATCAACATCTCAAACGGCTCAAGAATAGGGTTAAAAACATGTGAAATTAATGGTCTATCAATAAGGCTCTCTGTTCTCAGAGTTGGATAGATCGATATTCGGAAACTCTAGTTAAGCACTTCACGGATCAGGGATCTGATAATAGAGCTTTGCTACTCTCGGACAAGCCCTATACTCGGAGTTGTCGCCCTCTCTTTCGGTTCGATGCTCGTTGGGATAACAATCTCGAATTCAAAGCTATGGTGGCATACGTTTGGCAAGAAAACATCTCTGGTACCCCAATGTTCCAATTATGGGAAAAGCTGAAGAAACTCCGCCATTTGTTGTATGATTGGACCAGAGCTAGTACCACAAATTCTCTGCAAAATATTCATACCTTGCAAGGTGAGATTGATCGGCTAAAAGACATTCATCCTATTGACTGGCAAGAGGTGACCCGGTTGGAAACTGAATTGAGTAGGCAATGGGAGGCCGAGTGATATTCGGCTTTAATATATCGGATTCTTGGACTTTATGTGATTATCTGTGGTATGTTTTAGCCAATTGGTGCTATTTTAGGGCTTGCTAACCCGAAAATGGTTGAAAAACCATTAGTGCATAGTACCATGAGTTTGATGTATTACAGGTGAAGAAAACACGAAAAAGAAGTTGCACCGGCAAACAATTCTCGAATGCTGGGCTTAAAGCCCAGCTGGATGGGGATTAATGACATGGGCCAGGGGATTTTTTGGACGGGCCGAGGGGAACGAGAATTGCTTTTGGCAATATTGGACGGCAGCAAGGGGTCGGAATAATTCTTTTGGGGGACGGGTTAGCATGCTAACCCCTTAAGGGGTTGGTTTTCTGACACCCCCCTTTTAATTGGTCAATTTTTCATTAATTATTGACAAGTATTAATGAAAGTAAACATAATAAATGTTCTGTTATTTAATACAAAGTAGGCATTAAATACACCACATTAATTACCACTTTACTGGTATTTGTACCACTGCACTGATACTCAGATATGACATTGCTACCAGTGCACTGATATCGCTACCAGTGCAGTGGTATATCTACCAGTACAGTGGTACAACGTATCAGTGCAGTGGTATATCTACCAGTACAGTGGTACACCGTATCAGTGCAGTGGTATATTTTTTGGAGATGGTCGGAGGGAGTCTGTCGATGGGATTTTCACCAGAGAAGTGTGGCGGTCGGAGGAAGTCTGGTGGTCGGAGACTGCTGAAAAAGGAAAAATCAAATATAGTGAGAGAATTCCTAATGTGTATTTAATGTGTGTATTTAATTCCTAATGTGTATTTAATTGTGAGAGAATTCCTAATTAATATGGTACATTTAATTCCTAATGTGTATTTAATGTGTGTATTAATTATTGTGTATTAATTATAGTTGTATTTAATATACTAGGGGGTGTCATTTTTCCAACCTCTAAGGGGGTTAGCATGCTAACCGACCCCTTCTTTTGGGGGCTAATATATTTTTGGGACGGAAGGAATTGGGAGCTGGAGGGTTTGGACGGAATCTTGGGAAAGGGTTTTTTGGTTTTTTGGGAAGGAGTTGGCGGCTATAATTGGGGGACACACAATTACGAGGGAGGCAATTATTAGAGAGGCAGCTGGTTGGGGGACGTAAGCTCTCGGAAGAAGGGGAGAGAGAATGTGAACGGCTACGGTGCTAATTGTACAATAGTTAGCACCGTCTTAACCAAGGGAAAAACTACTACTAGTTTGAATTAGTAGTGATTTAGCTTAGATGTTGTATTGATTTTATAATAATCCGTAGTGATTTCGTTATTTTTAGTAGCGTTTTTTGCTAATTATCACGGTGCTAACCCTTATAAGGGATAGCATCTAATCCCATCCCAGAGAGAATTTTGGGGGCTGCGATTTTTCTTTGAGAAAGAAATAAAGCGCAAGGCAGCAGCAGAGCAAACGCGACCAGGCGATTCTCAATCGGTGATTGAGATTTCCAAGGCTACCTAAGCTGAGTTCAACGAGAGTGATTAGTTGGTTGGATTTTCTAAACCGAATTAGTTGTTTCTTGTTGATTTAGAACATGATGAACAAAACCCTATCGATTTATCTCAATTTCGTCATGAACTAAACCCCAATTTCTGGAGGAAACACCATAGGATGTAGCTATTTCTTGATTTGATGGATTGATTCATGATTCTTTTCTTCCAATCTCTATTGCATGAAATTTCTTAATGCTTTGTGTTGACTGGCCACCAATACAATGAATCGTAGTTGATTAGGTTATTAGCGACAGTGAAACCCTATTAACTGAACCTGTTTCATGTGACATAGTAACTTATCGAAGCGACAGTGGATTAAATAAGGTGCTATGCGGTCTTAAATAGGATATCGATCTTCAGACTATATAGTTAATTCATTGAGCTACGACAGTAGGATTTGAATTGATTATTTAGTACGTAGTAATTCCCGACAGGGATAGCTAGCACATTCGTGATATCCTGGCTGTAGAGGTATGGATTAAATTGATTGGAATGTGTGAATTAATCTGGATAGGATAGGTAGTAAAACCCGGTGTTTCTCCCAGAGCTTTCTCCCATTGATTTAAACCCGACACTTTAATATTCTTGTTTAGTTAATTTTGCTAGTAGTTAATAATCTCATTAAACCATTTTCACCTATAGTTTGCTCTATTAAATCAGTAAATCTTAAGGCTGTACCAGTCCCTGAGAGACGATACCCGGACTTTCCGGTTTTACTACAAGATAGGAATTGAAGCTATACGCTTTTGCCCTACCACCGAGGAAGTTTATTGGCAACAAAAATCTCGCGTTAATTGGCTTAAGAAGGGGGATAAAAATTCGGCCTATTTCCATACAGCCACAAGGGCTCGTCGGAAGCGATGATGATGGATTCCGGAATGCCTCCAATCTATGTCTTTTTTAGTCCTTATGAATGGTACCCCAACTGGTTTTTTTCCCCTTCTCGAGGGCCCAGACAAGGTGATCCGCTATCTCCCCTTCTTTTTATCATCTGCACGGAAGGATTCGCGGCTCTCCTCCGTCAAGCCATCTCGACAGGGAAATTATAAGGTGTTAAAGTGGCCCCTCGTGCTCCTCCTATCTCACATTTGTTCTTTGCCGATGTTTCTTATCTTTTTCTTAGAGGTTCCCTCCAAGAATGTGAGAATTTGATCGAGGTTCTCAATGAATACGAGGAGCTGAGTGGCCAGAGAGTGAATCTAGAAAAATCGGCTGTGTGCTTTAGTAAAAATTTAGCGGTGGCGGATCAGGAATTCTTGGCGACAATATTGGGAGTAGGGGCTGTGGGCGTCCAAGATAAGTATTTTGGCCTCCCCTCTCTAGTAGCCCGTTCTAAAATGGCTACTTTCCGCTACCTGGAGGAGGAACTTCTGGCTAGATTGCAGGGATGGAAGAGGCGAACATTGTCGTGGGCTCTAAAGAAACATTGATTAAATCAGTGCCCTTAGCTTTGCCTCTGCATGTTATGTCCTGTTTTAAGCTGCCCCTGGCTCTATGTCGCCTTCTTGACAAACATATAACCCGAGTTTGGTGGGGGGTGGAAGAGGGAAAATCTAAGATCCGTTGGATTTCTTGGAGGAATGTGTAAAAGCAAGCATGAAGGGGGCATGGGGTTTCGCCGCTTGGAACATTTCAACCAAGCATTGCTTGCGAAAATTGGTTGGCGTATCCTTGAGGAACCCCAGTCCCTTATTGCCCAGGTGTACAAAGGTAAATACTTCCCCAGTGGGACGTTTCTCACTGCCCAGGCCCGTTCTTGTCCCTCATGGGGGTGGCAAAGTATCCTTTTTGGCCATCAATTGTTGGAATCAGGGTTGCGATGGCAAATTGGTAATTGTCAGAAGGCTCCTCTGCTAACATCCAGTTGGATTCCCCAGCAACATCCCCTTCACCCAGTCTATAATCCGTGCGTGGTTCCTGATGGTGAGGGTTTGAAGGTAGAAGAGGTGATCCAACAAGGGGAGGGACGATGGGATGATAAAAAACTCAGTCAATGGTTTGATCCAGTTACCTGTAAAGCCATTAAGACCATCCCTTTGTCGCGGCAGAATATTGAAGATAAATTGATATGGCATCCGACTTCTGATGGCATTTTCACGGTTAAATCTTCATACTACGTCGCGGTGAATTTGGATCGTCAAAATGGTCGTTGGAGGGCTTTGGCTAGTTGGATGGATAAGCCAGAGTTGGAGGCGGATATTCCTCCGAAGCTTAGGGTGTTTGTCTGGCAAGTGTTGCATAGAATTCTTCCAACTACGGAAGCGTTGCGCGAAAAGAAGGTGGACGTTGTGCCTCGTTGTCCGGTGTGCTGGGAGGCTTTGGAAACTCTGGAACATATGTTCTTGGAGTGTCCAGTGGCTCGTGCTTTATGGGATCATTCTAGGCTGGCGCACCTGGGTGAAGATTTGCCTCGCCATACGTTCCCGCTCTTTTTGAAGAAATTGCTGGCTGTGGTGCATAGCCCTGCTTTGGTGATGTCTGTAGTGGCTGTTCTGTGGCGGATTTGGCGATCCCGTAATTGGGTGGTCTTTGAAGGCAAACAGTTTGGGATCCCTGCCTTAATGCGGCAATTCCACCAACAAGTCCAGGAATGGCTTAGCTTACCACGGGACCAGACTGATCAGCTTGCGCCCCCCGGCCCCTACCGTAACATATGATGGAGCTGACAGGACATTTTGTATGTGGGATGGGGTTATGCGGTTGGGATCTCATGCGGCGGCGGGGGGGGGGGGGGGGGGGGGGGGGGGGGGATGGTTATCCTCAATTCTGATAGAGCGGTCATCCTTGCGAAGGGGGTTCATTTCCCGTACCTTGGTGATCCAATGATGGTTGAAGCTCTGGTCCTCAGGGAGGCGATTGGCTGGTGTTTGGAAAATGGATTCACGGTCATGAGGTTTGAAGGTGATGCCCAGGTGATAATTGAGAAGATTCTCCGGAAGGATGTTCGGGATAACCGGATAGGGGCAATTCTGGAAGAGATAGTCAATTTGTTTGCTTCAAACATAGGTTTCACTGTACGATTTGTAGGTCGACGAAACAATATGGTAGCTCATTTGGTAGCTCGACAGGCCCTGTCTTTGTTCCCAACTACATGTCGATCTTTTGATTTCCAAGCCTGGTTGAATTCCAGGATGTAACGATCTATTGGTTTCAATCTATATGATTATCTTTTGTAAAAAAAAATCCTAAACAATAAATAGGATGCCGAAACGACGACCGCGTGCTGCATTTCGTGAGAGAGAAAGAGAAAGGTCAATTGGTCAAAGGGAGGCGGTGGGGTGGGTTGTTCGGTTTAGCTTGTTTGGTTTACATGGTTTGATTTGGTTTCAGACACTCCTAACCAATCAAACCAAATTAACCACTTAACTAATTAGCCATATATCTAATATATATTATATACACATACTTAATAAATTGATACACATATTTAATGAATTGTGATAATTGTCGAAAACATATTGATATTATGTGCTTAATGTGATTATTTCATGATATGTTTGAGACATATATTGCTTGTTTTAAGGCCAGCTGGCTCCGGAATGGTTATATGATCATTACCACCATGTATTAGAATTTTAATATATTTTAGGTGGAAATATAGAAATTGTGGAAGTACAAGCAGACAGATAAGTCGAACACAAATCAAGTCTATCACCAAATCAATTTGGACCGGGTTCTTGAGCTAGCCCAATTGGAGTGTATTATTTTCCAATTTGGACCGGGACTTTGGTGGATTTATTGGGCCCGGCCAATTAGAGGAAGCAGTTGGGCAGAGGAATTAAACTGAGAAAAGGAACGAAATTGGAAGAGAGGTCCACATTAATTGGACCCGATGAGTGAATTGGCAGGGGAGAATTGAATTGGCACGAGGGAATTAATTTTTGGGGACTGGAAACGAAATTGCTTTGGGGATTCTCTTTTGGGGGGAATTGCAAAAAGGCACGGAACTGGGGAATTAATTGGACAAGGCAGCTTGGGACTTTTGATTGCACAGGGAAGCTTGGAACACACACGGAAGTCGGCTGGGAAAATCAATTCTGCGAGTTGGGCGGAATTCTGGAGAGAAAAAGCAGCTGGGGACACGGATTCGATTGGGACGGAAGCCAGGAGAACTTCTTTTTGGGGCGATCGCGAGCTGCGGAGCAAAACGATGGCAGCAGCTTGTTGAAGCACACAGCGAGACACTGTTCTTGGTTTTTGACGGTGATCAATCATAGGGCATTATTTTCTTATAATTCCTTTTCGTAAATTAATTTTATGATGAACAAGAACATGATTGTGTGTTTTATTTTCGTCATGAACTAAACCCCAATTTCTGGGGGAAACACCATAGGATGTAGCTATTTCTATATTTGATGGATTGATTCATATTTCTTTTCTTCCAATCTCTACTGCATGAAATTACATAATGCTTTGTGTTGACTGGCCACCAATACGATGAATCGTAGTTAATTAGGTTATTAGCGACCGTGAAACCCTAATAACTGAACATATTTCATGTGACATAGTAACTTATCGAAGCGACAGTGGATTAAATAAGGTGCTATGCGGTCTTGATTGGGATATCGGTCTTCAGAATAAATAATTAAGTCACTGAGCTACGACAGTAGGATTTGATTTCATTGTATAGTACGTAGTAATTCCCGACAGGGATAGCTAGCACAGTAGTGATATCTTGGCTGTAGAGAGTTGGATTAAATTGATTAGAATATGTGAATTAATCTGGATAGGATAGGTAGTGAGTCCCGGTGTTTCATCCAGAGCTTTCTCCCATCGAATTTCTCCCGACCATTTTACTTTGCTTAATTAGTTTAATTATTTTGCTAGTAGTTAATAATCTCATTAAACCATTTTCACCTATAGTTTGCTCTTCAAACTTGATAAAATTTAAGGTTGTACCAGTCCCTGAGAGACGATTCCCGGACTTTCCGGTTTACTACGAGATAGGATTAAGGCATACGCTTTTGCCCTATCAAATTGCATAACCACTCAAGAGTCAAATGTAAGATAATTGTATTTGTTACATGTATTTATGTAAGAGGTTAGCTATAATTATGTGTTGATTGTTATTTGTTATTCATTATATGAATGGCGAATTGATGCACTGCCGAATTTTTTTCTCACTTTATGATAGTGTGATGTTATATTGGTTATTTTGGTTAACCAATTAACCAAACTTAGTTTGGACGGTTTGCTTATGATATTTTATTCCGTGGTTAATAGAATTTAGACTTATTTGGTTTGCTAATTACCATGGTAACCATTTGAACACCCCCTGCCGACATCTAAGCAAATGAATTTGTGAATGCGGGAAGCCACGTGAGCAATTTCTTCTATATGCTTTGCTTTCTTGGAAGACGGCGTCGTTTTAGGCTATGGGAATTAGCATACAAAACCAAGTATTTCTAGAGAGAGAAATTCTAAGGAAGAGGACGAAAGAAGAACACGACGACGTCGCTGGCCTATCGTACCATGGAAATCCCCCGCATTGGGATTCCGTAGCGCGCTCTCTCTCTAACAAACTAATCCCGCAATTCGCCATTAATTGTGACATCTTGCAAAATAAAAATGGGTTATAGGTATAATATGCCCTTCTACTATGACGTTTTATCAAACATGCCCTTCTACTTCTTTATACATCAAACATGCCCCTCTACTTTGTAAAAATGATCAAACATGCCCTTTTGTTAAAATTTTCATAAAAAACCATTAACCAAGGCCAAACTTTGGTTTGGGCGACACAAATGTCTATAATATCCCTAATAATTTCACTTTATAATTTATTTTGGTTCTTTTGTATAGCCAAATAATTCAAATAATTTCACTTTGAAGAGACCTAGAGGAATAAAACGGGGGACAAACTATCATTTTTCCTCCCATTTGCCGATGTCGGGTCGTCTAAATATCGGTTCAACCATGATTGACGATTTTTTCAATCGAAATTTTAACAGAAGGACATGTTTGATAATTTTTTCACAGTACAGGGGCATGTTTGATGTAAAAAATAGTAGAGGGGCATGTTTGATAGAACGTCATAGTAGAGGGGCATATAATACGAATAACCCAATAAAAATATATTTTTGAGCAATGCTTTATATCTCCTAAATAGGAAAATATAAATATTAGTCAAACAAAAATTCAAAAAAAAATTTCCAGTTTAGTCACACTAAATGGGAAAACTGGTATTTTGTGAAAATATATGAAAATTTTAAGCCAAAATATGTTGAGTAACGGTATTGATCGTCCAATATAACAAACAGTTCTCGGGTATGGCCAATTAAGTAAACTTTAGGGTCAGTTCAGGCCACGATATTATATATTGAAAAGATTGGTCAGGATGTTAAAAATGTTAAAAGTCCGGACCAGGCAATAATATTTACGCTTACTATTTTCTGGTGTCACACTAAATAGGCTTCTATTATGAATATTCGAGAGGTGAATGAGACCATGGTTGATGCCGGTCGGTTGAACTTGGTTCAAGTTGTGTCGTTCATAAACTTGGCGTGCATATGACTGACATGATCGATTTACGACGACGACATCTAAGCAAATGACATCATTTTCGTGAATTTAATTAATAAAAAATTAATTTTATTATTTATTTATGAATTTATATGATGTTATTTGTTGGATTCAAGTATAAACGTATTGATGATAAATATTGTATTTAAATATGAGTGTTTGTTAATTTATTTAAATATGAATTATAAATAGATTATCTGCAAATATCTTTTTAATTTTATATGATCAAATCAAGGTTGTTAAACCCTTATCAAACCCCCGGTTTGACCTGGTCCGACTCGAGACGAGTTTCAAAACGGTCTCCAGAAAGCTCCCCCGGTCTGAACCCTAAAGAGGGAGAAGAAGAGAGGGGGAAGAGAGGAAGATGAACGAAGGAAGGGAGATGGTGGGTGGGTCATGGAGGTTAGATAGATTTATTCTGTGGAAATTAAGTTTTTAATAGATATATGTAAGATATATTTTATTTCAGTCATTAAATTTTTAATTACTACCTTATTTGTATATATATTTAGAAAACGCCTAAAATGGCTCAAACCAGCCGGACCCCGATCAAACCATTGAATCTCAAACTCCTTGCTTGACCGATTCAATGACTTAAACCAGTTTGACAACCTTGGATCAAATGCATTAGTGAGTTTTCACATTTCTACATATTTTGTCAAACTGACATGAATCGATACAAATCGGTTGTGTCACTTGTCGGACCATTTCACTTGCTAAATAGTAACTTCATCAAGACACTCGACTTTGTTAGTGTGAATTGACTTTTCCAAGTTTGGTTATTTTATTCACCTCCACTTGTTTTTTGCCACTGGCGGCTTTGTATTTTCAATGAACAGCTGACGATTTCTCAAGAAGAGAATAAAGAAAGAAAGGCCATTGGATGCATTGGCTAGCCCCTTCTGACCATTGCACAATGCTAATATCCTTCCACTAGGAGCCAGTAATTGTACGATCGTTCGTTGACAAAGGGGATCCATTTATATATACATGCGATGCAATGCATCTTTCTCAAATTATTACTTCCAAAGGTGATCACTTTCTCAAACATGGCACCATTCATCTACCTTCTCCTGGCTATCCCCTGCATCCTACTACTACTTCTGCAGAAACACAAGAAAAGCTCAAGTGCTTCTCTCCCACCTGGGCCTCCTGGTCTTCCTTTGATTGGGAACTTGCTCCAGCTTGATCCTTCTGCCCCTCATCGGTATCTATGGCGACTTTCTCAAACATACGGGCCCTTGATGTCGTTGAGACTTGGTTCCACCTCGGTTGTGGTAGTTTCGACTGCCAAGATGGCTGAAGAGGTCATGAAAATCCAAGACCTTACATTCTGCAGCAGGCCAGTCTCTGCTGGTGCGCTAATGCTATCGTACCATGGTCGCGACTTAGCATTCGCACCCTACAATGCTTACTGGAGAGAGACAAGAAAATTGTGTGTGGTTCATCTCTTTAACATGAATAGGGTCCAAAGCTTTTGTTCTATCAGAGAGTATGAAGTCTCCAAGATGATCGAGAAGATATCGAGATCATCATCGTTTGGATCGAAACCTTTCGACTTGTCTGAGGCCATGAGGACCCTAACGAGCACAATTATCTGTAGGGTGGCCTTTGACAAGAGGTATGAGGAAGAAGGAATTGAGAGAAGCAGATTTCAGTCGCTGCTAAATGAAACTCAAGCCATGTTTACAAGCTTCTTTTTCTCCGACCATTTTCCTGTTCTGGGCTTTGTCGATAAGGTCACTGGCTTGACCGGGCGCCTTGACAAGAATTTCAAGGAGTTTGATGCTTTCTACCAAGAGATAATCGACGAACATCTTGATCCAACCAGAGAAAAGACAGAGCATGAAGACATTCTGGATGTTTTACTTCAGATTTGGAAGGACCAATCCTTCAAATTCCAACTCACACTCGACCACATCAAAGCACTTCTCATGGTAATTGATTACTCTCTACTCAATCTCCTTAGAATAACTTCTACTTTCTTCTTTGTTCAAAGAGGAAATAAGAAAGGGAACTTCGTTTTCTCTCTTCCTCCAATTTCCCCCCTCGCAGAACATATTTGTTGGTGGCTCGGACACTAGCGCGGCAACTGTGATCTGGTCCATGACATATCTGATGAAGAATCCTGTAGCCATGGGGAAAGCCCAGAAAGAAGTCAGACTTGCTATTGGAAATAAAGATTTTGTGAATGAACAAGATATTCAGCAACTACCCTACCTCAAAGCCGTGGTTAAAGAGACAATGAGACTGCAACCCCCAGCTCCGTTGCTGGTTCCAAGGGAATCAACTCAGAAATGTAGCCTAGGCGGGTACGAAATACCAGCCAAGACTACGGTCCACATAAACGCATGGGCCATCGGAAGGGACCCTGAAGCGTGGGGAGAGAACCCAGAAGAGTTCAAGCCAGAGAGGTTCATAGGGAGCTCCATTGACGTGAAAGGCGCGGACTTTGAGCTGATACCATTTGGAGCCGGGAGAAGAATATGTCCTGCAATTCATATGGGACTTGCAAATGTGGAGCTCTCTCTGGCTAATTTGATTTGCGCTTTCGATTGGGAGATGCCGGCTGGAGCGAGGAGCGAAGATCTGGACATGGATGTACAGCCAGGTCTTGCGATGCACAAGAGAAATGCTCTATGCCTAGTGGCTACTAAGTATGTACAAAGATGAAAGAAATCGTTAGACATTCAGGGGAACACCTTGGAATTTAAAGCCTTGAGAGCACAGACTCACAGAGGCCTTAATTCGCCATCCTATCTTAAGTGCCTTTGTCGAGAGCTGAACCCGAGTATCTGTGAAGCATTTTATCGAACATTTGGCGCCCAATACAAAAAAAAAATGGAATTGAACATCAAACACGTAGGAAGCAGAGTCCATCTCGTAAGAAGATGGTCCAAAAGAAAAACACTGAATTACGGAATTCACTTACATCTTCGCTATGGAGTATGGAACATACCGTTGGCAGAGCCCTCATCGTAGTCGGACGAAGATGAACACGCGTGGCCGGAGTACACAGGCACTCACAAAGTCAAATTTATGGCGCAAAGTGATGAAGAAGAACACAAACGGGTTGCTAATGAACTGGGCCAAGTTCTGAAAATGATGTATTCTTAAATATGGGCAACTTTTTGAAACAATAATAGCCGCTAAGTAATCGTCAAGCCCATAAAAAGCTGAGAGCACATTGGGCCAAAAATCTTTGTTCAGCATTGGCTGTAGGATGGCAACAAAACCCGAACCCACGGGTACTCACCCGACCCAACCCGGTCAACGCGGGTAAAATCCGTGTTGACGGGTTTTGGGCCGGGTTTGGGTTTAAACCCGCTACACTATTCATCGGGCCGGTTTGGGTCTAGGTAAACCCGCCCCATGGGTACCCGCCCACACACATATAATTACTTTTCCGGTATTTTTATTATTCTAAATAATATATCTTCCTTAAACAACTAATATTTATTATGTTTGTGGAGACATGTATAATTTGTTCTTTCTAATTGTTTAGAATGAACTTAATATTATGAAGTGGAGAGTGAAGAAACTTAGTTGACGAGGAAGAAGCTTTCAATTAATCTTATTGTTTATAGATGTTTACCGTTAATTTTGAACAATTTGTATTGATCATTTGCGGTTTGCTTGTATGCTCTAGATTGATGTTTTTTGTATGAATAATTTGTATGAGAAAATTGATGATAAACTTTTATTTTGAAAGAAACTTGTTATTGTAAATTTTTTACCACAAAAACCCACGGGTACCCATGAACCCGCGGATACCCAGCGGGTTGGGTTGGGTTTGAGTTTTTCAAACCCAGCGGGTTTTACCCCGGGTTTTTATGGTGGATAACCATGGGTTTGGGTTTGACAAAACCCGCCCCAACCCGACCCATTGCCATCCCTAATTGGCTGCATCTGCATATGAGTCAAGCTTGAGAAAAATCCGGCTAAATTGCAAGTTTGGTCACTCGAATTGCTACAAAATTCACGTTTGGCCACTCGAATTGATTTATTCCATCCGTAGTCACTTAAATTAGTTGAACGGTCCAAGTTCGGTCACTCTCCGTTAACCCCCGTCAGACTCTGTTAGTGCCGTCAGTTAACTGCTAACGTGGCTAACAAAGACGCTGAGTTGGCCAATTTTAAGTATATATATATATATATAAAAACTTCTGGCCACATCAGATAAGCAAACCCACCTTCTAATATATCAAGCAAATGATCCTCAAATATTTTTTTGGGAGTCTTAAACACAAATAACAATTTAGCTAACATTTTGGCGCCAAAATGTTTTTTTGGTGAGAAAGTTAGCTAAATGTTGGTGTTTCTAAGTATATTTCCCTAACAAAAATTTTGGTCGACTTCCGTTGATATTATTTTTGTTCCAAGGGTTACTCCACACGACAAAGATGGGCAGGAAAGCATCCAAAAATCTGGAAGAAAAGAGATCTAGGAAGTGACATACTGGGACAACAAATACAGCTGTTGTTAGCCTGTGATATATAAATATAATGGACTCAAGCAGTAGTCTTCCTTTCTTTATTTCATCAAAATATTCTTCTTTTTTTCTTCTGGCCCCCCGTGCCATGAACACGGAGAATACAGCAAAGCCAAGGGACCCCAAAAGTTGACAGCTTCCCTATATACATCCATGTATCTTACAACTCAACCATTTTATTTCAAGCTGTTACATCACATTGAATGGCCCTATTGGGCAATAACATTATCAAAGAAGAATGGCATCTTGTGTGTGTTTATTTAAGATAAGGGATAAACAAATTAAAGCCAAAAACGATAATGGGGGCTGGTGCCAAATCAATGTCATGCAAATACATACAGGGATATGATACTAGCAGCAGCCCCTTCATTAGCTTCTTCCTATAGCAAATATCAGAGTAAGAAAAAGGGAAAATGATAACAGTAATGTATCAGTCACCTTCAAACATGGCACATACAATCTGGGGCAGGGTATGTGTATATGGACTGCTTTGCTCTTCTTAGCCTCATCTGCCCTTGTCTGCTTCCATGACCTTCAACAACTGCTTGCCTAAACTCTCCCCAGGTTATGTTCTTGTTTAGGAACAGTTGCCCCAGCAAAGTCATGCTCGGCCTTATGGTCTTCATGTTCTTATACGTGCGGTGACCCAGCTGTTTTCAGAACATCATAAAACTCGCTATTCATTTCCAGTTCAATGCTTAATCTAAGGCAGTTGATTATCAGGGTGACTCGCTTACCAGAGCATTGTGCATGTTTCCTGGGGAAGCCGAGATGAAAATGTCGCTGTGCAAGCCAACATAGTAATCAACTGCAGCTAATAGTGAAGCTTTTTTCTTAATCCGAACTCGCTCCTCCGGTGATGCGAGGCTCTTCTTGTTTTCCATGAGTGGGAATAAATCTCGTAGTGTTGAAATTCGTGCTTCCCCACCATAAACCTGAAGAGGCAAAGGTCATTCCTTTCAGTGATGATAACACATGCACATGTCTAAAGGTGCCAACTTTCTACATCTACAACAGCAGACCTTGTGGGAAGCGAGATAAAGGCGGGTAGTGTTGTCAAAACCCAAAGCTGCAAGAACTAATCCAATCTCTTCTGGAGTCAATGGACATCGCCCTTGATTCCGCAACTCTTCATCAGTGAACTGTGAGTTCAGGACCCTCCCCTGCCAAATTGCCTGTCTGTACTTGGCTAGAGCCAACTTTTCAGCTTTCCCTCCACCAAAGTCACATGCTGAATGGGCAGCCATATCCTGCAAATTTATAACTACGGTTAGTCAAAGAATGAAGACTTCTCAACAACATACAAACCACACAAGTTACAACCTAACCTTGTCAAAACGAAGGTGCAAAACAACAAACTTGCTTGGCTTTTGTTTGACAATAACATCCGAGGTCTGTCGCAGATATTCTGGAGGCAGTTGGTCATTGGCTTGAGTAGAAGGATATCTGAGGCGACTGACGAGAGAATCTCCGAGTGCTCTAATGTGGGGAACAAACTCTAATGCTTCAAAGTTCACCTTACAACGGAGTTGTTGAATATCGGAAGGCAAGTTATCGAAAGTCAGCCGATGTGAGAATGGCGCAATTGCAGCAATCCCATAACTGGAGGATCAGACACAATGAACTATGCAAGTTTTAGAGGGGGTACCAATGGACATTAAACCTAACTGGAGGATAGAACAGGGGCTAAAATCTCTAAAATTGAAGAATAATACAAAAAGAGTTGAGCAAAAGAATAGTTAACAGCAAATGTAACCTTTGAAGCACCGGTAATACATTGTCAAGATACCAATTGGCCGAAGCATGGACAGGTGCAGCCTTAATTCTGGTGGCTCGAATGGCTGCAGCGTAATACTCCCGAGTGCTCCAGAAGTAATCATCAGGCAATTCTTTAACTATAGAAATGTCATCTTTCAAGACATTAATAAAGTGATCCACATCAAATATATCCATGAATGAGCTGCATTGCAGAGAAAGTTTGCAGCTTTTTCAGCAATAGTGCCCTTTTCTTGATATCTAATGAAATGGGACTGGGGGAAACTGAAACAATCTGAAGCTGCAATCGCAAGCAACAGTACCTTGAATCTTGCCAAACCGGGTTCACCTCAAAATGTGGGATGACTAGTGTTGCATTCAGTATCTTAGCTACTGCTACAGCATCACATATCTGAGATTAAAACATTGTTATTATCGATTATTACAGAAAATGGACTGTTCAAAACTGCCAAACTACGTACCCCCATTCTCTGCTGGTTCAAGCCCCCATCAAGAAACACCTGAAGATAACCCTCTGAATCCTCTGGTATTGCTGCAGAAGAAAACCATGAGAATGATATCAGTATTATATGAGATTCCAGAAATTCAGTCATATTTTATATAAACAAGAACATGTTTCTCGTCACTCACAAGAGGGATTTGATGATCTAATGCACGGTTTCCATCCCTGATCGGACAAAGGAGTCCACATGTCTGAATGCTCTCCATTCGACTAAGAACACCAGAATGCATCCAACAGAATACTGTTAATTCCAACTAATGGAGAACCAAGAACTTACATTTACTCAGTAGTACTTACAGTTTCACGCGCTAGAGCACTCTTCAGTAGAGTCAAGTGCCTAGGTTTTGGAACATACAACTCCTGCCAGAAAACAAACCAACCTGATAAGGATGTACTTCCACAAAATGAGAGGCAAACTTGGAGAATAAGAAGTGCATTCATCCACCAAGCAAAGTTCACAAAAGGTTATCTACTCAATATACAGCCTTTGGTTGATGATCCACCAAAGCAATGGTGAAAACCCCTAAACTCTTCCTTTTTTCCACCTTGAAGCTCGAACTTGCAAGCCCATTTTGAGAACATCCTTTTTCCATCTTTTGGTCCCAAAATTGCTTCAATAGAATTAGGAGAAGAATCCCACAAGAAAAAGTATCACAACCCAGGTTCCCAGCCACAAAAGAGGAAACTCCACAAAGTTTTCATTCCCTTAATGGTCGGTCAAAAGACTCCAATTCATGTACATCCAGAAAAGAGTATACCCGGTTGAAGATTCTCACTTCCCTTAACCAGGAAAGAGGTATTGAGTATTGACCAATCAAGAATGAATAGTTGGACGTAAGAGGACGTTAATCTGCCCTTCTCACCTACTCCTTAATTACCACTTAGAGTATGTAAACCTTCCGATACTTAATACTCGGCAATATCCCCAGTTGCACAAAATTAGAAGCTTCCAAGTTCCAACTCATAAGATTAAGTGGCATAAATAAATCACAGGAAGGGAGAAACGAAAGAAACAACATAGCTCAGAAACGCAATCAACTAAACATACCGAGTAGACAGCGGAAGGGAGAAGAAGAATGGGCAACAGCAGTAGCAAGAGCCCAGGTAGAGCTCTTTCTCCAATTCCCATGGAGGAAACCGTTTCGTATCGGAGCTCAAAACCAGACCCACTAACCAACCTCGGATCCCCAAAACCCCACCTGGGTTCCCGGTTCTGGGTTCTACTTTGCCTTTTTTGTCGTTGGAGGAGAAAATCAGAGGGAGAACAAAAGGGGGGAAAGAAAACTTGCAAAACCCACAGGAGCAAGGAACAGGTGAAGAAAAGCTAATGGTAGTAGCAATGGTGGATAAGTGCAGAATAAGAAGAAGCACTACAGTTCCATTATCACGTGTAAACAAAAACAAACGAGCTGATGAAGGAATAAGTTGAATGGCGATGATGATGACCGACGGTTCTCTGCTTTAAAGAAAAAGAAAAGGAAAATTAGAAGATAGAGACTAACAACTAGAGAGGCAACAGTGGTGGTAAGACGAGAGACAGGCCATTTTCACATGGACACCTGTACATAGGAGTAAATGCCCTTTTCCCCTTTTCTCCATCCGAGCTTGTGATCATGAATGCACTGACCAGTGTCCCAACCTCCCTGTCATTTTGTTCCACACATGAAAAGCATAAATGAAAAGAAAGAAAGAAAGAATATAAAAACCCGCTGATTCTTAGTTAAAGATAATCGCTCTCTGCTTAAATCTTAAGTAGTAGCAACAAACTACGGGCCAGAACAGTTACAACTTACAAGACAAAGTGAGAAGTACCCATGGAGGATAATGATGAATGATCATATTCATCGATCGTTTTCCGAGGAGGAGAGTAAATTTCAGTTTCCACTTTTTCGTCCTGCAGCTGCTGCTTGGTTCACTTGGCTTGCTCTTTCCCTTTCTTTCTCGAGATTTGGGGTATTGGAGACCGTTGGAGCGGGTGAAAAAGGTGACGACTTGTTTTACGATGATGGGTTTGTACTGTAGTTTGGGACGTTTGGCGTTTGGTTAATGAATGAGATCACGCACGGTGTCGTTTACAGGCAGGCTTGTACTGTACTGTGGCCTGCTGGGCTTTGCTTTCTACTTTCTGCCGTTCGGTCCGGCTGCCTGGCTTTTTCGCCCAACTTTTATTGGGGCTGCTGCAACGGTGAGCACCGACACTACGGTGCGTAGGGCTGTATGCTGTAAGCTTGGTCCTCGATAGTAGGACTAGGAAACGCTGCGGTATGTTTTTCTAGACCAAGATCATATATACGGTCTATAGTCCAGATCAAGAGATTAGAGTACAGACCACAGATTATATGGTCCAGATCCGATCACGCGTGTAAGATTTGGTCCGATTTGGTCTAGATAAATCACACTAAACGAAAAATAAACAAATTGATTAGTCAACTATGTCGCAACCGCACCTCCGAAATCGGGGGACCCGTCGCGAATTTGCTCGTCTACTTAAGGGAGCGAGGGGTAAATTAGTCATTCAGGTGGAGGCCAGAGGTATATAGGCGAGGAAAACCCTAATCCCTTAGTAAACCCTAAGCGCCGCTCAACCCTCTCTCCCTCCCTCTCAACTATTCTAGAAGGAGTTAAATTAGCACAAGAATATGGTTCCGAATGTTTGGTCCAGTCCGACTGCCAAGTGCTAGTGAGAGCGTTGTCTCAAAATCAAGGAAATTGGCCATGGCGGTGTGCGGCCTGGATTGGCTCTATTGTCACGATTCTCAGGGCAAACACATTCATCAAGGTGAAGGAGGTGTCAAGATCTCTTAATGTCAGAGCTGATTGGGTTGCGCGTTCGAAGGCGAGAGAGTCCCTTCCTGACGAATGGAATAATATTCTTGATCTAATTTCTGATCTTCTTTAAGAATGTAACATGATTCCGATTTCTTTCGATTGGTGGAATAAAAGTTGATTAACCTTGTAAAAAAAAAACTATTCTCTGTGAAACAAACCAAAGAGGAAGAAAACCCCGAAAAAAAATATCGTCTCTTTCCTTTCCATTTCCCCTTTTGAAATCCGAAACCCTTCTCCATCGATTAACTTTCTTCTTCCTTCTGAGAGACAAAACAAGGATAATCCCTTTTTTCTCATTCCACCTCGGAATTGGGGATATCCCGGCCTAAAACGCGCCATCCGAGCGCCGATCAGCTTCTAAATCGATGGTAAGTGGCTGATTATGGTTTTGCATGTTCGATTTTCTGGGTTTTTATTGGATTTCGGGTTCAAGGTTCTAATATTATTCTCATTTTTATTTTTGGGTTCGATCGAGGGGAGAAAGGAGAGATAGATATCGTCGGCCGGCGAGGCTATCCGACGACGGTGTGAGAAGGGAAAGGTCGACCGTCAAACTCTATTTTCTGTGAGTCTTCTCGTCGCATTATGTGGGTTTTCAAAGGGTTTCGGTTGTGTATATTTCTGACTTTGATGGTTTGATTTGCAGGTTTCGGAGGTGGCTTAGATCTAGGTGAGTTTCTCCTAAACTCTTATTTTGGTTTCGGTTAACCTGTGGTATCTAATTAGGTTAGGAAATTTTGTGATTGATGCTCTTGAGTTGGGATTGGGGTCTAGCGTTTTTGGGTGATTTGGGTATGAATATATGACTTTGAGATTTGGGGGATGATGGTTGTGTTGGTCTGAATCTGGTGTTTGAGGTTTATTTGGTGGATTTTGTAGTAAATCGATGGTTTGTGAGCTTAAGAGGATTGGGGATGGTATGGCCAATTTTTATTCCATACGCAAAATGAAAGAATTGAAATATAACATATACAAAAGAATAGTAAATAACAGAGAGTAAATAGCATAATAAATAAATATTAATTAGCTTAACGTAAAAGCAGAGATAGTTATAGGTTATTATGACTAAATAGTTAGTAAAGTAAACGTGCTTGAAATAAGTAGATAATTGGATTGAAAATAAAACAAAGTTGAATGGAAGAGCTGATAATGTAAATGAGATTGGTGAAGTTTGAATTGATAAGTTGTGATTTTTTTTTAAATCAATTTGGTCATATTGTAGTTTGATTGGAGTTTATTGATTTTTCTCCTTCGAAATCATGATGATAGTAACGATGGCAATAATAACAACAGTAATGGTGTAGTGGACAAGAAGAAAAAAAAGTGGTAAAAGAAGTTATATTATTAGAAATGGATGATGATGAACCTGAATTGTAAACATCACACCTTGTTGGGCTTATGTTTGCTTAATCTCTGCTTCTATTGCTTCTATTTTTACAGAAAATAAAGAGGGAAAAAAAGTGTGTTGTATTTTGCTCTCTATTTAGCACTTTCACTCTCTAAACTTGCTAAGAAGAAGAAAAAGAGAACTCTTGAACTGACTGAAATATAGAAAAGACAGTGTTTCCCCCGTATTTTCCCCTTCAAAAGCTGTCCCTGGTTCTTGAAAATTGAGCCTGCTTTTATAGAAAAAGGAGGCGGTGGTTTCTGGGTTCGGTCGGACCAGTTCTGGTTCGACCGGTCCGTCTGTTGGTTTGGGTCGTTGGGCTGGTTCGGATTGCTGGCCCATTTTGCCTGATCTGGTCCAAAGTGGTTTTAATGCTTGGGCTTGAAATGTGGGTTGTGATCTTCTGGACTTGTCTTGGATCTGGGCCTGAATAGACTGTCTCCTTTCTTCTTGCAGGATTATGGCAGATGAAGTAAGAGTGCGCTTCAAATATCAAGTTTTAATTTGTAACTATAATGATGTTGTATAAGTGCAATTTTATGCAGTAATTCATATTTGTAACTTGTTATTTTGATTGTAATTGTAATTTAGTAATAATTTTAATAACAAGTTCTTCTTTATTTTTGTTGTTATTATTATTATTATTATTATACTTGTGTTGTGCCAAAACCCGAGATTGGATTTGATTTTACAACAACATATGATCAAACGAAAGTCCGCTATTTGATCTACTAGAATCGAATTCAAATAAATTGAACGAAATGGCCACTCTTATTATCTTACGACATTTCGGGATTAAGTTAGAATTTTTTGTTGAGTAATTGACCCGGACAAAATGGGGTGTCTACAAACTACACAAAAACATTGAATCAATAGCCAAGAAAAAAAATGATTTTTTTTTATCTTAAAACATAAATTCCAACATGCATGAATAATTTTGACACCATAAATCTTAGTAAATAATAAAGATACAAAGTCAAAGCATCCCAACTTGCACCATAACATTATGAACATTTACATAATGTCATATGGAGACACGATCGTCTCTACTCACTGGTAAAATGCGGTCATATATGAAGAAGGGGACGAGATTCTTAAAATTAAGATTGAGACTCGGGTATCGATGTGGGAGTTGGGAGAGTGGTCGAGTGGGCTGCTAACACGTATTGAGAAGTCAACTAGGCCCATAGGTGTCAAAACAGAACCCGATCGGACTAACTCGCCCGATCAACTCGATCCGTAACCCGACCACAACCTAAATTGACTAAAAGTCAACAACGCGTAACCCGCCAGACCGCAATCCGATTGACCCGCAACACGACTAACCTGCAACTCGACTGACCTGCAACCCGATTAACCCGAACCCGATTGATCCGCAACCCCATTAAACCTGCAACTCGATTAATCCAAACCTGATTGACCTGAACCCACTAACCCGCAACCCGACCGACTCAACCCGAACTTCATCTAATCCACTTGAATAATTATTATATTATATAATACATAGTTTTTCAAAATAAATTTTTCATTCTAAACTTAGGTAAAATTATTTCTTCATTTCGTATAGGAAATTTAAAAATATGAAACTCACTTAATATTATGTATTTTGAGAAAATTACAAAATTGGAACATGAAGGTCACTTGAAAACTAAGTTCTTTAACAATATTAAAAAAGTAAATATGAAATATAAAAGCAGCCCAATGTGAATATTAATAATGAATAATTAATAACTGAGATCATGGACAATATTAATATGATATATAAATTAAAATTTTGGTTAATTTAACTATCCAATAAAGCTATCAATTAAATATAAATAAAGTAAATCAATGTATTTGGTAATTTGATACTTTTAAAATAATAGGATAATTTTGGTGTGTTAAAATAATAGGATACTTTTGATTATATAAGAGAAATAAGGAGGGAAATTTTTCAGTTTTCAATGGAAGGAAGAAAAGAAGAGGAAAATTTAGTTCTTCAAATGAAAGAGAAAAGAAGGAAAATTTGGTTCTTTGAATTTTATAGAAGAGAAAGGGAAGGGAAAATTGTCTGTTTCTAATTTATAGAAGGAGAAAGAAGGAGGAAAATTATAGTATTTTAATTTTTTTGTGAAAAAGAAAGAAGAAAACAAATATGGTGTTTACAACAATCATTTATTTTAGAAAAATTCACTTAATTTGTCTACTTGTTTTCTATACTTCTACATTTATAGCAATTTCAACAATACATGATTGTCATTTTACAGCAAGTTAGTAAAATTGGCGTACATTTAAGTTGTGTTCAAGTTGAACTTTCATTTCAAAATGGGTGTTAAACTTGGCCTGTTAAGTGTTAAGTCTTACGATTGCAATAACTCAGTCGGGTTGCGGGTTTGAAAATTTTGGTTAATCGGGTTACAGGTCACTTTTGAATGGAAAATGAGAGGGAGGTTTGGATGGGAACTTTGGAGTGAAAATTTATGGGCGGGTGAATATGAGCCAACCATTATACTAAACTTGATAAGTAATTTTTGACGGTTCGTTGTTCAGGGTATAAAGTACATGGTTAGGGTATAGGTTATAAGGTACAAATGGTTTAGGGTGTATATGGTTAGGGTATAAGGTATTGATGGTTTTGACGGTTCTAAGTTTTTTATTAACATATATTCACTTGAAATCATTTAAAATCTTTAACTGCAAGAGATCCCTTTTTAAATTTATGTTTATGGTACGTGGCTAGGGTACAAGGTATATGGTGTAGAGTATATGATTTATGGTTATGGTATAACAAATATCACTTTTTTATCTATGTTTCAAAAATCAAAGTATGAATTCACTTGCATAGCCATAACTTTTGCGGTTTTGACAATAATAGCCACTTTTCAAAAAATACACAGTTGTAGCCACTTTTTGGAAACTCGTTTGACAAAATTAGCCATTTTTGTTTAAAAATTTAACACCGTTAACACGATGTTTATGTGGATGCCAACTCATCTCCCACATCAGCTGCAACATACCAGGTCATGCCCCATGGCTACCACATCACATTTTTAATTAAAATAAAATATTTTTGAATTAAAATAAAAAAATGAAAATGAATCCAATACCCAATCCCACCCAGGGGCGGAGCCAGAGCAGGCCAAGGTGGGTCGGCTGCACCATCTTGGTTTTGCAACACCTGGGCAAGTAATAGGCTTTTCAGTTCTGCAGACTTTGTTTTTTGTTTATAATTCATACTCTGTTCTTGGTCGAAGCTTGTATAAGTAGCTGCTTTGATCGAATAACATAAAAAGGAAGCTTGCTTTTGTGTTTTATCAATACATCGACGTTTTAAAATTACTTTAATTGACGTGAAAGTGGGCTTACATGTTACATATCACTTTAATCCTTATTTTTCTTTGAGCTTGCTACAAAAAAACGAGTTTCTCTCAGGTTTGTGGGCTTAAGTTTAACTTTAGTGGCCCATTAGCTTCTCTTTACTACACGTTTTTTACAATAACTCAATTAAGGTTAGCTTAGTAGTTAGGTCATATATGAAGTGGACATGGGCTATTAGTGCATAGGCAACAATTTGTAGTACGTAGGTTAGTAAGTTAATTGGGACTTGGGAGTCTGTCTCTTGGATGTTGTTGATTTGGGTAGGTTTACTAGAACGGTTTGGCGGTTGTTAGGTTTAAACATTAGGTTATTTTGGCAAAATACACTTGTATAGCCATAATTTTCACGTTTGTGACAAATATAGTCATAATTATTCGAAAACCAAAAATAGCCAATTCCGTCCATCTCTTTAACGGTGTTACTTAACAATCTGACTGTACTGACGGAATATGCTGAATTGGCGATTTATGATCCCCACCAAGCCGATGTGGATTAAAAAAAATTAAAATATAAAAAATTATTATTTATCTAATAATTTAGTTTAAAAACAAAACAAAAAATTGCAATCTTATACCCACCGCCCATCTTTCTCCCATCTTCCTCCTACAGTACATCTTCCCCAATTCAAACCCAGATCCTCCCCTGTTCTCACCTTCCTCTCTCCCTCTCTCTTCTTTCCTCTTCCGCTACGAACAACGCCTCCCCTCTCTTCTCAATTCCAGATCATCGCTTCCCCCCACAAACTCAATCCACACCGCCAACAGACAAAGAAGGCGGCGGTTGAAACCCAAACTCGACGCCGCCTCCGCGCCCAGACCCAAGTCCGAGTTCTCAGCAACAGATTCATCAAACTCTTCCCCGGGTGTCAGATCTGCAGTGGCGGGGCTTCTTCCTCGTCCAGCTCTGTTTGCCCTTCTCTCGCCTCCCGCTTCATGTTGTGTTCCCCTGCAATCAGAAAAATGGAACCAACCAAAAACCCAAGAACCCATACCCTCCCTATGTATTCAAAAACACCAACCAACAACTACAACAAGGAGTCGAGAGATTCTCCACCGCCACTCTCCAACACAATCTCGAACAAATCCGCCTCCGCCTCCTCCTTTCTTTCGGCCACCACCATTATTGCTACACGAATACCTCTGTGAAATATGGTTTGGTGGTTGCTGAAGCAAACGACGGATCTGGGTGACCGGAACCTTTCAATCGGCGACGTGGTGAGGAACGCCACCAGCGAGAAAATTTCAATCGGCGACCGGGCACTTCCAAACGACGACAAGAAGCCTCCAATCGGCGGCGGGCAGCACTTCGATATCCAGCACCGCCGTTCCTTTGAAGTCTCTCGAAACCCTAAAATGATTTTTGGAATTGGAATTGGAGGTGGAGCAGAGGGATTGAAGCAGATGGTGGCCTCAAAAGGATTTGGGTTGGGGGCAGCTCAACTACTTGATTTTTGTTAGCAGTAGGGCAAGGAAAGGAAGGATAAATGTAAAAACAATGGAGCAGAGGGATTTGGGTTTCTACCAAACAAAAAAAAAAGGGATTTGGGGTTTGGTTTGGGGAGCAGATTGTCTCCTCTAATTGATGACGGCGACGACGAGTGGTGGGAGAGGAGAGAGAATGAAAAAATATTATATGATTTTATTTATTTTTAAATTAAAATATGACGTGGCACTTACGTGGAAAATGTGGCTGATGTGTCGCTGATGTGTGCGATGATTTGGCATCCTAATCAGTCTAACGTTAATTTAACTGACGGAGTTTCTAACACCGTTAAAGTTTCTAACAGAAACGGCTAGATTTGTCACACTACCATCCAATTTTTGGTTATTTCGTGTTTTCCGATAGTTATGGCTATATTTGTCACAAACGTGAAAGTTATGGCTATACAAGTGTATTTTGCCTTTTTCTTATTATATAAGATGTATATTCCGCGTTAGTTCGAAATTAATCAATCAAATAATAAACAAAAGTTTTTTCGAAGGAATTAATAAATCAAATAATAAACAAAAGGTTTTTCGACGTCTACATCGTCTCTTACTTGTCAGTTACAGGCAAAATCATTGAACTTATGGGTGCGAGTTCATCAAAAGAAAGCTCGTTAAACTCATTTGGCAAGCCGAGGTCGAACCTAAACTTTCATTAATTTGTTTGTTCAACAATACCCAACATATGTGTCAATGACGTCGCTTACTGCTCATCGTTCACAGAGACTCGCTCCACTGTTCGACCCACCTTAGTGAAATTCCTGGCTACGCCCCTGATTCCACCAACAACCAATGCCAATCTTCCGTCGTCTGCTCCGTCAAATCCCTCCTCATCCTCCTCGTAATATTGTCCATCCCCATCCTTATCCCCTATCTCATCTCCTCAATCTCTGCCCACCCTTCACCCTCGTCTTCCAATACCAAAAGTCCCAACGGCTCAAGTGCACCAAGTGGGATCTCCCGTCGGCTGGTTTGTCGTCTCCTTTATCGAAGGCGGCATCGACGATTTGACCGGCAACTCATCGCTCGGGTTGGTCGTGGACCGTCCGAGGAATCGGGTGATGGTCGCCTCTAGATCTCATCCTTCACCTTCTTTTTCCACTAGGATTTCTGGGATTCAAATGAAATTGGGAGTTCAGATTTGAAGCCAGAAGACGAAGGGGGGATTTGTATTTTCTACTAAAACTTGAGTGGGCAGCGGAGCAAAGTGGAGTGGCGGAGTTCGGATCTCGACCATCAGCCTCTCCGCGAGTCCTCGCAGTGGATTTCTTCCTATGTTAGCGAGATCTTCAGCAGTGACAGAGGCGGCGGTTTGTTATTGATGCTTTGACAGATGGAGTAGATCTGGAAAGTAGAGAAGCGACGTGATGGAGGCGGTGTCGAGGCCGATGCAGTTGTGGGATTTGGAGATGAGTGCTCTGGAGTTGATCGAAAAAAGGAATCCGGAGCTTGCTCTCGTTCCTCCACCTCCTTCGAGTTCCCCAATGACGCCGGCAGAGAGGAAGAATCGAGAAGTAAAAAACAGGGATTCCCGTTGATGTATCAGATCCGCCGAGTCAGAACCGTCGTCCGATGCTACTCGTCAGCCGGATGCATTGCATCTCTTTGTCAAAGATCCAGCACGGAGGGAGTCAGTTGAGAGAGAAGGAGATGGATGGTGGGAACAGATGAACGAAAAGGGGAAAGTGATTGGGATCGCTTTTCTCTCCTTTTCTACTTTTATTTTTAATTTCATTTATTCATTATTAAAAAATATGGATATTTTCCACATGGCAAGGACGCAAATAAAACACGCCACGTCAATTGCTGCCGTTAGTACAGTCATCGGATTAAGTAATCAGTTAAAGAATTTGACGGAATTGGCTATATATGTGTATTTTTCAAAAAGTGGCTATATTTGTCAAAATCGTGAAAATTATGGCTATGCAGGTGAATTAAACCTTAAAATAACTATACTAGCAAAATCACAGCTCATAGGGATATATGGTTAGGGTATGTTGTTAGTGTATAATATATTGATGGTTTGGGGTATACGATCAACAACATATATTAATTTAATATTGTCGATTGAGAGTAAGGCTAAGTGTATAGGATATATGTTATTGAGTAAGTTATGATTGAAGTCACAACTTACTAAATTTGATAGTCAATCTTTAATGGTTCAATTTTTAGGGTAATTCGAACAATTTTACAAATAACTCGTTTGGCAACAGTTTACTGAAGTTATTTGGGCAATGAGTTATTTAGAAATGACTCCTTTTACCGCTCTGCTTTTGCCAAATGCCATACGCCAAATACCAGATTTGCATGGTTATACTAAACGAGATACTTTAATCCAATTACTACTGAAATAATATTAAGGGCTAATGCCACTAGGAAACCCGAACTATTAACTTTGTGTCATAAAGTATCCGATATAACATTTGTGTCCCAACCTATTATAGTTTTGTGTCATTTATGTCCTGACGATTTTGTTGACCGTTATATATAACGGTTGACCAGACGGTGGTCAACTTGATGTTGAATTTTGCTGACGTGGCAGCCACGTAGATGCATGTCATTGACACCTCATATTTTTAATTAAAAATTAAATAAATACTAAAATTGAAAAAACTAAAAATTAAAAAAAAAATATAAACTAACCCAAGCAATCAATCCGAACAATCAAATAAATACTAAAATTGAAAAAAAAATCAATGCAATAAAAAATTCTCCGGCGCCTAGCCCATAAATCCCCGCCGCTGTTGAATGCTCTCTTCGTCGTTGTCAAACAAGAATGCTCTCAAACAATCAATTCCAGTCGCCACTGTCGAACAATCAATCCCCGCCTGTCGCTGTCAAACAATCAATTCGTCGCCTCCCCGCCGCCTTACCTCCAAATCCACCAGTTCGATGTCGCCTCCACCACCAACATTGTCACCAGCACCGCCGCAGATGGAATCGAGAAGTTCTCTATCCTATCGCACCAGCTGGTCATCGAGCACGAGATAGACAAGAACCCCTGGGCCACCAACCCAAACGCCGACGCTAAGCTTTTCTTCATGAGCTCCTACGCCTCAGCGAGGCTCGTTGGGTGTTGGCTCTCTGGCTGCAGGTCGTCCACCACCACCACCATAACCGCCACCCTCCCCTTCTTTGCCGCCCCGCCACCGAATAGATTCAGGTGCGGGAAGTGGATCTGGAAGTGGTGGTGGTGCTTTCCCCCTCCCCCGCCGTCGACGGCGGCTGGTGGTGGCATCGTCAATTTTTTTTTCAAGTCCGTGAAGCTATCTCTATTCTCCTTGTCATTTAGGCTCCCCACCCATCTGCCTGCTTCTCTGTCTCGTGGGATCGCTCCGTCTGAAGACTTCATCAAGGTTAACTTGGATGATGTTGTCGATGTGTTTGGATACTCTGCTAGCCTGGTGATTCATGGTCAGACGTGTATGTGCTGCTGGCAGTTGGATGTCACCATCATAGGGTGACTGATCCTTACGTTGCGGAGCTCCTTACTGCTAGAGATGACCTCTCACATGTGATCTCTCATTTCTTCCCCATGTTATTCTGGAAGAAGATGTTGAGGTGGTGACTCGTCAACTCCAACTTGGTGTGGTGACAGATTGGCTAGGAGGTCCCCTGCTTCGTGATTGTAGCCAGTTTGTTTTTTCAAGTTCTTTTTGTATAGTTTATAGGGTGGTTCTAAGATCGCAAACTGGGATGCCCAAAGAGTGACGCGTAAAGCCCTATTGTTGTCTTCTATAGAGTTAACTTCCTTGATTTTGTAGATTGGATCCTCTAGTGGGTTTTTTTTTTGGGAAAGGTTCCTGAGATAGGGTATGTTATTTCTAACTTTTCTCTTATTATATATAGGAAAGAAAATAATTTTTCAAAATATAAAATAAAAGTGTACAAAAAAAAAAGATAGCATACAACCCAGATTACAAAGTTTACCAATCCTATCATAAAAGTATACAAACTAATAACATAAAAAATACAAATTGAATTATCAAATTATATTAATCAATAATATAAAATAGAGTTAAACCTTAGTTTGGCCCGAACTATACACAAATTTTCTACTTTGGCCCGTGGTTTGCAAAATTGCTATCCTGGCCTGAACTATGTACCATACTTCCTAACTTGGCTCGAAGGCGGGTTTGACCGTCAAATTGGGTGGTCAATTTCGTTGACTGTTATTCAATGTCTAGCTCACTTGCCACGTCAACAAGCATAGAATAAAACATTTTATTTTTTTAATTTCTGTATTCATTTTCTTTTATAATAATAATAATAATAATAATAAACAAAAAAATGAAAACCCCCAATTTATGCCCTCCCCTCTCACCTCAATCAGGGAAAAACCATTTACCAAACCCCCTTCTTCCCCGACATCCTATCCCCTTCTCCGACGAGTTGTCGCACGCCATTGGAGGAAGAAATATCATAGCGGCGACACATCCTTCTTCTCCTCTTACTCTCTAATTTCTTCTAATAAAATACACACTACTGCTAATGACAAAGTCATTCATATTTTGATTAACCAATCAACAAGTGAAGAGATACAGAATCCTAGTCCAATATTAGTACGCACAAAGCATTGCCCACAAAATCCCCCATTTTTCCCACTGCCACCGCACCAAATAAAGATGATTACTTTCAGGCGGTGCTCTTTGGCTTCCATGATTCTGGCGGTGCCACCATTTTCTTCTTTGCTGCTGCGGTGAAGGCCGAGACTTTATCTAGCGCCTCCTTCACCCTCTTCCTACACACGACCACTTCTTTACCCCTCCGGTCAGCTTCCTCCTCCGCCTCCGCCATCGATCATGCGACGATCTTGGCGGCGCAGAGTAGAGTTGTGGCTATCTTGGCATCGATGGAGACGCGGGGCTCAGGGGGAGGGGAGAAGAAGGAAAAGGTGGGGTCGGAATAGGGAGGGCTAGGGGTGTTCAAACGGTTTGGTTACCATGGTAACCGTTTTAACTGGTACTATTTGGTTAATTTGGTTTGGTTAATTTGGATAATTGGTTAAAGTTTTTAGCTTGTTTGGTTTAGGTGGTTTGGTTTGATTTGGTTTCAGACACTCCTAACCAGTCAAACCAAATTAACCAGTTAAGTAATTAGTCATATATCTAACATATATTATATACACATACTTAATATTTTACATAACCACTCAAGAGTTAACGTTCCCTTTTAGACTCATAAAATATAAAACTCAATATTGCTCATATAGTGTATATTTATCTATGTAAAATGTAGACCACAACATATGGACGCCTAATTTAGATAAATTTCATACATTATGATGGATGAAAACTTGAAAGGAAGGTCATTTCCAGCCTATGATAATTGCTAAGAGACTAAGTCAATTTACACAAACACAACAATTCATTAACCCATACCATTGTCATAAATTTTTGTTAGGTGAATACTTCTATACTAATCGTAAGATAATTGTCTTAGTTGCATGTATTTTTGTTAAGGGTCAACTATAACTACGTGTTGGTTGTTATGTTTTATTCATTATATAAATTGTGAAATTTTTCATTAACCGGAAATTTTTCATCGTCAATGATAATGTGATTTTATATTGGTTAATCTGGTTAACCAATTAACCAAACCGATTAAACTTTAGTTTGGTTAATTTGGTTGTTGTATTAGTTTGGACGGTTTGGTTATGATATTGTATTCCATGGTTAATGGAATTTAGCCTTATTTGATTTGGTTATAACCATGGTAACCATTTGAACACCCCTAGGGAGGGCAAACAAAAGGGAACGATTGGAGAGGGTGGGAAGGAGTGCAACGGGAGTGGGCAAGGGAAGCATAGTTAGAGCACCGGAGGAGCTCCCTGGTGCCCGATCTAGCTGTTACACTCTGTGGATTGAGAAATGGGGAAGAAGGGGATAAATTGGGGGTTTTATGTTTATTATTATTAGGAAAGAAAATGAATACAAAAATTCAAAAAATAAATTTTTTATTCCATGTTCGCTGACGTGGCAAGTGAGTTGGATATTGACTAACGATCAACGGAATTGAACGTCCAATTTGACGGGCAAACCCGACTCCGAGCCAATTTAGGAAGTATGGTACATAGTTCAGGTCAGGATATCAATTTTGTAAACCACCTATCAAAGTAGAAAGTTTGTGTATAGTTCGAACCAAACTCAGGTATTAAACCTTATAAAATATACAAACCAATACTACAAACTATACTTACCAAATAATAAAACTATGTAAATTAATATTATAAAGTCTGCAAAAAAAAATCCTAAAAATAGACAAAGCAATAATTTAAGTACTTAAACCAAATTATAAAAGTATACATATCAATATAGTATATAAATCATATCATAAACATATACAGATTAATATATATATATAAAATGGCAAAGGCTAGCGTACGTCAGGTGTACGATGTACGCCTGTGTTATTGGCAAATTATCCATATTGAAGACCAACGGTTTAACCGCTAGATGATAACATCAAAATTTGTGTTATTTACCCTACATATCGAGGCATATTTTGTGCCAATTCATGTGCCTAAATGCTTGAACTTCGTCAAATACATCCCTATTGGGTTTCTATTTGATTCCGATGTAATTTTAGGGTGTATTAGTCGATATGCGAGAATTAGATAGAAAAGAAGGTCACAAGTGTAGAGAAGGGGCAGGAATTGAAAATCCTGGTCTAGAAGCAGAAGATCACGACCGGGATCACAAGCCGCGAAGTCCAGCTGAAGATCGCGGCACCGAAGCTATAGATCGCGACCGCGATCTTGGAGGCTCGGGACGCGAACTTCACGAGGAAGGAGCCTTGGAGAAACAGAGAGTCTCCACAGTCAAGTTACAACCAACATTCATCTTGTCCACTAGGAAGATCGCGACCACGACTAGTGGATCGCCACCGCTAAGTCAGCCCGCTATCCTCCTCTTCCCAAAAGCCTCGACGATTGCATTTTGAGATCACGACCAAGAGAATAAAGATCCCGCCCGCGATCTCCTTACCTCAGGCACTAAAATTTTTCGAATCCAGAATGCTTATAAATACAAGACCCCTTTCCCATTTTGAAGAGAGCTTATTTTGAGAGAAACTTTATGGTATTAGAGAGAGAAAAGAGAGAGAAGATGAAGGAAGGAGAAGGAGGAGGAGCTAGGAGCAAGGAGGCATCTTATTCAACCCCAAGTCTTCTTCTATTTCTACCAGGTATCTTCTTTCCTCCTTTATCGAATAGTCCTCTAAGGTACTAGAGGTTCTAAACCCCAAAGCCTAGTTTTAGGGTTTACTATGTATGTATGGATATTTTAGGGTTTGAATGAATGAATGTGTTTGTCTAGTTGATTTTAATGTCACTCTTTCCTAAATGATGCACTTGGGTAAGTCGCCCTAATCGTCCCTCTTAGCCTACTTCATACTACCGCACTGGGTATGGAGTTCTAGGGTCAGACGGGTATGCGCTATTTGGCGAGTTTAGGTTAGATGTGTGAATGAGGGCCTATAGTGGTCGATGCGATCGAACCCCTGCTATAGGTAGCTTTCCTAGATGAAACACGGGATGAAACCTCATTGTGGACGATGAATAGTGTCAATTGAAATACTTCATAAGATTAATGTTCCAGATACAATAGCCTAGATTGAGGTGACTGAAACATGGGTTTAGGGGAGGCATAATCTGAGGCGTGTGGATAACCACGAAAGCCCACGGGAAAGAGCTCACTCACCACATTCGATGACCCTAAGTATATAGATATACATAGTAACCCTAATCTAGGGGAGGGATAGTTCTTTGACGTACTTGCTTTTAGCTTTGATCAATCTCTAGACTAGTGTTTCCTCATATCCTCCACTCAAAACCTAAAAAATGATTAACTAATTAGCAACTAGGTGGGAAGTAGGCTAGGGTACCAAGACCCGAGTAGAATACGACCTTTATTACCACAATACGTCAATGACGTTCTATGTTAAACTTGGCCTAGGATGAGATAGTTGTTGATACATGCTAACCTCTGACATAACATGCACATATTCAAGTGATCAAGCTTTTTAGCGCCATTGCCGGGGACCCTTAGTAACTTGTAGAAAACCATTGAGTTGTTAGTTAGTCTTTACCTTGCTTTATTATTTTTTGTTTTTGTTTGTTTTTGTGTGTTTGTTTCGTATTGTTAGTTTTTTTGTTTGTTTCGTGTTTGTTCTTTTCGTATTTGTATCGTTGTTTGTTTTGTTATCCAACTTTGTACGTCATAGGCTGTTGAGGTTGTGTTTTGTAGAATCGTTGTATGCGAAGAAGGGATTACTTGGAAATATTATCTTTTGATTCTAAAATCGAGAGGACCGTTCAAAATCTTTTAAGAGTTACAAGACCTCAACCTCCACCAATGGCAGAACGTTAAGCTCAAGTACCACCATGACCAAGAACAATGGGTTCTTACTCTAGGCCAAGTGTGGACAATGTTTAATCACCTATTCTTCATCCGACGTTGCCCAACAATGATTTTGAGATAAAGTCAGGCACAATTTTGATGTTTCAAAGTGCGGTTCAATTCAATGGGATGATGAGTGAAGATGCACATGCGCATGTCAAGTCATTTTACGAGTTGACGGATGAGATCAAGGTGAACGGGGTTCCTCAAGAGGTTATTCGACTGAGGTTATTCCCATTTACCTTGAATGGAGCGGCAAAGAAGTGGTTGAATAATCAACCACATCACTCTATCACCTCATGGGATGATCTATGCAACAAGTTCTTCGCAAGGTACATTCCACCTTCTAAGACGGATTTGATGAGAAGTGAGATTACTATGTTCCATCAAGAGGAGGATGAATCATTGTTCGAATCATGGAAAAGATTCACATCTCTCCTACTCGATTGGTTACAAGTTATAAGTTTCTACAATGGGTTAACAAAGGAATCACGAAGCCTCATTGATGCGGCTAGTGGAGGTGCCATTCGAAACAAAGAAGTCAGAGAACTTTAACAACTAATCAAAGAGATGACCCTTAATAGCTACGATTGGGGTGACGGAAGGAGGAGTAAGAGCATATTAAAGGGAAGTTTATTGAAGATCTAAGAACCATCATATCTATCGGACCATATTCAAGAACTTTCTAAGAAGATCAATCAAGTTGCATCATCAATGAAAAGCAATGAGAAGCAACTTATTAAGTGTGATTGGTGTGGCGATTCGAGTCATAACATGGAAGAATGCAAGTCTATGATTGAATCCTCTATTTAATTCGAGCAAGCCAACTTTGTTGGAGGTCAATCTCGAGGAAATAAACCTTATAGATTGACTTATAATTCAGGATGGAGGAATCACCGGAACTTTCTCTGGTCTTCTCCGACGGAAAGGAAACCTTCGGGGTTTCCATCTCAAGCTCCAACGCAAAATGCATACTAAAGGCCGAGTCAACCAAAATATCAAGGGGCGTATCAAGAACAAAGACGAACCTCCGATGGTCAACTTGCTAAACTTGAAGACTCGGTAGGGAAATTTGTCACACATTCCAACAAGAAGTTTGAAGCTATTGACAAGTTCATAGAAAATACCTCAACCAAATTCTCGAGTTTGGAAGCGGGTCAAAGAAATCAACAAGATTCACTTCAATATCTTGAAGCTCAACTAAGTTCATTGGCTCAAACTATCTCGTTGAGACCTCAAGTAACTCTATCGGGCAATACCGAGCCTAACCCAAAAGAAGGTTGTCCAGCGGTAACTCTAAGGAATGGCGACCATTAAAGGAGATTCCTATACAAACTCCAACGATTCTGGTAAGAGAAGTTCATCAAGAAGTTGTTTAAGAGAAAGGGTTAGCTTAGGAGGAAGTTCAACCTTCCATTGAAGTCAATGTTGAAGATGAGGAAAAGTCTAAAAAGACTCATGAACCCGAGCCAACATCGAAATCCCCTTATCCTACACGGTTATTTGAAAGTGATCTCTATCATGAATCTGCTTCATGGAAAGACTTTCTGAAGCAATTAAAGGTAATTGTCCCTTTCCTAGACATGGTGTTGAAGATTCCTAAATATACTAAGTTCTTGAAAGAGATATTGTAGGGAAAGAGGAAAATGGAAGAGGTGGCTATGGTATCCGTTAGTGAAGTTGCTTCGACATCCATTGGTTATGGAGGATTCCCTACCAAGCTAAGAGATCTGGGAACCTTCACTATTCCATGCACTTTTTTTTTATTGGTAGGAAGACGGACGTCATGCGTCCTAATTCATAACATTAATAGAACGATCCATCGAAATGGCCATGGAGTCATACATCAACCAGATTCCATGCACTTTTGGATCCAACAAAATAATATAGCTTTATAGACAAATAATTAGAGACAATTATTGTATTAGTCTCTATATCTAATCTATGGCAGCAAATATATTATTTGCTTCAATATGTTTTATTATTTGTCTCTATATCTTAATATTCTCTTCAGATTTATATGGGATAAATTGAATTAATAGATTTAGAGACAATTATCTTATTTGCTACTATATAATATACTACTCATTTGAGTAAAGCATGTACGGAGGCAAATTTAATTGTCTCTAAATTTCTTTTATGTTATGAAGAATGAATTAAAGATGTTTTTATAATCAGAAACAAATACAATTGCTACGTGAAGTGAGTATATACATAATTTTGGATGAATTAAAATAAATTTAATATTTCAAAATTGAGATTGATTAAACTAATATTAATTGGTGCCAACGGCTTAGAATTAAGAAGTAAGAACAAAAAAAAAAAAAAAAAGAAGTAAGAATAAGAATACGGTACTAAGAATAAACAACTCCGTTTTTCAAGTTCCATTCTTCCTCCATCTCCTCCAAGCTCCAAGTCTTTCTCCATGTCGAAGCTCCTTAGCTTCAGTCCCGTTGTTGAATCAACCTTCTCCCACCACTCTCCTTTCCTCATGAGCAAAGCCTGCGCCGCAACCGATGGTTTGCTTTCTCTTTCAATCTCTCTCTGGCTTTCAATCTCAGCAGCGGCGGGGCGGCTGCTAGGTTAAACCATTTGACGGGAGTGTTGGCCGGTAATCACTGACACGAGTGGATGATGAACCGATTCTTGGTTCACTGAAGGTAATTATTTGGTTGTTCCTCTATTCATATTTCAATTGATTGTGCATTGAGTTGCTCCGTGATTGATAAAGTTTTGTGCGATGAGTAGATAGTCAAATGCAAGAGGGGAGAGGATAATTGTGGGGAAGTTTAGGCGGTACTTGAAGTTCTTAAATCAGGGACTTCTTAAGGACAGTGGGTTGAGACTTGAGAACTTTAATTTGCTGCTATTTGGTCTATATTCCAGGGAGTGAGTTACAAACTACAACCTAATTCACAAGACAGGTAAGAATTATCCTTGAAATTCTAATTTCAGTTTCAGCATTTAGCAAACAAAGTTGGGTGGCAATTTTAATTTCGATTAGTTTGGTTAGTCTCTGGGAGAATTATGAACATTTATCGACGAGAAGTAGAAATTGGATTGATAACTTCAAGGATTGAATGATAATATACAGTAGTCAATGCAACATCTAATCCAAGTGGAGGTTGTATTGACTGATTTTGTTGTGTGAACGAGACATTCGATTTATTTCATTGTAAAACAACATTATGATCGTTACTTGTTGGAGGTGGACAATATGTGTGGATAGTGGTACTGTCTAATATGAAGTTTGCTTATGCTGGAGATGAGGAACTCTGCTATGTTTAGTCCCTGCAAATCATCTTTCCATCGGTCATATATTCATTGTCAGTACTAAGGATGTGATCATACTGCTAGTTGGCTACTAAAGTTCTCTATGATGGTGGGAGAAGCATAAGAACTGGTTGGTATAGGATATGAATGCTTCTGCTAGTTGGTTATAATCTTTTTACCTCCTTTAGCATGTTATTGAACCTTCAGATTATGAGGATGACAACTATGAAGTATGTCCCGATTCTCCAAGGTAACATTTTCATAGCCTGACTTGTCGTTTTTGCTTTCCTTTTTGTGGGCATCAAACTCCGATCTAAGAAACTGTAACCCAACCAATGAGACAAACCAAATTAAGTTGTAGTGGATTAGATAAAGCTATACACAAAAATCAAAACTCATGATTGATGTATAATATTAGCTTGTTTCATTTCCAGCTCTTGGTAGAAAATGCCTTGTTCCATGTTGATTTTGATTAGCATGTTTTCTCATAAAAGAGTCAACAGAATCCTACCTAAGAAGTTGATAGCAATGTTTTTTTCACCTCTAATGTTGGTATATTACCTTGCAGCCATGGAAGCTTATGTACATCAAGTGCAGACAGCAACAGACAAAGAGTCCAAGAAAAAAGGTTTAAAGAAGGT